GCTTAAACAGGCATTTACAACAGTGCCCATATTAGCATTTCCAGAATTAGACAAAGAGTTCCGGCTAGAAACTGACTTTTCTGATTTTGCTACTGGGGCTGTTTTGTCAATTAAATGCCCCAACGATCTTTGGAGGCCTTGTGCCTATTTATTGCATAGTTTGTTGCCTATAGAGTGCAACTATCAAATTTATGGTAAGGAGATGCTGGCCATCATTAGAGCTTGAGAGCACTGGCAGCACTACTTAGAAGGTGCTAGGCACCAATTTGACATTTGGACTGATCATAAAAATCTGGAATATTTTATGACAGCCTGAGACTTGAACCAAAGACAGGCCTGCTATGTGGTGTACTTGTCTAGGTTTAATTATAGATTAATTCATAAGCCTGGTACTTCTATGGGGAAAGTGGATGCTTTAGCTAGAAGAGAGGATCATGTCAACGGCATCAAAGATGACAACAAAGGTGTCACCCTGATAGATTAATCCAGGGTTGCCAATGTTCAAATTGGGCAGGATTCCGATCTTCTGGAAGTCTTCAAGAAAGACATCTCCTCAGAAGAGAAGGCACACCTTGACGGCAATGAAAACTATTTATGGGAAGATAGGCTCTTCCATTTTAAAAACAAAATCTATGTGCCTGAGTCCACAAGGATCAAGGCTATAGACAGACAACATGGCACACCAGTGGTTGGGCACCCTGGGTGGCAACAAACAATGGAGTTGATCTCCAGAAACTACATGTGGCCTCACATGGTCAAAGACGTACAGGAATATGTAAAATCCTGTCTGAGATGTGCCATGGCAAAGAACTTGCATCAACAACTGGCTGGTAAACTTATGCCGAATCCGATACCAGCTGGTCCCTGGAAAGATATATAGGTTGATTTCACAACAGATCTACCTGAGTCAAATGGGTATGATTCAGTAATGGTGGTAGTTGATCGCTTCTCCAAAGAAGCAGTGTTCATTCCCACCAATAAAACTATTACAGCCGCAGGCACAGTAGTTTTATTTGATGATTTTGTATGGTCTATCCATGGGTTACTAGAAACAGTTATCTCCAATAGGGGACCGCAATTCACTAGCAAATTTACGAAAGAACTATGCCGGATGCTGGGCATCAAACCTAAATTATCAACAATGTTCCATCCACAAACAGATAGACAAATGGAGAGGCTCAACCAGGAGTTGAAACAGTATCTCCAAGTATTTATTAATGGCAAGCAGACAGATTAGGCCAAGTGGCTAAAGATAGCCCAGTTCTCTTATAATGTCAAACAGTTATTGGCTACAGGGAAGGCATCATTCAAGGTTACAAGGTTGTACCTCCCCAGAATGGGTGTAGAAACTGGCAAAAGCAAGAACAAGGCTGGAGCATGATCAAAGACATGAAGTCTGTCTTAGACAAAACGTGTAAGGTGCTATTGTAAACTGCAGAGCAGATGAAAGACAGGGCAGAGCGTAGACGCTCTAAGGCCCCTGACTACAAGGTTGGCAACCTGGTTTGGTTGGATACCAACCACTTAAAATTAAAAGATTGGCAGTCTAGAAAACTGACCAAAAAGTGGATTGGTCCTTACCGGATTAAGGAAGTCAAACCCAATGCAGTGGAGCTGGAACTACCAAAATGAATGAGGGCAGTACCCATGGTCAACATTAGTTGTGTGAAACCCTACAAAGGACTGCTGCTGGGACAGTGCATAGACCAGCCCAGACTGGTTGTAGTCACCCAGGAAGGTGAAGAAGAGTTCAAAGTTGAGCAAGTGGTGGATGCATGCATGAAGCATGGGAAATTAGTGTTCCTGATCCTATGAAAGGGCTATGGAGAGGACAGAATGTAGGGACCAGAAGCCTATCTGGACAATTCCCACAATGCTGTTCACAAATTTTATTCTAAGAATCCCTCAGCTCCCAGGAAGCTTAGAGGCATGGATCCAAACCTTTTTAATTCCCTTTTACACCCTATGCCTGAAAATTTTACTACTACCTCCGGCACTTGGTCTTGCCTGGAAGTTGAGCCTTACAGAGGGGGTAGTGTTACAATACACAATTTTTGGACCTTTGATTTTTATTCTCCACTTTAAGTTTCTTTCTTGATTTTCACACACTGATATGCGGCACTTTTTTTTTGTTCAAACTCCACTTTCACGCGCTGCACTGCCTTTCTTTATTTTTAGATACAAGTCTTTCATGCAGTAGAGCTGGTCACACCGGCTGCACCTTACGACTGTTACAATAACACATTTTTGGACCTTTAATTTTCATTCTCCTCTTTAACCTTTTACTGTAGTTTTCACACTCCATGCCATGCGGCACTTTCCCTTTTGTTCAAACTCCACCTTCTCACGCTGCGCTGCCTTTCTTCTTATTTTAGCTACAAGTTTTTCACGCAGTGGAGCTGGTCACACGGGCTGCGCCCTCTGACATCATCAGCCACTGTTTTTATCAACTGTACAGTACATAAGTATAAACACGCTGTTGATGATGAGAACTGCTGTTAGAAAACCACACACAAAAACAAACTAACACACAATCCTCCCAGATTCCACGGAACTTGTTTATGGGCTTTGCCTCCTAGAACAGTGGAGTGGTCTGGTTGTTCGTGGGGTGGTACGTATAAGGATCCTTCAAAGTAAAACCCAGAGGTGTATGAGTGTGGGTTTTGAGGAGGAGTGATAGTTGAATTTATAGAAGATAGGGGCTTAGTGACGAGTATAGATGAGCACTACCTTGCTAATTGTAGCACAAGGTAGGTTTGAGAACGACGAGGATGACGAGGTGACGAGGTTCCCAGTGATAGCAGGCTCCTGACGCACAAACTGTAGTGCTCAGAAGGACTCTAATTGAAAGGGATAACAATGACTTCAAAAGTGGGAAGTGACGATGACAGCAGTTGACAGTGGTAGCAGTGGGAAGTGTTGTGACCACACTGGATCACAAGTAGCAGAGTAGTGAACCTGAATTTAGAGAAGAAGTCTGGAATGGAGTTCTTGCTTTTTTTACAAGGTAAAATACAGGGGTTTATATAGTAAAAGAAAAGTAGGCTATGCACAGTATAGCTGTGCAAAAAGAATGAGAAAGAACATGAAGGAAGGAATGTATGCTGACAAATCCTGTGTAGGTAGTACAGGATAAGATTGTCGAAAAAGGAAAAGAAAGGGATAGAACAATGAATGCTGTGAGTAATGTCACAGGTTTGTACAGCCATAAAGTAAAGTCCAATAGCAAAAAGAGAGCAAGAAAATCATGAAGTCATGGGAAGATGCAGTAAAAAAAGGGTAAAGCAAAAAGAATATCAGTATCAACAGTTCCTTTATTGTCAGTCAGGCATTCTAAAAAAATATGTGTCCATAAAAATGATTCAAAAATCAAAAATAATCGCACTGTAAATGAATGTTCTGCTGAAGAAAAAGAAACTGGAGCCACCGGTCCACCACCTAGTCCAAATCCGACAGTTCCATGGCCTTACCAATGGACTGGTTGTGTTGGACCACCTGATCAAACGAGGGAGGGAGAGGAGTAGTTCCAATTTGGAACAAGTGAGTCCCAGGCAGCGTGTGGTAGGTGTAGCTGTAGCGAAGACGATGGACAAAAGATAAGTGTACCCAAGTGAATGGGACAGCGATGAACATGGGCGACGCAAGGGGATGAACCTTCTCCAGCTCAAAAACTACCCACCCACACTCCAACCAGGCAAGACGAGCGACCGATGTTTTGATAGTATATGATGGCAGATCGACGTCATGAAGATGGACCTGTTGCCCTATTTGGACTGCCCGCCGGGGCTTTGCTGATATCAGCAGTGGCACGTGGTAGTCAACAGATCGGCGACGGAAGCAGATAGGAAGTGGTGACATCAGAAATGGTGGGGGTGCAAATAAGATGAGGAGGAGGAGGGTGGAGGTGATGAAAAAGTGGATTAGAATGGGGATCCAGAAACGACCGTCAGGTGAGAATAAAAAGGAGAGGAAGGGGCCCATGGTGGGGCTAGGCAAAGGAAGGGGAGTAAGGGAAACGACAAAAGCGAGGGCGCAATGCAATGTGTAGCCAGTGGCGAGGCAAAAATTTGCCAAAATGCCAAAATGTGGAAAGTACCGAATGGAAAAGCAAAGGTGAGCGTGACTGGATTGCCTAATAGAGGTGGTGCTGATCAGCCACAAGTTCAAAACAGGCAATATTAATTACTATTCCACGTGGCACTGTGCCTGTGTGGCGCAAAGGCGAGTCTTTTTGAATATTCGCTTCGTTATTGACACCTGTCCATGCTACCAATCAACTTTGGTGCATGACAACGCTGTAGTAGTATATAAACCCCAATAGATCCAGGAGACTCCTCAGCGAGTCCTCCTGTTGTTTACCCACAAATAACTCGGTCCTATCTTAAGGGGTAACCACTCCCTCTCATTACTCTCTTGCTTGTCTGAGTTGTGCGCCAGAGTAACTAACTCTTCGTTGTTACATTAGGACTCACTCTTACTACTCTCTCACACTTTGTGCAAACCCGGTCCCCAGGGTTTAGGGGTTATTGTTTTGGAATATCCCAAATAGCAGAAGGGTGCGCTCCTAGCGACAGTCCTGTAGTGCTCAGGGAGAAGGGAAGATTATCAGATACATGGCCCCCAGTGTCAAGGGGAGTACTTTAGCTCAGAAATAGTGTGGAACTATTGTTGATTAGAATTTATATACAAAACTTCTTCTTCAAATACCTCTGACCAGGCCGGGCACTTGCCTCTGCCAGTTGGAGAAGGGTTGACAGCTTAACAAGTGGACCACCCCCTGACAACTGTTCAGACCAGGGTTCAAATACTATAACTTTATATACATTTCCAAATACTATAGTGTGGGTAGTCTGAGATTGAGATCTGATACTCAGCTGGGAAGAGGTTGATCCGCAGATAGCAAGCGGGGACCCCAGGTACCTTTTTTTTTACATTACCAAAAAGAACAAGTTGACATGTTGTTGCAAAACCAACCTGATGTCAACACTCTGTTGCACAACATGCGTGCACAGATCTTGATGTTAACTACGCAACTTGCCAAGCTTCAGGAAAACCCCCCTGTAGCTACTACATCTGGATGAAAGTTCAGCAAGAAAGTCGAGATCATTGCTGACCCCGGTGCTTTTGAAGGAGACCGGGCTCAATTTGCCAAATGGTGGATCAAGCTCCAAATTTGGATCAAAGCGAACTGGAACGCATTCGCTGATGATTTTGAGATAGCAACAGCTGTGCTGTCAAGACTCAAAGGACCTGTGGCAGGTCAATATGCCCAAGTAAGACCCCAGGAATGCTACACCACGGGTGTATGGCCTACCTGGGACAATCTCAAAGTAGAGATCAAAGAATATTTTAAACCACAAGCTAAACGTGACTGGGCGCATCAGCAAATCCATTCCTTCAAACAAGGAAACATGAGGATGGATGACTACGTAACCCGGTTCCTGGCTCTCTCCATCCAAGGAGGGCTTGGAAATGAACACACAGTAGAACTGCTGGAACACAATGTGAACCCCTACATTGCCCAACAAATCTACTTGCAGGATACAAGAAGCAACGACCTGGCCCTGGCGGCTGAGGAAGTTCGATGAATTGGTAGAGCCATGGAGCTCTACGCTATGCACCAAGGTGGCGGGTCCACCACCAAAAACAACTATTTCCAGAGGAGCCCTGGGTTATCAAACCAAAATAAACAACATTCTCACAGGTTCAAGCCGTTTGGGCTGCAACCAGGGCAGGGAGCCCCTATGGATATCGGCACGGTCCAAGGTGGACAGATGCACAGATTCAAGGGGAACTTCTACAATTGTGGCCAAGAGGGACACATGTCCCAAGACTGTAGAAACAAGGTGCAGGCCGCCCAACAAAAAAATAACCAAGGGCGCCAGACACGCCAATTAGAAACTGAAAAGCTGGATGATTGGCTCAATACTCTGGCCGGTCGTTCGTACAACAAAATCCAGGCCTTTTTTTTTTACGACCAACAGGTCGCTGAGATGAAGGCTCAGGGAAAAGAGTTCGGAGCTTAGGCCACTTGGGTGCCTTTGCTCCTATGAACAATGAAGTAAACCACAACAAAGTGGCCACTACTCTGGGGTGTTGCACGAGCAATCAAGGAAAGACAGGGGTGGCTCCCCAAATTGTAAATAGATTTTTAAATTTGTTATCTGAAGTATGTATGTGTATGATGTAACGACCAAGAGTTTGTTACTCCGGCGCACAACTCAGACAAGCTATAGAGAGGATGATGAGGGAGTGGTTACCCTTTGGGCTTCAACAAGTTAGTTGTGAGTATACAACAGGAGGACTCACTGAGTCCTTCCCCATGTATTGCTCCTGTATATATACTAAAATACATGAGGTACTATACAGTTGTAAATAAAGTTTAAAGTCCGATGTCTAGCATGTGACCGGTCACATGGTGAGTCTAGGCACTGGTCAGGTGTTGTGTCGCATGACTTGGTCATGTGACTATGAAAAGTCGAAAATGTAAAGTAAAGTAAATGGTCACATGACTGGTCATGTGACTTGGAAAAATAAAAGTAAAAATATGAAAAAGGTGAAGTGTAAGTAGGTACTGGTATGTCAATTGTAACAACATGAGATACTACATCTTCTTGTCCTTGTACCACCATCATCCTCATACCACCATCCTATCACCAACACCATGAAGCAAAGGGTATGCAAAAGGTATGTTGTTCCCTCCTGTTGCTTGCAGTTTCACTAATATATGTCTTAGAAAAATGCTTTGGATGCCACTGTTATGGTGAAGACCACACTATTTCATTGGTCTACTAGTACTGATACTATACTACTTTGGAAACCCAATGCAGAGGTGTTGTTGTTTTGGTTCAGCAGGTGTTGTTTTATATCATCTTCAACGCCTGTGTAGTATGTCCCTGTAATTTATTGTGTTTCATTGTTATATGTTTTAATTCAGTGTTTGAATAGTCCTGAAATCATTGGAAGAAAATGATTTAGAATGATATAACCAGTGTCAATATTCTACATTAGCTGACAATAATATTCTAAGGATTGAAAGGGTTATTTTGGTATTTAGATAGATACAGAGCAATATATTCGGTGGCAATTGTTCCCCATTGGCCTAAATATTGTCGTTTCCGGCTGGGGCGTTTCGGGCCCGAGTCGTGAGAACTATGTATGACCAGGTAAAATCAATCGACCAAGTCACGCACGTACGTAGTAGTTGATCGGTCTTCAGGTCAAAAATAGGTCTGATCGATATTGCAGGCACCAACCGATGCTAGCAGCCCAATCTTATAATAGGCCTGTAGCTGCGGTTGTACCTTGCTTTTTTTTTGGTTATAACGTACGGATCCGTAGTACTGCCAGGTTGGTGGGTCAGTGAGGTCACCGTCTGTTCGGATGGGCTATTCGGACGTAATCAAGGGACAATACTTATGATGTTCGGCCAGGGACTCAGAAACCGCCAGTGGTAAGTGTTTAGAACATGCAGAATTGATTTAGATTTACTTGAATGTTCCATCCGAACAGACGGCAACCAATGCCATACGGAAACGAATTCCAGAAACTGATCGGACAACTGATGCCCATGTAGACCCTTGAATATTAAAAACTTGTTTGTTGTCCAGCCTTTTTTCAAACAAATGCTGCGCAGGAAGAACCGAACAATGATGGCTAGTGTGAAGTCGCTTTGCCGCATCTCGGTTTCACCTCGGTTTCATTGCGCAGTGTCTGACAAACATTTCGTGTTGAGCCTAAAAGTGCGGAAGACGCAAGATGCAATTGCGACTTTCGTGTTCCAGCAGAAGCACTTGAGGCGAGTATCGTTTTTGAACCACGTTTATACTTCTATAACAACACACGTATCAGGTCAGACTGGACAAATCATTGTCAACATATTGTAGCTCTTCCCTGTCTCGATGAGTCCAACCGCTATTCTCACTGCCTTTGTCCATAACTTCGACAAACCGTTTTGTCGCTCACAAGTGGTCAAGTCCTCGAATTGCTCCGTTGCCGATTTCGGCATTAACTTTCATAGGGAGGATCTTGTCTCGCTTTTTCGCCGACAAGTTTTTACAAGGCCTGCTTCTGTAGCTCTTAAAGACGACCAGTTCACGCTCACATACTCAGAGCTTGATGTATGGTCAAGTCTCTTCTGTGAAGCTATAACATCTCACTTGGGTCACTACGAATCCGAGTCTATCATTGCAGTCTGCTTTCCTCGCTCTGCTCTTCTTCTGGTGTCGGTTTTGGCAATTGCCAAAGCAGGTCTAGCTTATGTTGCTCTCGATCCCAATCAAACTGTCCCGTATATCCAGAAACAATTGGAGCAAAGTTCCGCTCTGCTTTTGCTCACCACCTCATGCCTCTCTCATATTCACGCGGCTGTCGCACCCAACAAGATATTCATAGCGGAGACCCTACTTCCTCACGCTCGAGAAAAATGCCGTTCAGCCATTCATGTCATCCCCTCTGGAATAGGATCCTCCCTCTCGAATTCTTTGCTTACTGTCCTATTCACAAGCGGCACTACGGGTAAACCCAAGGGCGTCATGATAGATCATCGTGCTATGATAAATGCGATCAATGGTAACCTGAGCGCCCTGCAGCCCGGAGAGCGCGTCGCAATTACCGCCAATCCTGCGTTTGATGCATGGTCCCTCTTCGTTTGGGAAGTAATCTGTAAAGGAGCGGTTGCCATAATGTACACGTCGCATCTCGCCGACCTCCATACGTTTGCAGAATTCGTCAAGAACGAGCGCATAGATAAAGCTTTCCTTCCTACCGCAGCATTTGCTCGCTTGGTAGAAGAACCGGGGCTAGTCGTTTCTCTTAGTCGCACGCTTCGCAGACTCATTGTCGCTGGAGAAAGACTCGCTCCGGAGGTTGTTCGACAATTTAGCTGTGTTGGTACTCGAATTGAACTCATTAACGCATATGGCCCCTCGGAGACAGCTGTTCTCACAACATTCCACAAAGTAGATCTTACGACCGATATCGTGGAGAGCCAGGAAATTCCCATTGGCCAACCGATTTCAAACCTCCGCGTTCATATCCTGGATTCTGATCTTTTGCCTTTACCCCCCAGAGAAATTGGCGAAATTTGTATCAGTGGTCCAAGTCTTGCCCGTGGCTATCTTAATCAAGAACATCTCACTAAGCAAAATTTCCGTGGGTGGATTACTTTCTCATAATGACTTGATCTTACTCGCTCTATCGAAATAGCATATATTACAGATTCTCGAGGCCTCGTTACACGCGTATATCGTACCGGCGATTTTGGCTACCTGACACCACTCATTGACGGGTCATTCCTGCTGCATTATAAAGGCCGCCGCGATAATCAGATGAAGTTACGTGGCCAAAGGATTGAACCGTCGCAAATTGAAAGCGTTCTGCTTCGGCAACAAATTCCTGGCATAGTTTTTGGCGGTCAAGCCGCAGTCGTATCGACAGACACCGACCAATTGATCGCTTACGTTGTAGGGAAACCCCGCGAAAGTAGTGCGGGTCAAGATGCCGAGCTTATTCGGGAAGCTTGGAATACTTTTGGAAACGATGCAGAAAATTATGCCGACGTTGGCTCCTCGCTTGTCGGTGTTGACTTCGCGAATTGGAACTCGATGTAAGTATTTGAAAAACGTTTGCTACAGCTCTTGAAACCTGATTTTTGTTTCATTTCGATGTAACTTTAATAGGTATGATAACGCACCAATTCCTCGGGATCATATGTTGGACTGGCTCGAAGACACGGTTAGGAGCATACCTGTCGAGCCGAGTGACTCAGTGTTGGAGGTGGGATGTGGAACAGGCATGCTACTATTCCACGTTGCGACACAATGCCAAGACTATACCGGTATCGACATTTCCCAACCTAGTATCGATTTTATTCGATCGCAGTTACCATCTCGAGGTCTCGCAGATAGCGTCAATGTTTTCCACGGCGAGGCTAGTCAGCTCCCTGAAATCCTACCCACAGAGAAGCGCTTTTCCCTCGTCATTATGAACTCTGTCGTCCAATATTTCGGCTCTCGCACTTACTTAGAGGATATTGTAAACATTTGCCTTAGCCAAGTCGATGACGGAGGCCGTATCTTCTTTGGAGATGTGCGTAGTTTCAGCCTGCTGCCACACCATGACCTGGCGTCCACGGTTCATTGCGGCTTGAAAAATAGCGCTACAACAACTCAAATATCCCAGGAACTCGCCCGACTCTCCGATAGTCAATCCGAACTCCTCGTAAATCCCTCATTCTTCCTTAGTCTCGCCAAAACCTCGAATGGACGTATAAAACATGTTGAGATCATTCCAAAAGAAATGGAGACTCTTAACGAGCTTAGCCAGTTCCGCTATCAGGTTATCTTGCATGTCGGTCAGCTACCATTCACTCCCCTGAGGCCCTCCGTGTGGTCTACGTATAGCTCTCCTGAAGATTTAGAGGAGCTTCTATCTTCTGGGGAAACCGTGGCCATCCATGGGATTCCTAATAAAGCAGTAGTGGTCTTGCAGGAGGCCTTGAAGCTCTTGCGCTCTGACCATCCTTCTCCCACCTTGAGTGCTCTCATGGAAGCCGCGACTACCAATCTTGCGAACGTCCATGCACTCTTACCATCAGATCTTCGCCGTATAGCTCATCGTCACGGTCACCAAGTGGATATTAGCTGGGGCTCTCAATCTTTGGATTGTACGTTTAGTGCGGTCTTCACCAAAGAAGCTGGGGGTTTCAATTTTAAAGCGGATTTCGGAACTTCCGTTGTTGACTCGGATAGCGAGCTCACCAATGTGCCAAAAATTCGACAAGTCCACACAATTTCGCCTAAAGACGTTGGTCTAAAACTTCGAGAAGCTTGTCGTTCTGAGCTGCCTAGTTACATGGTTCCCTCCCATGTCATTCTCCTGGACGAATTGCCTCACACATCAAACGGCAAGGTCGATCTCAAAAAGCTATCTTCTCCAGATATGTGGCAGCCTTATCTAGTTTTTGATGGGATCTCTAAGGATAAGGATGGCGATATTCTCTCTGCGCGGACTGAAACGGAAAAATTGATCGCTGAGATGCTTTCCGAGGTACTCGCTATGCAACCAAACGCCATCCCCATCGATGCAGACCTCTTCTCGCTCGGGTTGCATTCGTTTAGTGCTGCCAAACTCGTCTCCAGGTTATGTGACAAGTTCAAAATACCAAAGTTCCCCATTAAAGTCATATACGACTCGCCCACCGTTATTGATCTTGCTACAGTGATAGATGGTCACGATGGAGAGACCACGTCGAGTTTGTTAAGCTATAGCGAGGACTTTGAGAAAATATGTAAGGCCCTGCCTACATCGTTCCCCCCAAGGCGACAACTCAAGGCCAAACGCACATATTTTCTCACTGGCGCGACAGGATTTACCGGCCTCTTCATTCTCCGTGACCTAATGCTCCGGCGTGAGTATGATGTTGCAAAGGTGATTTGTCTTGTGCGGGGTTCTTCTGTGGTGGCATGCACGCAGCGTTTATTCGCAAGTGCTGCGGAATACGGAATCGACACGAGCAGCTGGATAGTGGAGGGCTCAGAATCTAACCTGGAGGTGCTCCAGGGTGATCTCGGCCTTGATCACTTTGGGCTGGACGACTCAATCTGGAAACGCATGACTGACGAAATTGATATTTTCCTGGCGAATGGTGCATTGGTATGTTCAGCGACTGTGTGTTCGTTTTTTCAAATTCCCTGACATTAATCTGCAGGTTAATCTTGCTTTGGATTATTCCTCCATTAGGGCACCAAACGTTGGTGGTTGTCTAACTGCGATACGAATGTGCACCACAAAGCATTTGAAAGCTCTGACATTTGTCTCCAGCATGGGTGTATATAATACAGCTGTATACAAAGCACGTAGTGCCGCTGGTCTCCCTATCCTTGAAGACGACGATCTCGAGGATGCTCGCACTGGTCTTACGATTGGTTACCTGCAGTCCAAATGGGTTTCAGAGAAGATCATCATGTGGATGGCTAACCTGGGTATGCCATGTAATATTGTCAGACCTTGCCACATCAGTGGAGATTCAACTACTGGCGCTGTTAGCAACGATGATTATTTCTGGAGGTGAATTGGCTCGTGCCACGCGTTACGCTCACTAACTCTCTGTCTTTGGCACTTAGATATACTCTTGGATTCATGGAGATGGGTTTGTTCCCCAATAAAAATACTGCGCTACAATGGGTTACCGTCAATTATACGGCAGCTGTTTGCATAGCTGCTGCTGTAGCTGCGGCAACTGGGTCCTCTCAAGAATTTTCTGAGGTGGTTTACAACGTGGTGCCATCAAGCTCGATGAGCTGGACCGAGTACTTGCAGGTGCTTCAATATTATGGTTACGACTTGAAGTTGGTACCAATCGACACCTTCTGCAAACACCTTTCTTCAAACGAAGTGGAGCTCAGTCAAGATGTACTACAATTCCGGGATTACTACGTAAGTTTTTCTTTACAGGGCCTTTTTCACCTTCGACATCTTTTTAATCATCTTTTTGGTTATGTCATAGCATGCAGACATGTCGGAAGATGATCCGCCTCCGAAATGTGACGGAAGGAACGCTCAGTTTCTCCTTACTAGACATCATCCATGGGAGCGTGATATCATGCCACTTCAGCGAAGCCTTGATGATGAGACGATTGGACGGTGTATTGCCTATATGGTGGCCATTGGATTCATGCCCCCACCGAGCGTGTATGAGCCCAGTAGGTCCGACGAGAACAAACGCAAACTTCCTAGTATATGTGTAGCCCCTCGTAATGGCTCGACTGTTCCTCGCAGAAGTGTGATTCTGGTATGCAATCACTGATTTATTGTCACATAAATGCTTACCACTTCGTTGTAATTATAGCGATAAACCAACACTGTGATGAAAGATACTGGTATAGAGTGTGTTTGGACATGGAACAAGCTTAGATTTTTCGAAAATAATTAATAATTGAGCTACAATGTATGCATTTAGATCATGGTGTAGATGATAAAGGGTGTTTTAGCCTCCAACTTGAATGCATCAATGGCAAAACCAGATATATATAAGCGCTAGATTCGTCCCAGAGCTCTGTGACGTTACTGTCACGGTGACTCGCCATATGCATGCTCTTCTTCGAGTCAGAACCTTTGATCCTTTTCCTCAGTCTTACGCCAGTGGTACTGCACTTGCCACATCTGCCACGAGGATATAACTGATAACATTATCTAGATATCTCGCCCGAATGCTCGCATAATCATACAACAGAACAAATACTCTTTTCTACCTGAACAATCACCACCCTTGAACATTACTATCCGCAATTTTGGCTTCAGACAATCCAGGCTTTTCGGTCGCTCTTCTCTGCATTATTGGTTTAATTGCGCCTTATCCATACTCTTGCTTTCAATATTGGCGACTAACCAACGGGCTGCAATAAAGAACTGATCCACGTAGGTCTTCATACGCTCTGAGAAGAGGTCATCGTAATCTACTTCGACTTTTACTCGTTCCCCGTTGACAATGGTAGTCCAAGCGATAGCCAAATCGGTATCAAAACCCGAAGGACCTGGTTGCAAAATTGTGCTCGTCACCTGTGTTTCGGATCGCAGGTTCCACGCAAAACGAAAGAAAGAAGTGATGTCTTTGCCGACAAGCCGCTGCACTTCTTCCATATCCACGAGAGACATATCCATGAATTCATGTTGAGCGGATTGAGTACGATGAAGCATCTCAAGCACGGTTTCATTCGATTTGAAGTCGACGAAATCAATGAGAGGGCTGAGGGTGAGACCACATATTTCGGCAATTCCTTCAACTGGTGCGTTACGGCAGAAATGAATCTGACCAAACGCCACTGAGTCTCGTTTTGTTTCTCTTCGCAAAACCAAAGCCATCGCGATCTTCAATATAGTTGACGCTTGAATACCAAATGCTCGTAGGACTTGTTCAAGGCCGTCAATATGCTCTTCTCGCTCAACATTTGGACCCAATATCGAACGGGTTATATAACCCGAAGAGGCATCGTCGAATGGGAACGGTACGGCATCGACGTTGGCAAGTTTGCTCGCAAGCCAAGCTGCATGGGCTGGGTTCTTTATTTCTTTACTCTCAAAATCAACGAAATTGCGGAAAGGTACTGGCTCGGGTAATGAATGCCCCAAAATGGTGCTCTCGATTTCAGTCAAGAGCCGGTCCCGGGTCCAGGCGTCAATTGTCGCTTGTTGGAAATAGCAGAGGACAGTTGGAGGATTAGATCGGAAGACCTCCAGGTGAAATAGATTGTACGGTGGCTTTAACAAGTACCGTGGATCATGTTGGAGCATCTTTCGGATTGATTGGATATCCATTGCGTCGCTGATGGTGATTATCTCGTCGCAAAGCCTTTTAGAATGGCGGAAAACTACTTGATGGGTACCCTCCTGGAGGAAAGTAGTGCGCAAAATCCCATGACGCGAGACAGCAGTGTCCAGTGCGCGCAAAAGAGTGTCGAGGTCAGTGTGTGCTGTCCAAAGCTCGTGGGCCATGGGCCATGGATCTCTCAAACACATTTTCTGAGTGGTGGTTGTCCCGTATACATCCTCCACGTCGTCGGCAGTAAGACCACGAGCACGCAGAATCTCGTCCAAGGCGCCTTGATCGTAAGTTACTTCACATCTTTTGCGCGTGTTGGTTGACTCTAACTTTTGGTTCTCAGTCGAATGCGATTGTAGCCGCTGTTCCAAGTAGGAGCTTAGTGCTATAACGGATGGATATTTATAAATGGTGGAGTAGGACACCACTCCAAACCCAAATTCAGCTTGAACAGAGGCCAAGAGTTTTGGGGCGCGGAACGAATGTAATCCAAGCTCGATAAGGGGCGTTTCAAGAGGAACCTAGAGAGCGCATGGCACATCTATCAGCAACCGTGGTTTATAGCATACCCTGTGATCACATACTTTTAAAGCATCCAATTCCAATACTTCCCCGACGCATCTTTGGAGACGAGCCTGGGTGTCATTTTGCGGTTCATACAAGTCCACCTGTTGGACCAAAAAATCCACATCCTGTGCCCAATAGGTGGGCTGGGCAAGCATTCTACGGTCTACTTTGCCATTGCTGGTCAAGGGCAATGTATCTTTGAAGATCACATGGTCTGGCACCATGTAAGATGGGAGCTTCTCGCGACACAACGCCTGTAGCCGGACGGCCAAGGTCCCAGGGTCTGAACCAGGTACAGCAGTGCTCGTGTCAGGAGTGCTGGCTGGTTCATCGTCTATGCGATTGTTACCAAAGTCAGCCTTGATGTCAGAACACGTGCGAGAAAATACAGCAGCGAGGGTCCGATCAACGCCCAAGGATTTCCAACTAAGCTCGACATGCCATCCATATTCAATACCAATAGACGTAATATCGTATGGCGACAGCGCTTGAACGCACCAGTCCGCAGCAGCCGCAGCTTGAGTAAGCCCCAAAGCGGTCAACGGAGGTTTGCTATCGCGTAAGAGTCGCAGTATCACCTCTTGCCTGGCCACAAGGGAGTTTGGAATACCGCGCACGGCCAAAGTCTGATCAGAACTAGAACCGAGTATATACTTCAAGTCGGAAATCGAACTGTATTCGATCCATTGGGTTGGCGCGGCTAAAGGTGGAGGCTGCGACCCAATGTGGAGGACAACTTGGTAGCGGAATTGACTGAGCTCATTGTGAGTGGTCATTAACTTGGGCAAAATTTCGACGTGCGAGATGCGGCCGTCAAGCTTTTCTTGAAACTGGAAAAAGAACGATGGATTCACCTTAAGTTCGTTCTGCCGATATTGCAATGACTCCAGTCTTTCTTGTATCTCGAAAGTAGACAAGTCAGGTGAAGGATCACAGTGAAGAACCCGTGCTAAGTCGTGGTGTACGTCAAGTCCGAGACTACGAATATCGCCAAGGAAAATTCGGCCACCATCATTCAGTTTATCCGCGCAATGGCGCAAAACGTTTTCCAAATAATCTCCAGATGGGAAGTATTGCACGACGCTATTGATAATGATTAAATCGACTTGTTTTTCAACCGGCAGGAGTCGTGGTAGCTGATCCGCCATACCCTGAATAGTCTGGACCTTGCTTGTCAGACCACGATTTTTGATCTGAGCCTCGACGAAAGCCAATGAATGACCCGACATATCAATGCCAATGTATTCTTTGCACCGGGGTTCAAGAGAAAACAATAACATGCCGGTGCCGCAGCCGACCTCGAGGGCGGAGTCGTTAGGTTCCAAGGGGATACTATCCAGAGTGTCGGTAAGCCATTCTTCCATGGCTGATCGAGATATTGGCACGCCATCGTACATACTCACCTTTGGAGATGTAAGCATACGACCACGAAATATCGAGGAAAGGACACACCCAACCAGTGAAATCCCTCCCAGTCATCGTAGAATCAATACTCTCCCAGTCGTATTGGGCCTGGAAAGCGTCCCATGCATTCTGATTTACTGTGAATTTTACCGCATCGTCTCGAACCTTTTCATCTTCGGCGTCTTTTTTGACCACAAAGGCAAGCATCCTATCGTTTTCTGTCACCACGACAGCAGCTTGGCCTATGCCGTGACCTCTACTGCACAGGACAGCTTCGATCTCCCCCGGTTCTAGGCGTTGGCCACGAATCTTTACCTGGTTGTCATTACGGCCCACGTACTCGAGCATAGGTCCCCTAGGAGATGACACAAGTTTGCCGATATCGCCAGTTCGATATATCCTAGTGGCCTTACTGGATTCTCCAAGGCCCATCACCGTAGCTGTGATTTCACCGAGGATTAGTTACTTTTCAGTCTGACAAGTTTGGTACTTACTGAATTTGGCAGACGAAACTGAAGATGAGTCAAGATAACCACGGGCTAGTGCTGCTCCACTAATACATATCTCTCCTGGATGTCCGAAATCTACCGGGTGAAGGTCCTCGTCTAAGAGGAAAAACCCAGTGTTTGGTATGGAGCTGCCAATCGGAATAGGTCTGCTGGTTTCATCGTCGAATTGAAGAGCCTCTTGAGTGACTTCGAAGAGGGTGGCACAGACAGTTGTCTCTGTCGAACCATACCCGTTTGTCAACCGAACATCAGGAGCATGTCGTAGGAATGTCTTTGCGACAGTAGTGCTGAGCTTTTCCCCACCGATGTTGATCATGCGGAGCGTGGCATTAAGGGAGGCCGCGACATTGGCATCACCAAATAGACGATGAAAGACAGCAGTAGGAAGAAAGGCCTTTTGAATCCGCTTTTCTCGGAAGAAGGCTGCAACAGCGTCTGTATCTGCTAGGTGTGCTGTCAAGATGAAGATGGTTGCGCCATGAACGAGGCTGTTCCAGATCTCGAAGGAGGCAGCATCGAATGAGGGGTTGGCTGTCAGAGCGACACGATCACCTGGTTGGATTTCCAAGGTAGGACCATCCACAAGATTAATCATGCTGGCCTAAGTAAATTGTGAGTAGCTGGGACACATATTACTTACTTAGAGTAGACTTACGTGTTCGATGAGCACTCCTTTTGGTCTCCCAGTGCTGCCTGAAGTGAAAAGAATGGCAAGGAGAGCGGTGTTATCGACGTCCACGCAAATCGAGGAGGGTTGTTTGTGGTGATGCCCTGATAGGACAGTAACAATGGAAGCGATATCGAATGTCAGTGGAAGTTCGGATAGCCCAGATAGCTTAACGTCAGTGAGCCCAGAGGCTACTAGCAGAAGCTGAGCGTCGCATTGGGACAACTGATCTTCGACCCTAGCCAGGGGAGCCAATGGGTCAAGAGGTACGTATGCAAATCCAGCCTTAACAACTGCTAGAATTGATACTAGCAAGAGAGTTGAACGAGGGATACAGATACAGATAGCGACATGGCCGGAAGCTTTCAGTGCATTTGAGCGAGACGAAATGTGATGAGTGAGGACACTGGACCAATGGTCTAGTTGCTGGAATGTCAAGGTGAGTGTGTCGTCCTGGACGGCGATGGAATTCGAACGCAGTGCTACGTGCTGACGAAAGCGACTGATGAGATTATCCATGATTTGTTGGGAAAACCACCTTTGAGCGCCGAGGAGACTTATTATAAAAGACTTTCGACTCGGAGGCTCAGTGACTCGTTGACTTCACCTTCACCTGCAAAACGTATACCAATTCTTTCGGAATAAAATTACACCTTACTGTACGCGGTTATTTACAAGATGTTGAACCGGCGACACTGGAATGATGCGGTCATGGGATCTCACGGCACTGTCTTCACTAAGTCTATTATTGGAAGCGAACTGACGAAGCGGACTGGAGAAATCGTTTTGTTTGGCTTGCCGGAACCCGAGTAACACGCACGGAAAATGTTGACATACTAGGAGACCATACTACTCCTGCGACCCGAACAAGTCGGCGAACAGGATCACGATGAGACCCACGATCTGGTGCCAATAAGGTGTGACAAAGTAAAGATATCTATTGCTTTTCAATTAGTTCATGTTGCGGTTATATCAGGGGTCCGTGTTTTGGTCTCCGCTGAATCGCATTTGACTGCGACGATTTGGATAAAATCTCTTCGGTACTGAATTGTTGCATCTGCGAGTCTTTTTCCGTAGGCCGGTCGAGCACTCATTTCCATTGACTCCCAAGGACTTGAAGCTTGCAATGTCTGACTTTATCGCCCTCCCCTTTGCTCCTGACGTGGGTCTACTGAAGCTCACTTGGACTTCAGCTGTTGTCTCTGCAGGCGTCCTCGCTATCTTGTACTCTCAATCCAAGAAGGATGGTTTCAATTACCTTCCTGGATTTCCCTTCGTCGGCGCTTGGTCTTTCTTCACAAAGCGTGCTGAATTCCTTGACGTTGCCATTACGGCCAACCGTAGCGGAAAAACGTCCAAGTTTAATCTTCGCAATGTATTTGTCTTCTCGTGTATTCTGTCTCTATCTTCAGTTAATCAGTTTCAATATTCTGTAGCACAACATCATCATTGCCACCAATGAAGATGGCCGAAAGGTCTTCTATGGTACGCGAGGTCTCAGCGTCAGTGATGGTTATGCGGCACTTTGGGGCACAGTCAGTAGTTATTATTCACATTATTTCTGCAAAGCTGAATCACACGTTTTAGGCCCCTAGTCTGAATGAAGCGCTTGGCGAAGTCGAATCGACGGCCAAACAATCCAACTTTTTCATGAAACGACTTCAACCGCTCTTGCACCGGGATCGCTTGCACAGACGTAAGTTGCATACTTACATTTTTTACGTGACACTCACGCTCTTTTCATGTCTAGTTATTCCAGAGCTTTTTTCTGACCTTAATGTTCACTTGGAGTCTTGGCCGCAGTCTGGCCACATGGATCCATTCACCCATGTCTGGAATGTAAAAATTATATATTATCATTCCCGTTCACTATAACTTATACGCATTCTACGTAGGTCATCTTCCACTTGACGAACCGTGCCCTAGGTGCTAGAGAAGTATGCTTAGTTTTCTTTAGTTCATTGTTTGGCTTGATCAACTTTTATCTTCATAGCTCGCCGACGACTTGTCTACTGTCAAGGAGCTTGCTACTCTTTATTGGAGTGCGGAGCAGGACCCTAGTCCTTCTTCTGTTCTCCTACCATGGATTCCTTCTCGTACGAAGCAACAACGGATGGAGGCTATGGGCACACTTTATACCACATTCGCTGACACCATAAACAAGAGGATATCGGAAGGAAGATCTGAAAACGATGCCGTCCAATTCATGCTCGATCAAGACGATACTGTGGAAGAAATTGCTCCGGTGCGTTTGCTAAGTCTGATACATATTCTTTGATTAACACATGAACTTTTGTAGTTCATCATGCAAGCGATTTTCACTGGCACTATCACTACGTGAGCTTTCTCCCCCCGCATCTAGCAAGTCTTCTAATCCGGATTATTCCCTAGCGGTATATTGGTCTGCTGGATCCTGATATATCTCCACACCTACCCGTAACTATTACTCTTCCTGATGTCACTTTCTACAAGTATTGACGTCTGCTCTTTACAGTGAATGGGATGCCAAGATTCGTCAAGAACTTGAAGCACTACTTAATGAGTATAGCCCTGACGCTACTCTCCCTATGTACGCTCGCTTCTCACAAGTACCTGTCGAGGCATGGGAGGGGTCAACGCCTGTTCTGGAGGCCGTGATCACTGAGACGAATCGCATGGTTATCAGTGGCTCCAACATGCGCCGGAACATGGGTGAAGATATTGAAGTCAACGGGCTAAAGGTGAAACAGGGAGAGTTTATGTTGTACCCAATGGGATCACTGCATCACGACGCGGATCATTATCCTGATCCCTTGAGGTGGGATCCTTCACGATGGGCGGATCCTACGCGTCTGGAACGAGAGAGGTCGCAGTGGTCGTTTTTGGGCTGGGGAGTTGGTGAGTATTTTATTTATTCTCATTCTCTGTTTCCTAAGTAATTCATTAATGTCCAGGGTTGCATCCTTGCCTTGGCATGAGGATCGCCAAACTAGATTTGAAACTTGCTGTGTCTCTTTTCATCCAACTATTTGAGTACTCCCGTGTGGACAAGAACGGTAATCCATCGAAGGACATTCCTGTGCCGAATCTTAATGACCTGCATCGTGTTGCTCCGAAGGGAGAGGGCCGGTACTTTCAATATAAGAGGAGACCATCGACTGTAAAGACCGCGATGCTGCAGTAGTTGGATGAGCTTGGGATTACGCTACTTTTACACATTTAACGACCTTTCATGTCTTGGTACTTATTCAAGAAGCTTATTTTTTGGATACGTAGCCAAATTCTACAGGACGTTTGAACGTTCGAACACTTGTAAATAATTACATTCGTACTGAGCTGTTGAGTGCATCACAATTTTCATCACCTTTCTCCCTGCCGAATCGCTGCAAACTTGACTCTAGCCTGACGAGAGCATCACATAAGGAGGGCGTTATAGTATTAGCCTCCGTTGCTGACATAATATAATAAGAGTAAGCCTCGTTCTAAGATCTGGAACCGAGATTGTAATAAGGTTTTATAGGTGGGAAGCCTGGCTTACCCCAAGGGGTTTCGGGAGAAGTGTGGGAATGGCCATCGATCGATCGATCGATCGGTGACCGATTCGGTCACGGCGAAGTTACGATATGATAGAACAATCCAACTTGAAGGATAACGACTATCATATACACGTATTAGGTCTGCTATTGGAGACTAGAACAATCCCTCATCGTCTAGTAGTATTCGGTTGACCAGGAACGTTTTCTGTTCGGAACAGCTAACAATACTTACTTATGTCAATGGCACCGTGACATACGCACACTAGGAAGCTTGTTCTCGGAAGCTTTCCTTCTCGAAACCGAATATCGCTATCGATGCGGCAGCCAAGGTGTCGTAAGTGGAGGACAGGCTCTGCCAGTGGTCCGTCTGCATGGCGGGCTGACTTTTGCTGGTGGTACTACAACTGAATTTAACGAACGAGAGCAAAGTTTACCAGCAACACCAACCACATCAATCATTATCCACGATGCCGTTTAACGACCTTATTCGTCGTTTTCAGATCCAAGTCAGTCTTCGTCCTGATGCTATTGCAGTCCAGGATGCCTCTTTCACCCTCACTTATCAAGAATTGGACCGATGGTCTAATAACCTAGCTCGTGAAATTCACTTGCGTGCACGACACTTGAATCTTGAGGTGTCGAGCCCCATCGCCATTTGCATCCCCCGTTCTGCTCTCCTCATAGTTTCCGTTCTCGCTGTCGTGAAAGCCGGCTTCTCCTATACGCCTCTCGATTCTGCGGCACCTCTCGCTAGGCTAGATGATCAAGTCTCTCAGTGTGGCACCAGCATCCTTCTCGTTGCTGCTGGACTTGCTGGGGACCATATTTCATCCCTTGGTCGGGCTGATACATTTGATATCGCTGCTTTCATAAATCGAACATGTGTTCAGGAGCACCAGGAACTGGTGCCACCTGACTCAGAACTATGTGACAATACCCTCCTTGCCGTTTTTTGGACATCGGGCAGCACTGGACGACCAAAAGGTGTCTGCATCGAGCATGTAAGTCACTCCTCCCGTTCTGATATATATCACCGCTAACATTATGTTCTAGGAAAGTATGTTGAACCTCATCGACCGTCGTCTCATGGACATCCAACCTGGTGATCATGTAGCTATGACAGCTACCCCTTCATTTGACGTGTCGTCTTTGGAAATGTGGAATTCTCTCATCAATGGAGCTACCGTTTTCATTCTTACTTCGAGTTTGGGAGACACAGAAACCACCGTAAAGTTTTTTTGCGAACACAAGATTCAAAAAGTCTTTCTGCCTACTACTGTATTTCACCGCCTTGCAAACGACGACGAGATCTCATCTTCACTTGGTAAAACTCTAAGCTGGATTCTTGTTGGTGGAGAAAGGCTCAACATGGCGAGCGTCAATAATTTCTTCCACCATGCTCCCCATACAAGAATTTTGAACGGATATGGATCTGCGGAGACAACCATTCACGCTACAGATTTCGAAGTCCCTCGAGATCTTTCCAAATACGACGACGCGGCTGGAAAACCAATTCCTGTTGGACGTCCTATAACAGGGGTGCGAGTTTTTCTCTTGGATGAAAACCTTCATGCAGTTGGTTTTGGTATCCCTGGGGAAATTTGTATTAGTGGAGCGGGCCTTGCCCGAGGATACCTGGGCGAATCTCTCTCTTCTTCGAAGAGATTCGGTGAGTTCTATCGGTTATCCTAAGTATATATACTGATTTTTACATAAATTATTTCAGTCACCATTGCAGATATTGAAGAACCGGGATCCAGCCTGCGTATCTACCGCACTGGCGATTTGGGCAAGTTTGTTTCCTCAGATCAAGGACCTCTGCTTGAATATGTGGGCCGCATCGACAATCAAGTTAAGATTCGTGGTCAACGGGTTGAACTCGCTGAAGTGGAAAACGTTTTATGCGCTGGAATGGATGGGGCAGAAGAATCCGCTGTTATTGTCGCAGAAGATAAAATGATAGCTTATGTCACGAAGAATGCAGACAGCGAGCATGATGATAAGAAGGGTGGAACTACGAAAGATGCGTGGGATGCTTTCCAGGCACAGTATGATTGGGAGAATATCGATCCTACGTTGACTGGGGCCGATTTCACTGGCTGGGTAAGCCCCTAAGCTTCCGTGGTGTTTACGCCGATGTTAATGTGTTTTCAATTTGTAAAGGTTAGTATGTATGATGGTGTTCAGATCCCTCGCCCAGCCATGGAGGACTGGCTCGCTGACACGCTGAAGAGTATTCAGATGAAAGATGGCGACTCTGTTCTCGAGATTGGCTGTGGGACGGGCATGATTTTATTTTCACTCGAATCACGGTACAAGGAGTATGTTGGCATCGATATGTCAGAGTCATCTGTGGCCTTCGTCAAAGCTCAGGTCAATCGTCGTGGACTAGGAGATAAAGTAGAAGTCTTCCGGGGCATGGCTGATGAACTCGAGCAGTTGCTTCCAGCTAAACAACGCTTCAGTCTGGTCATCATCAACAGCGTTACACAGTACTTCCCTTCAGGCGAATATCTTGAACAAATACTGCAATCTTGCATTGCTAGGGTACAAGACGGTGGTCGAATTTTCATCGGCGATCTTCGAAGCTGGGGTCTAGATAAACACCATGATTTGGCTCGGATTCTTCATTGCGATCCATCCCCTGAATTGTCGACTTCCGATATTCAGGACCGACTGGATCGTTGGCAACTGCGACAAACCGAACTTAAAGTAAACCCCTCCTTCTTTTACCACCTCGCCAACAAGGTTGGAAGTCGCGTCTCACACGTCGAGATCCTACCTAAGATGATGACGACTCGGAATGAATTGAGCCAGTTCCGCCAGCAAGTTTGCCTTCATATTGGCTCCCACGCTCCTGTGCTGCTCAATCCTGCTTCTTGGGTCGAGTACACGACTGCCTCTGAGCTCGATAACATCCTTTCCTCGGGTGCAAGCGAGATCATTGCCATTCATAGCATCCCGAATGCGCTCGTGGCCGGCCAAGAGGCTGCTTTACAACTTCTACGAAGCGATGCACCGCCCTCGACGGCTACAGACCTGATTAAAAACGCAACTGTTTCAGAATGGTGTAGTCGAGCATTATCGCCTCAAGATATATCTGCTCTGGCTGCCCGCCTTGGGTACCAAGTTGACATCAGCTGGAAGGCTTCAGGAGTTGATCGTACTCTTGCAGCAGTCTTTTCTCGAACACAATCAGAATTGAAAACCAACTTTGGTGACATTGGCTTGGATGATCAACCTACAAATATTCTCGTCGAGTCCAAAGCCCCTCCTGCGAAAGGAAACGAATTTATTTCCAAGTTACGGGCTCGTTGTCGGGAGAAGCTACCATCGTATATGATTCCTAACCATTTCATTATGATGGACGCATTGCCATTGACGAATAATGGCAAGGTAGACCGAAAGCTGCTCGCAGAGCCTAGTTCATGGAAAGACCTCGTCTCTGCCGAAGCCCAAGAAGTCGAGATGTACCAGCCGGAAAATGAAACAGAGGGTCGCGTTCAAAGGTGTGTTGGCGAGGTTTTGGATATGGATACTGCCAAGGTACTCTATTATCTATAGAGAGCTATGCACATGGTCTGACGTACTTCCCTCCGCATCTATTCAGGTCCCTTTGCACACGGACCTCATCGAACTGGGTTTGCATTCGTTTCGCACACCAAAACTTCTATCGGCGCTTCGTGTTGAATTCGCTTTTGACGCACTCTCGTACGCGACTGTTTATAAATGCGCAACAGTGGCAGCCCTGGGTGCATATCTGGAACGAGAAGCGCCTAAGAAACAAAACTCTGGAAACCCAACGCTCCCACGCGAAAGTAAACGACGCGAGGTGCCGTATGATGAAGAAGCTCTCAACAAGGTTTTACTTGCACGCGGATTTACTGTGGCCGACGTAGAGGATGTGTTCGAGACGAATATCTCTCAGAGACTGCCGTTTGAAGAGCCCATTCCAGGCTTTTGCATGTCTCACGAATCCTGGACGGTGCATACCGACTTCGACACACTCATAAAGGCCTTGGAAACGGTGATAACACGTCAGGGAGCTTTGCGTAGCACTTCGTTTTCTTGCTACTCTCGACAGGTAGTCTTCAGATATTCTCAAACTATTCGGGATGAAGTTATTAAGGTCCATTCTCCGGAAGACGTTCCAGACGTTCGCGCTTTACTTGAAGACCCCGCCAGCTATGCCTTCACGCCGCCTGAAACATGGTGGCGTTTCAATGTGATCAAGACCAATCCGATCACGCTGTTCTGCTGTTTTCACCAGTCTACACTTGATGGTTGGGGGCGGCAGATCCTCTTCGGTGAAATCGAAAGTATCATCCTAGGACACACACTCCCTGACCCGGTGCCATTCCGCAATTTTATTGACTATGCAGTTAATGAATGGGCACGCAAATCTTCAGCTGAGTGGCTTGCAAACCGTCTTTCCAGTTCAGACGCTATCCCGTTCCCTCCGTGCGACGAAAACTTGGCATACTCTGCAGCTTCAGTGCTTGGTCCAAACTTTGAACGTACCGAACGGCTATCCGGTATAACGAACATCTCCCACGCATATGGTATTCACTCGTCTACCTTACTGAAAGCTGCGATTGCCTTGGTCATGCGTAACCAGACAAAAAGGAGCTCTGTTGCATTTGGACAAGTCCAATTCGGTCGAAATGCTCCAGTTGAAGGCATTACCCAGATTTGTGGTATGCTTATAAACTGTCTTGTTGACTGCGTTGATTTCCGACCTGGAGACACGGTGCTCGAGTTACTTCGTCGAATCCAGATGGCACAAGACGAATTGATGGACAGGTCACTGGTAAATTTTGACGAAGTACTGCGTTACTGTAACAGAGACTTCAATCCTTTCTTCAACTTCATATGGAACTTACGAACGCGGAGGGAGCCGAAACGTACGGTTATACAACCTGGAGCATTGGGCTTTGACACACCTGTGGCCATTATCTGGACAACCATTGTCGATGGAGAAGACGTGAAAGTTGAGGTGGACTACGATGCATCCTTTTCCCAACTTCTGCCCAGTTATACGAGCCAATTTTTCGAGGCTGCTCGATGGCTGATCTCTAACATTGAGGCACAGGATATAGATGAATTGAATTAATAAACATTTTTCTTTGTGTTAAAGTTACAGCTGATTTCATAACTGATAGACCTATCCAATGAGTTAGTGTACAGAGCGGAACTACAAATGAGCTTAAAATGTAGTAAATCTAAAATTTAGGGAGACTAGAATATTTGGCTCAGTACCGAGTGTGGCTGGTGTGATAAGTGTGATAGCCCAAGTCTTTGAAAAAATTGGTGTAGACTATTCGGTGGAGTGCTCGCCAAAGAAAAAAAAAGGAATCTAAAAACTCTGAGAGGATCATATCAGGCTGTCTTTCAATGCAGCCTTCAAGGAACTAATCAAAAACTTGTTTTATCAGCAAGAAAAAGCTGACACTCGCTTCCAAGCCATCAAGGGCACAAGGCTGTCCTTGACAAGCTAGTTGGTGTCCCACTTCACCAGTGTCCCGGAAGGTCTTCCGGATGCGCCTGATGGTCCATTGACTGATTCCTAGGTAATGGCTAACATGTCTGTCCAAGAGGCCATGGATACAAGACAATTTGTACGCTAGTATCTTGCAGCCTTTCAAAACAAAGGCTTCTCCCACTCTAAGATGCTTTCTAAAATACTCCCTGGAACAGAGCCTACCAGATGTTACATCCACCGCCCTGGTGCTGCTGCAACAATAAGCCTGACCAATCTTGCCGCAATGACCACAGAAATCAGTACCTCATTCTCAATGCCCCCTCCAAGAGCCCCTGCTTCTCCTATCCCTTCTGCCATTTGTACCACTGCCTTCTTCCAGTGTGTTTTCCTCTCCTCACCAACTCTTGTTGTCATCTCAACCAGGAGTGCTGTGGATCCCAGCACACTCCCACCCTCAGTTCTGTCATCATTTATTGCCACAGATGAGGACTCTGGGTCTCACATTACAAGTGTAAGCCATTCCAAGCGGAAGCATAGTGCAGTTGAGAGTAGTGAGTCTAGACTTTCACCTTCTGGAGGTGGCTCTGTTGCAAGCAGCTTAAAGTGTTCCCTGTCCAATGACGGCAACAGCAAAAGCTCAGAAGTGTTGAAGAAGATAACAGACCTGGTCGAAGAACTCACAAAGGGTGCCAATGCAGCTGCAAATGCACCTACCACCGACCTTGGACGTGCTATTGCCCTCCTGTCGTCTTCCAATTTGTCTGATGTAGATAAGGTTGACCTTACCGAGTACTTTACAATGAATCAGGCTGATGGGGCAGCATATTACTATCTACAGAGTGAAGGTGCCAGGGAGATTTGGATTCAGAGAAAGTTGGCTCGGATTCATGCAATGGACACTCATTAAACTGTATCATGCGTTATATGTATGTATGGTTCCTTGTCTGAATACATGTGGCTTCCTACAACCAGAATCTGATTTAAGATTGCTACAAAAACGACAAAAACATGATTACTACGAAAACAGCAGACATCACCTTGAGCCCCCATTAGTGTTAGGACAATTTTACAGACTTGCACAGTGTATTTACAGATAAACATCTTAGGAAAACCTACAACAACAACCACATACACTGCTGCCCCAATCATAACAGATCTGAAAGGTTAGCATTTTGTTTGCATCGCTTCCATCCGCACCCCAAGTTAGATGATAAGGTTGACTTTACAGCTTTAGAGGACTCTATAATTGCTTGATGTCATATTTAATATCATAGAGAAATAACAGTTTCAGTGCTTTGAAATCAATTTGTGATAGTAATAGATGTATATTGACTATGATAATCATTAAAGAAATACATTACTCTGAAAACAACACTTGTAACAGTGGTAGATGTATTTGGCTATGGTAGTGGTTATAAAAATGTATTTTTCTGAATGTATGGTGAAACAGGTATATCTACATTCAGCTATACAAGGCAATATAGCCAGCTTTGTCTTGTATAGTTGACAAAATACAAACCTGTTTGGACAGTAGATTTACATATTATTATAGTGGGTAAAGCTGAAGCCCAGCTATATAGAGCTATATAATAGGGACTTGTCTGATACAATTATACCAGCTATACCAACTATAAGAGCCTATATAGTGCTATATGGGCTACAATAGCTATCTGGGGTTTTCCTGATGTGACAAACTTTTTATCCATGACAGGCATAAATGACTGGAAGCTTACAGACCTTCTTGACCCCCAAGGCTTTTACAGGAACATATTGGCTAATAATGATCTATCTCATATTGTCTTCAACATCCCAGAAGTGCGCAACCAAGATGGCAGGCTAGTTGTGAGGAATCGATTTTTCTTATAGCATTCCCATCATGTTGTGGTTATCTGATTTATTCCCTGTCACTCCTCTTGCTCTTGGACTAGAGATCACAGTTGGCATTCTATTACTCTTATTATTTTATTTTTTATTTTCCATTCATACTCACATCCTATCGTATTTACAACAAAGGAGAACTGTTGTAGACCTTCGAGAAGATATCCAGATGACATAGCAATGATTCAATGCTATGTCTGGGAATACTTCGGAGGAATATAAATAAGCAAGGTAGGCTATGAATCAGCGCCTTCTCATGGGCTTACTGATACAGTCAATCATACACCTCTTACCAATACTCTTTCTCACACAATTAGTAAACACGATAGATTAGACCACTTTCTCTTTCTTTTCTTATTGGTTAGTTGGCTGGTCAGACCACTTTCTTAACCCTTCCTTTTTTTGGTCAGACCATTGCTGTTCACTATATAAGGAAGTACATACTCAATGTATTATTCCTTAGTTCAATATTAGTTTGGATTTGCGCTTATACCGATACTCTTCAACCTCAGTACTCTGATTCACCGCCCTCTTCAGAGACTTAACCAGACATCCGTTGTTGTTATACAGCTTCGTATTTGTTGCCTGACACTAGTCCACCCTGCTATGTATCACAAAACCATACCCAACCAGTCATATGTCAGCATTGAAGTATGTCTAAAACTATGAGTCTGACTTTTTCATTATGCTGGATTGTGTTTATTAACATATTACATACAAAGCTTTACTATTTCTGCCAACCATCACAGGAGAAGCTCACAAGTGTTGTTGATGATGGAAACTGTTGTTAAAAAACCACACACAAAAACAAACAAACACACAATCCTTCCAGATTCCACGGAACTTGTGTATGGGCTTTATCTCCTAAAATAGTGGAGTGGTCTGGTTGTTTGTGGGGTGGTACATATAATGATCCTTCAAAGTAAAACCCAGAGATGTATTGGTGTGGGTTTTGAGGAGGAGGGATAGTTGGAATATAGAAGATAGGGGCTTTGTGGCAAGTATAGACAAGCACTACCTTGCTAATTGTAGCACAAGGTAGGTTTGAGAATGACAAGGTGACAAGGTTCCCAGTGATAGCAGGCTCCTGATGCACAGACTGTAGTGCTCAGAAGGACTCTAACCAAAAGAGATAACAATGACTTTTGGAAGTGACAAATGACAATGACAGCAGATAACAGTAGTAGTAGTAGTAGTAGTGGGAAGTGTTGTGACCACACTGGATCACAAGTAGCAGTGAGTAGTGAACTTGAGATTAAAGAAGAAGTCTGGATTATGATTTTTTGTTTTTACAAGGTAAAATACAGGGGTTTATATAGTAAAAGCAAGGTAGGCTATGCATGTAACAACCAAGAGTTAGTTACTCTGGTGCACAACTCAGACAAGCAAAGAGGAAATACCAATCAACAGTATGTACTGTTGACTGGTCAGAGAGAAAGAAGGGATCACCCCTTAGGTTTCAACAAGTTAGTTGTGAGGATACAACAGGAGGACTCGCTGAGAAGTCTCCTGGATCTATTGAGGTATTTATACTACTACAGGTTATTTGTACATGTTGTATTATACAGTTGATAAAGCAGTGGCTGATGATGTCAGAGGGCGCAGCCCGTGTGACCAGCTCCACTGCGTGAGAGACTTGTAGCTAAAATAAGAAGAAAGGCAGTGCAGCACGAGAAAGAGGAGTTTGAACAAAAGGAAAGTGCCGCATGGCACAGTGTAAGAAAACTACAGTAAAAGGTTAAAGCGGAGAATGAAAATAAAAGGAAAGGTCCGGAAATGTGTTATCGTAACAATGCACAGTATAGCTGTGCAAAAAGAATGAGAAAGAACATGAAGGAAGGAATGTATGCTGACAAATCCTACATAGATAGTACAGGATAAGATTGTCAAAATAAGGAAAAGAAAGAGATAGAACAATGAATGCTGTGTAAGTAATGTCACAAGTTTGTACAGCCATAAAATAAATTCCAATAGCAGAACAAGAGCAAGAAAATCATGATGTCATGGGGAGATGCAGTAAAAAAATGGCAAGGCAAAACAATATCAGTATCAACACGGTTCCTTTATTGTCAGTCAGGCATTCTAAAAAAATACGTGTCCATAAGAATGATTCAAAAATCAAAAATAATTGCACTGCAAATGAATGTTCTGCTGGAATAAAAGGAACTGGAGCCACCAGTCCACCACCTAGTTCAAATCCGATGGCTCCATGGCCTTACCAATGGTCTGGTTATAATGGACCACTCAGTCAAATGAGGGAGGGAGAGGAGTAGTTCCAATCTGGAACAAATGTGTCCCAAGCAGCATGTGGTAAGTGTAGCTGTAGCAAAGACAATGGACGAAGGATAAATGTACCCAAGTGAATAGGACAGTGATGTACATAGGCAACACAAGGGGATGAACCTTCTCCAGCTCAAAAACTACCCACCCACACTCCAACCGGGCGGGACGGGCGACCAATAATTTGATAGTATACAATGGAAGATTGATGTCATAAAGATGGACCTGTTGCCCAATTTGGACCGGCCACCAGGGCTTTGCTGATATTAGCAGTGGCACATGGTGGTCAACACATTGGCGATGGAAGCAGATAGAGAACAGTGATATCAGGTATGGTGGAGGAGCAAGGAAGACGAGTAGGAGGAGGGTGGAGGTGACAAAGAAGTGGACTAGAATAGGAAGCCAGAAATGACTGTCTGGTGAGAATAAAGAAGACAGTAAAGGGCCCATAGTGGGGCTGAGTAAAGGAAAAAGGGTAAAGGAGAATGACAAAAGCGAGGGCGCAATGTGTAGCCAGTGGCAACACAAAAATTTGCCGAAATGCGGAAAGTACCAAATGGAAAGTAAAGGTGAACACAACTTGATTGCCTAATAGAGGTGGTGCTGATCAGACACAAGTTCAAAAAGGGCAATATTGATTACTATTCCATGTGGCACCATGCCTGTGTGGTGCAAATGTGAGTCTTTTGAATATTCACTTCATTATTGGCACCTGTCCATGCTACTAATCAACTTTGGTGCATGACAGCGTGGAAGTTCTTGAGCGACCTCTTGTACTTTGGACCATTGTATTTTTCAGGTTTCAAATCTCAGCTTGAAGAGCCGTCTGTCCTGGAACAAATTCCTCTTATCAATGCACCTATTGTTGCTGCCCGAGCAATGGATGTGAATAACTCAACTATTTCAGGTAAAATTTATGCCGTTGTGAATCTCATGGCACAAGGGGGGGTCAAAGAATTGGTGGAAGATACCAACCTTGATCATGTTGATGTATCTGAGCACATAGTCTTATTCCATGGGGATTTGGGCACAGGAGAGCAGCTGCAGGCTATTCAGGAGCAAAGATCAATCGAGGAGACACCCTGGAACCATTTTCAATACCTCATTTCTGTACCAGGTCTCTTCCATCTTAAAATGGCTTGTGCTGACACATTATGGTGCACATTCCTGCAGTTGGCAACAGCAAGACAAGATGAAACAAGCTTGATGCACAACGTGTCCATGTTGCAACCTAGAGAAACAGGTATATATGGCAGCAAGCCGGGGTTTAGGCATATGCATCAGCTGGTCAATCACCCTGGAATATACCACTGTCTTGATTGCTGGAGAGTTGAGGTGAAGACTTGTAATCCAGCTCATTCTACTCTTGCCCTATTTGCAACTTCAGCACCATCATTTGAGGAACTCAAGGCTATAGCTATCCACCTAGCCAAGGCTTGTTATGATACACAATTTTTGGACCTTTAAATCTCATTCTCCTCTTTAACTTTCTTCTGTAGTTTTCACACACTGTGCCATGCGGCACTTTCTATTTTGTTCAAACTCCACCTTCTCGCGTTGCACTGCCTTTCTTTATTTAGCTACAAGTATCTCATGCAGTGGAGCTGGTCACACGGGCTGTGCCCCATGACATCATCAGCCACTGCCTTCATCAACTGTATAGTACACATGTACAAACAACTTGTAGTAGTATATATACCCCAATACTAGATCAAGGAGATTACTCAGTAAGTCCTCCTGTTGTTTACCCACAACAAACTCAGTCCTATCTAAAGGGTGACCACTCCTCTCACTTCTTTAGAGCTTTGTCTGAGTTGTGCGCCAGAGTATACAAACTCTTGGTTGTAACATGACATGGTCTGATTCTGATGAAATGTGGGCGCGTCAATCTCAAAATAGCAATCCAAGAAAGGTTCATCTGATAACCGGACTCAGAATTCTCACCAGCCTTTTCATCTTCAAAACATACACTGAAAAAGTTTTGGCAGCACCCCACATTTATGTGGCTATCAGCATTCAGTAGGAAGTCTATTCCAACGTCTAACTCCTCCTTTTCTTTCTTAAATTTTTTATTACCTCCTGGCTTGACCTTCAAATGTTTTTCTTCAAGCACGTGCTTCAAAACTGTCCCATTAAACTCCGCTGTAAGTTGACACATGTGTGAATCTAACATTCCTTCTTCAGGTTGAGACTCATCATTACTTGTCTCCTCCTCAGCTGGCTCTACTACCTCCCTGTTTGATCCATGCAATGTCAAGGCAATTTGCTGGGCCGGTGCTTGTAGTAAGTTCCCTTTTCATTTTGTTTCTTTCTTGTTTCTGTGCTCATCTTTTTTCTTCCTCTCATTGTCAAGATATTCCTTTTCAGCAAAAAGTAGTGCTGTCCCCAACAGTGCTTTGTCCCGAACTTTCCCGGCCAAATCTCTGCCACACCATGGGCAGCTTAGCCTTGTGGTGTACTCGCCATTGGATGGCCAAAAGGATGTCAGGAATATCCATTTCCTTTATAAGTAGTTGGTCACTGTATACTGTAGGCCTTAAGACCAGTTACTGACCATACCAAATGAGTCTATTGTGCATAGGCCCCATGTGCTGCTGTCTAGCAAATGTTCATATTCTGTTTCTTTGAATATTGTTGCCATATCTGAATTAAACCACTTGATTTTTTCTTGCATATCAGGTGGTAGACGACCTTGAAGGAACTTGGCCACATTGATCAAGTCCTGGATATCATCAAAAAAACACTAGGAATTTAGGTGGATTTCCATCACCCTACTTCCAGCCATCTGGTACAAGGAATCCCAGGTCTGCAAAAGTATGGAGGGAGTGTTCAATTTTGCAAATACCAATTGCAATGTTTGGGCAGTCAGATGAGCGACAAGTAGTTGTGAGTTTATCTCCACACAGTTGTAGAAGCTTGCTGATGTTTTTTATAGCACTGGAGCTGAGTGTAGCAGATGTAATGACAAAAGGGACATTGGGTATAGTGTAGTGTAGTGATCAAAGTTCTTTGTATTCTGGTCAAAACTCACACCATTCTACTATACAGTGTGTCTCATCAAACACTACAGCAATGATTCGAGCACTAAAATGAACATCATGTAAGATTCTCTCAAATTCACCTCCTGGCTTCATTATTTGTTCCGGGCTGATTATTACTGCTCTGTAGCTCATATTTTTGATTGCCTGACAAAGTCTTATCAATAATATCACAGATTTAAATGATGGTAAACTTTACTCTAAAATTGCTGGCCATTGCAGTCTTTGAATTAATAGCTATAGTGGCTATCCCAGCTTTTGCTAGTGATTCAGCATTTTTTGTACCCAGAAGGTTGAGTGGTGTAACAATTATAAAGATTCCTTGTGGTCTGAACAGCAGTGGGATGAAGAACACCAAAGTTTTACCTGAACCTGTACCTGCTATCAATATAACATCTTTGTCTCCCTTTAAGATGGCTTGTCTGGCCTTGGCTTGCCAAAGGCATGGGTAAAGACCCAGCTTGTGACTAGTGATACTCCGGATGTCCTCTAGTGGAGGAACAATAAGGGTGATCGGAGTGGTGCGAGAAGCCATCAGCGTCTATTCTATCTGGGTGGTATACCTCCAATCACAAATGGCTGGATTAAAAATAATGAATTTGTGTGTGAATAAGTATTTGAGGGTACGGTGTCACTGTGGCAATGGATTGTTTACTGGTGTTATATGCCAGCCTCTATGGAGAGAGAGCAAGGGACGTTCAAATTTTCTGGCCATGTGATGTATTCTATTTTTATTTATTTTCATATGTCATCTCACATTAAACCTCTAGGATAAATCCCTCCTCTCTCAAAATAGAGACTGCTATTCCGCCGGTCCTGTGTCACCTGCCCCATATATGTGAATAAGACTGGAGTGAGAACATGAGGAATTCACAGTTGCACCATCAATAACATTGCCCTCCGGGCACTCCTGGCCCCACGGCGAAAGTTATACCATCATTTGTATATATCATATGGTAAGAATGTGGTACGAAGGCTTGAGGTGTGAGACATTTGGAATAATGATGATTTTTAAATTACAAGTTTTGAAGTAATGCACACCATACAACTCAAAGTAGGCATGGTTATGGTTATTGTCATTGGGTCAATCAAAAAACCAACCAAGGATTTCTACAGGACAGACCTTGCCAACACTCTTCTTCAAAATGCAACATGACACTCGGATCGTCAAAGGGGCACTGCAAGACGAATGGTTTGATTGCATTGGTTAGGTGTTCTCGAGACAACTCATTTTCATTCAAGTTCATTGGTGTTAATTGGAAGCAAGGGAAGTATGGGGTATTGAGAGGTGCATACTGTTCCTGCACAAAAAGATGTGTGTCTGTGATACTATGTCTGTGGCGGTTCAATGAAAAGAGATGGCGCTCATGTGCCAAGTGCGGATGGTCAGGTACAAATCACCGGGGCCAAAAGTAGTGTAGTGTCAAAAGCTGGTTCTGAGACCTGGTAACCTACGGTACCAGGAATAGGTCAAGTGACTACAGAAGTACAATGACATCAAGGGAAGAAATTACATCATGCTCCACTTGATTCTTTTTCTCTTCCATTTGGTTGCTCCTCTTCTACGGTTCAATGCACTCTCCTAATAGGTCAAGAACGTTGATGACGCTACGGCTGAACATGTAATCCTATTGTCGTTTGAGCCAACTATACGGAGATATAAAAAACGGCATTTTGAATACAAAAGATCTCTTTGGGAGTTGCAACACTCGACCAAGATGGTCAAGTGTCAAATCACAAAACCTTGCCCTCTCAAATCTATCGAGGGTTTACGACGTTAGGCGGTATCATAGATTGGGGTATCTTGATATTCCAGAGACATCAAATATTCGTTGTAACGATTCCCATGCGCGTCCTTCTCCGTGGATAACATTGCTTGACGGATCCTTTGTAAATCAATGAGATCAAGAGACAAACGAAGGGCCCCCATATTTTCCACGGCATAGTTAACGGTTTTCGTTCTATAAGCAGGGTGCTAAGTGTCAGCGCGAAAGATCGTAAGCATAAGGGATAGAATGTGCCAATTACCCTGGAATTGGGATAATATCATCTCCTTGTGCGAGTAACCAGGCAAGAGCAACTTGTCCTACAGTTGTGCCCTCGTCATACTTGGCTGCGATTGACTCTAGTACTTTCACCAGATTCAAGATACTAGGGAAGTTGGCTTCCGAATATTTAGGAATGGTTCTAATAAAGTTGTCCTCGGGAACGTCCGCATATGATTTCTGTAGAGACAATACATAAACGTGTGGTTCAGGTAGCCACTGGAAGGTACATTAGGACGTACATATCTTCCAGCTAGAATGCCTCGCGCAAGAGGGGAGTATGTCACGACGGCAACCCCAAGCTCACGAGCAGTTTCAAGTAACCCATTCTTTTCAATATCAAAAATAAGAGGTGAATATCTGGAAGGGCGTGTCGATAATTCAGTTGAAATATGAGGAAAGAACATAAAAATAAAATAAGCGCACTCCACTTGGATGGCAGCTATAGGATGAACAGCGTGTGCACGTCGGAGTGTGGCAGCAGAAGGTTCTGATAACCCAAGGTACTTGACTTTACCTTCCCTGTTGTACGAATTCAATTTGCTAGCATAGAAAATATGAATCATATAACTACTTGACAAGTTCCGCCATAGCACGAATGGTGTGCTCAATCGGCACAGTGGTGTCAACGCGATGAAGATAGAAAAGATCTATGCACGACACACCCAGCCTGGAGAGGGATTCTGCACAAGATTGTTTGGCATATTCTGGGTGTCCATCGACGGCAAATGTAGGTGTGATTCCAAATTTGGTAGCGAGAAAGATCTGAGAGCGCTTTCCAGTACGTTTGAACCAATTCCCTATCAGCTCTTCACTATCATTCTGAAATAGATGTATGAGCGAGGAAAGTGTCCAATAGAGCACGGACTGACATAAATCCATGCAGTATCCCAGTGGGTGCAACCAAGTTCAAATAGACGGTCTAGGACCTACGCGAGTTACTTCAAGTGAGATGCCTGTGGTGCAAAGTTGAAAGCATACCGCGAAACGCTCTTCGTCGGTGTCAGCGGCTCCATAGTACAAACCAGCTATGCCCATGGCACCATAACCAATGGCAGGCAGAGAGGCATCACCGATTTTGCGAGTAGGTATACCAGAAGACATAGCAAAAGCGCGAGATGGGGCGACAATACAAATGGTAAGTTTAAGTTAAGAGGCTAAGAGGCACTGATAGCACAATAAAGCAGACTTCAATTTCATCTATTACTAGTACTGGTGTCCGCAGTGCAGACTTGGAAGAATTGCCATTGCACAGGCCACGCTATTCGGCCGCGGCTATTAGAATCTGAGTCCGAACCGAGTTATTTTTCGTCTCTCCTGTTTTTCTTCTGATCTTCCATGATCTCAGCCGAACTATCTCTGAAACTAAGTATACTTACCCGTGTCTCAGTATGTTGTAGGTACGGCATCTGAGCAACGTCAGTCTGATCCACCGTATCTCCCTATTTCTGTTCCGAGTCGTCTGCCAGTGACTCAGGATCCAAAGGTCAGCTCATTTCATGCTACGTAATTATTCGGTAGAAGAGAATAGGAGCATCACGGGGGAAGTGTGGTTATGTGGTAATTAAAACATGTCGTAGATAGATGCCAGAATCCTTTCTCAGCACCTTAACCTGCAGGCTTCACCGTGACCAGCTCAATATTATGGACAGTCTTATCCATCGATTTCGTCAACACGTAGAGCTACGCCCCACCTCCGTCGCGGTCCAGGACGACTCCCTCACTCTCACTTTCCAGCAATTAGATATATGGTCCAATGTTCTTGCTCACAAAATTGCTTTGAGTTCAACAAGCCCATCGGAGAAAATTGCCATCTGCATCCCTCGTTCGACTCTCCTACTAGTATCCATTCTGGCAATTGTCAAGGCTGGATTTGCGTACGTACCTCTCGATCCATCCGCTCCTTTGGCTAGAGTCGAGGATCAAGTGTCCCAATGTGACCCTCAACTTCTGATAGTTGCCTCTGGGCTCACTGGCGACCACCTCTCTGAGGTTTTCAATCGTCCAATAGCCTTGGATATTGCTTCCATTGTTACCACCTTATCTGTAAATGAACACGAACATCCCTTTTCACTTGCCACAAATATCGATAACACCGCTCTCCTCGCTGTTATCTTCACTTCAGGCAGCACTGGAAGACCAAAAGGAGTGCTCATCGAACACGTAAGTCTACTCTAAGTGGATAATATGTGTTCCAACTACTCACAATTTGCTTAGGCTAGCATGATTAATCTTGTGGATGGTCCTACCTTGGAAATCCGACCAGGTGATCGTGTCGCTCTGACAGCCAACCCCTCATTCGATGCTGCCTCCTTCGAGATCTGGAACAGCCTCGTTCATGGCGCAACCATCTTCATCTTGACAGCACACCTCGCAGATACAGACGCTGTTGCAGCCTTCTTTCGAGAAAAGCAGATTCAAAAGGCCTTTCTTCCTACTGCCGTCTTTCATCGTCTATTTGGTGATGCCAATGTCGCGGCCTCCCTTAATGCCACGCTCCGCATGATCAACATTGGTGGGGAGAAGCTCAGTACTGCAGTCGCAAAGACATTCCTACGACATGCTCCTGATGTTCGTTTGAGAAACGGGTATGGTTCGACGGAGACAACAGTCTGTGCTACTGTTTTTGAAGTTACTCGAGAGGCTCTCCAATTTGACGACGATATCGATATGCCAATCCCCATTGGTTGTTCGATACCAAACACTCGATTTTTCCTCTTGGATGAGGACCTTCAGCCGGTGGACTTTGGACATGAAGGAGAGATATGCATCAGCGGAGCAGCACTCGCCCGTGGTTATCTCGACTCGCCCAAAGTTTCGTCTAGCAAGTTCAGTAAGTATCAGCAGTTTTGGATTAAAAAGCAATTAGACCCTGATTAAACTGCAGCTTCTGTGACGGGTCTCGAAGGATCAACTGAGATCACCAGAATATACCGAACTGGCGATGTCGGCAAACTTGTGTCTTCTCCTAGCGGACCTATACTGGTCTACGTGGGCCGAAACGACAACCAAATCAAGATTCGTGGTCAGCGATTGGAACCTGGAGAGATTGAGGCTGTTCTGTGCAGCAAAAGCGACAGCGTCGGCGAAGCTGCAGTGATAGTAACTGAAGACGAGAAGATGATTGCTTTCGTGGTTAAGAAGAATATGCCTGATACTGGCGCTTCGAATGATGCAACGAAGTTGGCAGTGAATCAAGAGGCATGGGATGCTTTTCATGCTCAATACGACTGGGAAAACATCGATCCCTCGCGCATAGGTGCAGATTTCACGGGTTGGGTATGTTTATTTCTAGGGCGTTCTGAAACTATTACTGATCCATGTATTTGTTTCAAATTTGCAGGTTAGTATGTATGATGGCGTTCAAATACCCCTACCAGCCATGGAAGACTGGCTTGCTGACACTCTGGAGGGAATTCCCGTGAAACCTGATGATTCGGTTCTTGAAATCGGCTGTGGGACCGGCATGATTTTATTTTCGATAGAATCTCGCTGCAAACATTATATCGGTATTGATATGTCTGGTCCCTCTTTGGCCTTTGTCCAATCTCAGATCGCACGTCGTGATCTTGCGAGTAAGGTGCAGACAATCCAAGGCATGGCAGACCAGCTGGCAGACTTCCTTCCGACTGAAACTCGAGTCGATATGGTCATCTTGAACAGCGTCGTCCAGTATTTCCCATCTCGAGACTACTTAGAAAATGTTTTACGTCACTGTGTGGACAAGCTGAACGATGGCGGTCGCATATTCCTCGGCGATCTTCGCGCCCTTGGCCTTGATATGCACCACGACTTAGCGCGATTACTTCACTGCGATCCCTCCCCTGACTTATCCGCTGCTGAGATAAAAGAACGACTCGGGTTATGGGAAAATCAACAGAACGAGTTCAAGACGAACCCATCGTTTTTCTTCCAGCTTCAAGAAAAACTTGGAGGTCGCATTTCACACGTCGAAATTCTTCCTAAGATGATGACCACTGAAAACGAGCTCAGTCAGTTTCGTTACCAAGTTATTCTTCATATCGGCCCTCAACCTACCTCGGTTGCACCGACCCAATGGATCCAATACAGTACGATCTCAGGGTTAAAGCATTTGCTAGCCGTATGCAATGATCAAATCTTGGCGGTAGGCGACATCCCAAATTCCTTCGTTTGCAGGCAAGAGGTGATGCTGCAACTGCTACGCAATGACAGGCCGCCGTTGACCGCATTAGAGTTGACTGAAGCTGCAGCCACTTCAGAATGGTGTTCCCAAGCTCTGTCGCCTCACGAAATTAGGTCTCTGGGTGCCCAGTACGGATGGCACGTCGCTCTCAGCTGGAAATCGTTAGGTGTCACCCGCACTCTAGCAGCAGTATTTTCTCGCGATCCTACGATCAAGCCTAAATTTGGAGGCGAGAATCTGGACAGCCAACCAACTAACCAACCCGTCGATGCAAGCCCCGCTAAGTCTTCGTCAGACGATGATCGATTACTGGCTACCACGTTGCGAGAACTTTGCCGAAACCAACTCCCAAGTTACATGGTACCTGACCATGTTCTCATCAAAGATGCTCTACCTTTGACGAGCAATGGGAAGGTAGATCGTAGATTACTCGCCCAGCGTAGCACATGGGCCCAGGACGTCGATTCTAATGACCAAGTGGTCGGGGCGTGTCAGCCAATGGATGACACCCAGGCTCGAGTTCAGCTCTGTGTTGGTGAGGTTCTAGAAGTCGAATTTAATAAGGTTCGTACTGCAATTTTGCCACTTCTAGTTATTCACTTATATCTCTTTTACCTATGGTCTTCACTAGATTCCTCTCGAAAAGGATTTCATAGAATTGGGCTTGCATTCGTTCCGCGCACCCAAACTTTTGGTAGCTCTGCGCTCCGAGTTTCAATTGGAAGTCTTACCTTATGCAACAGTTTACAAATATCCAAACGTTGCCGCTCTGAGCGCGCACTTGGATCAACAACTGATGTGCAAGTCGAATGGGAATGAAGGGTCAATCTCATCAATTCCAATAGGTTCCCGCAAACGTCGCCATGTTGAGTACGATCAAGGTGCCCTGGACACGGTTTTGCAGGTCCGGGGTCTCAGCATGAGCGATGTGGATGACGTCTACGAAACCACTGGTATCCAGCGATTTTGTTTGAAAGATTCGAGGCCTAGCATTTACATGATACATCAACTCTACACTGCGCACACGGATGTCGACATTCTCATTCAGGCGTTAGACACGATCCTCTCGCGACAAACCATCTTGCGTACCACTATGTTCGACAACAATAAACACCAGGTTGTCTTCCGATACTCCCCAAGTCTTCGAGACGAAATCATCAGCGTTCATGCAGCAGAAGATGCCCGAACCATCCAGGACGTTCTCAACGCTGGACATCACGTTTTCTCTCCGCCTGATAATCTGGTACATTTTGATGTCTATAAGACCACACCTGTTACCGTCCTGTATCACGTCCAGCACGCTCTTCTTGACGCTTGGAGTCGCACTTACTTCTTCACCGAAATCGAAAGTGTCATCGCTGGACTTCCTCTCCCCAAAGCTGTACCGTTCCGTAATTTCGTTGATTATGTAGTTGCAGAAAACCACCGCACTGCTTCTGCCACTTGGTTCGCCGATTACTACTCGAATTTAGATGCAATCCCATTCCCCGCTTCCGGAGAGGCTTCATCTTTTACAACTTCCTCTGTACTTGGCCAAAATTTAGAACGCGAGGAACGTGTCCCAGATCTGATGAAAATTCCTCAGGAGTATGGCATCCAATCAGCAACCCTTATGAAAATCGCAATGGCGATGGTCATGCGGAACGAGACCAAAAAAGACACCGTGGCGTTTGGACAGATTTATCTCTGCAGAAATGCAGCAGTTGAGGGCATTACACAGATATGTGGCCCAACCTTCAACTATCTGATCGACTCCGTCGATTTTCGGCCTGGTGAAACGGTGCTTGAGCTTCTCCGTCGTACCCAACTCATTCAACACGAAATGGTGGACAGGTCTTTCGTAGATCTCGATGCAGTACAAGATGCTGTCGATGTGGATTTGGGGCCTTTCTTACGATTTTCATGGAGCTCGCGATCTGAAGAAGAACCGACCAGTGAAACCCTTTTGCAGGCTGGTCCACTAGGTTTGAAGAGCGACCTGGCAGTTGATTGGACAACTGTTATTGATAACGAGCAAGTGAAGATTCTGGTGGATTATGACCCGCTCTTTTCTGAGCGGATGGTAAGCTATACAGATAAATTCTATAGGGCTGCCCGTTGGCTGGTTGCCAATATTGGAGCAAGCTGTTTAGATGATATGCACCTAGACGACAATGTCAAGGTCGTCGGTTGAAATCATGATCTGCTCTTTCACAAGTTCCGCCTGATATATGTTTGTACTGTATTTTGAAAAGCATGACAAGACAGTAATAATGTTCTGCAGACGGGAAATGTCCTAAATAGCTGTATCATAAAAACACACCACAGACGAATGTTCCAATTGCACGAGTTTCATGTAAGTTAAGTTCTGGTAGGACGTAGTCACTGAATAATAAAAGGCTTGCAAAGAAATGAAACGCCACATGATATCATGATACTAGTAAGAACCAAATATGAAGATTACGAAAAGCCAATCAACTACCAAGCAATGAAGCTCAATTACCCTATATTCCCGCTGTCTTCTTATAGTGCAAGTAGCGACCCTCACCCTTGGGTGAGAAACGACGCGCATCGCTGTAATTGATCTCAGGAATGCTGTGGAAGGTATTGTCATTCTTGTCAACGCGCGAATATTCGAATGAGGGAAGGAAAAGAGCTGTGGTGATTTTCAGGTGAAGCTTTGCACCCCGCATACCATGGCAAGGGTGTAGACCTGAAAACATGGCGATGAGTCCCAGAAGCGATACCTGAAGAGGCAGACGTCTACTCACCAGCACCCCAACCCAGATACGTCCATTGTGACCGCTCTCGATCTAGTTTCGTCGGATCAGCCCACCGTGCGGGGTCCCACTTCAACGGGTCAGGATAATTGTCAGGGTTGAGGTTCTCAGCTCCCATAGGGTACAACATGAAATCGCCACGCTTGACTCTCAGGCCATTTACTTCAATATCTTCGCCCAAATTGCGACGCATGGTAGGTACACTCATAGCCATTCGAACCGTTTCAGTAATGATGGCTTCCATCACAGGCGACGAGCCTTCCCATGCATCCAAAGGGATTTGCGAAAGGCGAGCATACATAGGAACAGTAGAGTCCGTGCTGTATTCATTGAGCAGTGTTTGGAACTCTTCGCGGACCTTGGCGTCCCATTCACTAGTGGTAGTGATATTAGCAACGCAAAGCGAGCGAGCAAAAAAAACGAATAGCTACGGGTGAGTTTTGAGGTACATTAGGATCCAACACACGACTATACCACTAAAGATAACATCAGGTTAAGCAACTAGCGACAGATTATGTGATAAAAAAGACTCACGTCGTATTAGTGCCAATAAAAATTGCCCACATCAGGAACTTTACCAATCCGACCAGCAAGGTAGGTGAGTGTCAGGACTAAGGAAGATATATGTCAACAAACTCACCGGGGCAATTTCATTAACGGTGTCACCCTGGTCCAGCATAAGTTGCACGGCATCATTTTCAGATCTTTGTTCAGCCTTCCTTTTGTTGATGGTATCAGCGAAGATTTCATAAAGTGCGCTAATAGCTTTGTCCCTGTTTTTTTTGGCACGGGATGGAATCCAAGGTACAACAGCATGAATAAAGCTGAACTCGTTTTCCGAGTTCCAGAAGAGCTCAGCAAGTTTCTCCACAGTAACGAGATCATCGGCGAGCTAAAACAATAGCTTCAAATTGAGAACGTCCATCGATCAAAATAAATAAAAATGTTACTTCGGTGGCACCTAATGTACGTATGGTCAGATGAAAGACGAGCTAGAACAATTGTAGGGTCAGACGTCGAGTTAAATAAGAAGCATTAACTGTGCTTCATACATTGTAGACACTTGTGAACGGGTCGATGCGGCCAGATCGAGGCCATGAACTCATGTGAGTCTGTAGGTCGGAGAAAAGTTCAGGAATGACTACGTATAACACAGATTATTTATTGAAGCCAAGTTAAGTTCTAAGCAATTCAAAGTCACCTTTCTGGAGACGATCTCGATGCAAAAGCATTTGGAGCCTTTTCAAGAAAAAGGCAGAGTACTTGTGATTGAACGAGCTTTGCTGAATTGCTACATCAAGACTAGAAGCCTTTTTGCGACATAGACAATCAGAATCTGCGACGAGAACAGAAAATATAAGAGAAGGCTGACTTGACCCCAAAGAACTTGGTAGCCCTCCGAGACACAAAAGGACCTAGTTCCATAAAATATCTTTCGAGGTTGTTTCCCGGTGGCAATGATTATTTCTTGCTATACAAGATTAATTAATAAAAGTCAGTCATGCTAATGAAAAGCCCATACGCCGCGTATAAGAAATTTGGATGTATTTCCAGCACGGTTGGCCGAGATAGCCATGTTAAGGAAGTTTTCGCGTTGTGTGAAGAAAGACGGTGGTCCAATGAAAGGTATACCAGGAAGGTAATGGAAGCCATCAGATTTTCTCAACCAAGAGTACAAGACAGCGAGGAGTCCTACGGAGACGCTCACAGAGGTCCAGATGATTAAGCTCATACTAGGACCATTCTCTACGAAGTAGATGAAGGGGAACATGGTGAGACTGACCATGTAAATGTGCCATAATTTCGAGCGTTTTTCAAGCCATTAGGCCGAATAGACATTGTGGTAAAATGGCTGCCAGCATTGTCCAGGCCTCGGGACAAGCAATTACTAGTTACTTACTCAGGTTTAGTCGCATACTCTGATCCGAAGAACCCTGATATGGTTACAACTCCGAACCACTGCTAGCTGCCGCATTATTCTGAAGAGATTCTCTTTCGAATTAGTCGCGACTAACTCAGGCCCAGATCCGAACAACAGATATTTCAGGGTCGTACTAGTAGGCAAACTCAATTTAGCTAGGTCAGAACCCTTTCAAATCAGCTCCTCAAGTAACTACTATTCATGAGTTACACAGTCGCTTTCGTTGGTTCGCTACTGCTCGCTATTGTCGTCTCCAAGTACTTGAAAACATCCGAGTCCAAGGTATGATTATTTTTCGCTATTGGTAATCAAATATTCAATTGTTCCAGCTCGACGCCATTCCAACAGTTGGACCAAATGGTCTTTTCTCGTATTATTGGGGTGCTTTTAAATACAATCTTCGTGCTCATGAGATAATACAAGAAGGGTATTCTAAGGTGAGTGCTATCAACACCATGAGATATCTATATAACATATCATTCATAGTATAAAGGCAAGGCCTTCAAAATTGCCAACTGGTCCGGTTGGGATATTATTGTGAGCGGCCCTATGCTTATAGAAGACATGAAAAAAGCTCCAGATGGTCACATTTCAACCATCGGAGCTGTCAGCTGTGTACGTACCATTTCGATGGCTCTACCTTCCATTGATACTTGGGTTAAAACACTATTATGGTGATGAAAGAATCTGAAAGTGGACCGCACGACAACATATCAGGTAGCTCAACTCGCTCGTAGTCTAGATGCTCAGTTGGCAGACATTCGAGATGAAATTACGACTTCCTTCGTTGATGTCCTTCAACTGAAGGGTAACGGTATGTCTATATAGATTTCTTTATTTCTTCTCTCACACTCCCTGTTAAGAATGGGTAAGCATACCTGCCATGGATGCTATCCACCAAATCATATGTAGAACGAGTAATCGTGCTCTTGTTGGCCTCCCTCTATGTAAGATGCGTCGACTTTTTGATTAAAACTGGTGCCACTTTTTTTACTGGTCTATGCCCAGGCCGTGATCCCGAATGGATAGCTCTTAACCTGCAAATCACCACTGACGTAATCAAAGAAGCAGTTGCAACTCATCTCTTACCTAGTTTCATGGCGCCGTATGTTGTTATTCCGTCAGAGATTCAGAAGAGCTTATAGTAATAAAATCTAATTCTAGCTTCATAACAAGATTTATGACGGAGGCTGGTAGCTTGGGGCGCGGGATCAAGATTTTACGACCTATCGTAGAGGAACATCAGAGGTGCTTGGATGAGTATGGGAGTGGTTGGGCTGAAAAACCGGTTCGTCGAATTTCAAACGGATTGTCTCAGTAAGCGGTTTACCACCATGACTTTAGAACAACATGCTGTCTTGGATCATGGATGAAGCAAAGGGAGAAGAGCGCTCAGTACGAAACCTTGCCATACGTATCATGACAATTAATTTTACTGCGAATTCTGTATGAACTACTTTTCTTAAGTCTTGTATTGATTACGGCTGACAACTCGACGCATGTGCCAGGATTCATCGATGGTATGTTCATATCACTGCTCCTATACAAGCATAAGTAGTTAAACATCTTTTGAGTATAGGTTTTCACACATGCACTGTTCTATTTAGCTGCATACCCTCAGTACATTAATCAGCTACGCAAAGAAGTCGAAACTGTGATAGAAGAAGATGGCTGGTCCAAGGATGCATTGGCAAGAATGCACAAGGTAGACAGCTTCTTGAAGGAAACACTGAGACTCGAGTGTATTGGTTTTGGTATGTTGGGATTTGTGTGGAACTTTTCGCTTGGTCTCATATACCTCCAAGTGTCTATGCTGCGCAAGGCTATGAAGGATTTCACGTTTTCTGATGGTACGGTCGTACCGGCTGGAAGTCTCATTTCTATTGCCTCTTTTCCCACACACCTCGACAATGAGATATACAACAACCCCAATGCTTTCGAGCCGTTCCGTTTTGCCCCTGAAGATGGAGAAGGGATAAACCCAAGGAACCAAATGACATCTATCAACTCGGAGTACTTGCCTTTCGGATTGGGAAGGCATGCCTGGTCCGTGCTTTTCGGCTTTGTCTTTGTAACCTGAGCTCATTGCATGTTATTCATTTTAGTCCAGGACGATTCTTCATTTCCAATGTGATGAAAGCCATGCTTGCGCACATTGTTGTGACATATGATACCAAACTCGAGGATAAAGGTGTACGACCTGCCAACGTAACATACGGTGTCATGTCGTCGCCTAACCCAAAGGCGAAGGTGGTGTTCAGGAAGCGCTTGCCATAGTTGGCTCGAGACTGGAGAGAAGTGCATGCTTTCTTATGGACCGTGATTATACTTATAGTAAGGCTACAGAATGACTACCAGTTCTCAATATCATACTCCCTGCACAGTTTTCCTGAGGAGGACTCGGAATAAGTAGAAAACTGGCTGGCATTCATGGGAAAAACTATGAGCCTATGAGCACGTACCAGGAGATGCTTACCCACATGGACTTTGTCATACCGATCAACACGTCCGCGTATGACTTATTATTGTGTAACCTAACCACCAACTTCTTACAGCATCTCAACATCAAGGCTTGCTTTCTGCAGCGGATAATCATGAATAGTCATCCTAGTACCGGACAGGATACGTATTTGCGGACGTATAGCTGACCAAGTTGTATTCAATTGGAGCTCACACCATGTTTTTTAGTTGACACTATTACGATTGGCTTAGTCGGTCGTGTCGTGTGAAGACAACCAGATGACCAAAACTGGGTCCGATCTGAATCCAGACATGATTCACAGAGAAGAAATATATAATGAGATACCACAGCGAGTTCAAGGCTGCACCACTTCTAACAAGTTCTTACTACCAAGCAGTCTATCCGGGCTATTATTTCTCATGTCTCCCGCTGGCAAGTTTCGTGTAGCAATCTGGTAAGTCTCCTCTTCAATCCCTCTCAAGGATATTTCTCAGGTCTGTGGTTGTTACTAGTGGTGCGGGAATAGGCGGGTTAATGCTCGCAGTTGTCCTCGGCAAATATTCAGACATACCTATTGATCTATACGAGGCACAGGCAGAAATTACGACGGTAGGAGCAGGAGTAACGGTCTGGCGCAGGACGAGGGAGATAATGATAGAGCTAGGTTTGTACTCAGAACTAAGTGAAGTAACGACACGTTCCTCTGATACCAGTCATCCATATGGTAAGCCTTCACCTTCAATACGAGTGAAAGATTTAAGTTTATTTTATTTTAATCAGGCCCCACTTTCCGGAAATCAGATATCCTTGAAGGAGGCTTTAAATGGTTTGACTTACTCTTTGGTTGTGAGTATAACACCTTGCGTTTTCGGCTGAAGCTAAAGTTCTGGGTACATTTAGATGAGCCGTCTAGCCTTCATCGTCTTGACTTGGTAAACCTTCTGATACGACATCTGCCATCAAGTTGTACAATCCACACCATGAAGCGGTTGAAAGCTTATGCACGGGACGATTCTGGTGGCTTGGCCTTGGCCTTGAAATTCGCTGACGAGAGCACTGCAATAACAGATGTGCTTATTGGCGCTGATGGGATTAGATCTGCCACGCGTAGAGCACTCTTCGAGGGACTGGCGAAGGCCAGTCTACCTGGTTTGCAAAATGTATCGGAATATGTCAATGCTATGTGGACGGGAACCATCGTTTATAGATCACTGATTCCGACTGAAAATTTGGAGAAATTATATCCGGGAAATTCAGCTACAAAGAATATGATGCTTGTGGGTGTTGTCCTTCTGATTCTCTTTTTCAAGATACGTCAACTGACTTGTAAAATAAGTATTGTGGTAAGGAAAAGGTTGGTACTCACCTTTTTCGGTGTGCCTTGCTTGATAGTGACGTTCCCTTCATTGATCAGCATATCGTTACTTATCCTGTTTCGCGGGGCGCACTTGTCAACGTAGCGGCTTTCTACACCGAGGCTGAAGATATCGGCAAGAAATTTGAAGGACACTGGGTCTCGGACGCGTCAGAGGAGGAACTTTTAAAATCTTTCGAAAATTTCGAGCCAGAGGCAAGAGCTATTCTTCAGGTAAGGTGGAGGGTTCGTCTAGATGACAAAGTATTGCTGATGTTCCATTAGTGTTGTGAGAAGCCATCTAGATGGGCGCTTCATGTAACGAACAATTTACCACTTTCGACCTCGGGACGCGTTGCGATCATCGGTGATGCAGTATGTAAATTACTCGCTTGACATTGTCACCACTCAAAACACAATATGTAGTGCCATGCCATGACACCCCATTTTGGGGCTGGTGCAGGACAAGCTATTGAGGTATGGACAAAATGAACAAAGTGATGCTGACACTCACGACACATCATTCAGGATGCCTTCATTCTTGGTCGACTCCTTTCCCATAACCTCACAACACTATGCAACTTGCCCGACGTCCTTCGTATTTACCAAGACATCCGACTACCAGCTGTGACGCATATCTCCCAAAGTGCTGCTATCACTGGGTATATGTACGACTTCATGGCGCCTGGATATTACGATGGCGAAGACCGGTCAGATGAGGATGGGCTTGAGCAGCTGAAAGATGCTATCAATAAGAATTGGGAGTGGCTTGGGCAAACAGGCTCCATGGATGACTGGGCGGATGCAGAACGTCGCTTAAAGGAACTAGCGTCCTAAGTTTAGAAAATAAAAACCGCAAGGTTATTATTCCTGGTCCTAGGGTGACCAGCGTTGCATTCGCATCCTCGTCAAAGTCTCTTCACTTGAGTTCACATCGTTTTAGTTGATTTTCGATGTATATATCTACAGATACAAACAAATTATGGGAATAGGAATAGTCTAGAGTATAGCTATAACATAGCTCAGGCGGTTACAAGGATTAAATATAGAACATACTATCTTTCAAATCTTCGTGTACACCTTGCCCCCACATAGCTTCGGCGGATTCGAAAACTCGCTTTTCTTCCTCTTCTTTGTCTAATTTTCCCCGCCCCTTTCCACTGCTCTTTACTGTCCCCGCACTGGACTGCTTATCATCTGCGTTCAAAAAGTCATTGATATAGCATCGGCCTCTTTCGCATGCCAGATCGGCATAGTAAGCTGCAGGTGCTAGACTAACAGCCTTGGTTGCACGGGCATACAAGTAACTGATAGTATTTGTCCCTTGTTGCACCTCGTCGGCGCCAAGGCGGTTCTCGTCGTATATCACGGTATAATGTGTTGCTTTGACCGATCCCTGCAGTCCAGCGTGGGCTTGCAGATAGAAGTCAAAGTCAAACCTGTCAACGAGGTTTTGTTCAGTTCAGATTGCTAATTAATTTGGAAATTACTTACACTGCAGTGATGCCTTTGTCGACAACGGTGCCTGGTCGTGTGTTGCCATTCCTATCTGCGAAAGCAGAGTCGGTAGGGTAAAATCGTGCATGGTGGCGCTTTCCACAGATGATGATGGTGAGCTTGGGCCTATACGCCTCAGGTTTAGCTTCCGTTCCAGCTTTCAACTTCTTGAAAGAGTCTAGAATTTGTGGAAGCTCATTCTCGAGAACCACATCAAATTGGCCCTAAAACTACATTAGACAAGTAAAACAGGAACATAGTATTAAAAACGCACCTCAGAAACACCGTCACGATAAACATAGACTCTTTCTGGCAAACATTTATTTTTGGCCTTGTATACCAACAATCGCTCCACCATCATGGACGTTAGCGCATCTATCATCTAAGAAAAACCTTCGGTGCTAATCTTGGAAACGCTATAGTGGAGAAACTCACCTCCTGCTTGCTTTTCTGAATGCGCATACTTGCTGGAAACTGGACGAAAGTACTATCAACACTAGCCACTACTGCCGCAATAGATGGTGTGCCCGCAACGCTGGTTGGCCCAGGGTGTGTGACATCCATGCCAACCACCATGGTTCGCTTCGTCGTCAGCCACTTCATGCTCTCTGGATCGAGCTTGTGATTCACCCCACCGAGCTTCGTGTTTGCCTTGAGAGCGACATTTGAAAAGTATTGGTCCTGCTTCTTGCTGTCCCTCAACACCTTATCTGTGAGCATGTGGATGGTGTGTACACCAAGTTCGACATCACAGAGTCGTTTGATCCCAGGGTATATGTAGTTGTCGCGCCCCGAAAGGATGACAAGGATGAAACTCGGTTTTTTCGGGCCTAGCTTTGCCTTGATGATTTGTCGAATCTGGTCAATCGCTCGTATCCTTCCTGGGTCTTGATGGACAGGTATTAAAGCAAGGGTGGACAAGATCATCGGCTTAGAATTTAGTGCCATCCCACTGCTCTTGAGTTTGTTCCCAAACCCTTGCCATATGCCAGTTAATTTCGGATCGTCGGAGCCACCAAATACCTGATCACCATCCCTCACAACCAGAACCCACCAGCTATTGACGACACCTCCTTGGTGAAACGTAACATCCAAGATGTTCCAACTGCCATCTTTCACGTTAGGCGGTCTCCCGTTTCGATAGTTGAGTTTTGGAGGGGGAAGCTCCCGACCAGGGACGACCGCCATGTCATTAACAATAGAAATACCGAATCCTTCGACAGGAGCTGTGCGTGTGCCAGCTGTCAAAGCAAGCGTAGGGAGCCCTTGGTTGACGATAGAGTTGGCGTTGACAGCGGGTGGGTTGCATGCAAACTTGATCATGCTAGCGGTCTCTTTATCACTAAGTTTACCCCTAAAAGGTTCCCCGACCTCAATTTCGCATAATTCAGCGGGGACGAGCATGGACTTTGCCTTGTTCCCAAGATCGACGAGGGGAAGGTCGTCCGCATGCCGGAGTGTTATATTGAATTCTGAAACAAGTTCATTGTTAACAGGAACCCTCGACCACGAGAGAAAAACTGCCAAATTAACCCACTCTTTTTGAAATAAACTTCAACCGATATTCGACCACCATATTCGTCGCACTGGAAGATACTTTTCCTTGCAGTTGTTCCTGAAATTTTGTAGATAGCCTTCTTCATCTTATACCCACGATAAGTCGTTGCTACTTTGAGTTTTTGCACGAAGCGCGGAGGCATTCCTCCCCTGCTTTGCTGCTGGAACGCCACCATGGCATTGGCTAGATTGCCCGGGGTATAAAATGCAGTCATGCAGACATTGACGTTGACCATTAGTTCCTTGTATACTGGTCGCACAGAGATGAAGAAACCTTTCCAGGCTTCGACTCCGAGACTCAGTTGCTGCTTTTCTTGGGAAGGATAGAAATACTTGTTTTGGCCTACGCGGTAACCGGTTCGACCGGCATGTTGCTGAAGAACCAAATTGAGTCCAGATATGAGCGGGCCAGTGTCATAGTCCCGAAATTGGGAAGCTCCACTGAGGTGTCTAGACAAAGATAGTTAGAGACAGAGGGTACGAATAACACGATTGGATTATCAACACTCTTACTTTACTAGCTCGCTCGTGTCTAGCTCGCGCACAAAGTTGATTGAAACAGTGTACACTTTGGCATTAGCCTTTGGCCCGCTTTCTCCCTCTTCGTAGAATTTGATAGGCACGTCAAGGGGCTGCGGCAACTTCTTTGCTGATATCAGCCTCTCGCTACGATCGTGGGCCACGAACGGGATAAACTCCCGCCACCCATTCATCGTGCTTTGCTCAAGAAGCCAAAACAACCTCGCTTTGATCTTCTTGATATCCGTGGTGGGGGTGAAATCGATGTGGTAGTCGTAATACACCCCCTTTGGAATCTTGACGGGGAAGAAATTGGCGCGCAGGGTGATTTCACGTCCCAATGTCCCGAATCCTGGTCTGGGGGGACGCTCGGGACTGGGGTTGACTGATAGCTCCTTGAACGAGCTGACGAGCTGATTTAAGGAGGAGAGACGCTGGTCTATATTAGCAGGCGTGCTCCTTGCAAAAATAATGTCGCCAGGAGGACCACCTCGTTGCCCACCGAACCCTCCGCGAGGACCTCCTTGACCGCCACCTCTGTTATCGAATCCTCCTCGACTCCCTCCTCCTCCTCCTCCTCCTCCTCCTCTAAAGTCACCTCCGCCACCTCCTCTGAAGTCTCCTCTTCCTCCACCGCCACCACCGCGGCCTCCATCCCCTCTGCCCCTGTGACCACCACCACCACCACCACCTCTAGATTGACCACGGTTACTCATACGACAATATTTGAATGCGTTGGTAAGAAATCGAGGTTGTTGTTGCTTGAACGACACGATGAGAGTGCGCAAGGTTTATATGCATTCGGTTTTGAGCATGGACCGACCGACACCGCCTTGCTAAAATAGGCATTACACACACGTACACGGCGCCTGGGCTGTTGTAATGGGCCCATTCCAAACTCTCAGAGAACGTGGTAATAGGCGGTTGGTCGCAGCAAAACCAACCACCTACAACCACGTCATACGATACTCACTCCGCAACCCTCGAGGGGCTGCTACACTCATTCAAGCATTAAAGTGAGAATCACGCTCAAAGAGTCAGGCAAGGGCCCACTTAAATTAGCATTCCACTCTCACGAGAACGAGTCGCGCACCGACACGCAACTAGGATGAAATGCTTACCTCTGCATTTTGTTTTGATTTTACGTGGATCAGAACGAGATAGCCTTCTCCGCAGGCGCATGAGACCGTGGCGGATGCCTCGAGGAAACAGACCACCGTCTGCGTCGGTAAAAAAGCTACCTGATCCAGTCAAATGGCAAAACAATGCCCCACCGCGATTGCGCCACTGAAACTTGTCAATGATCCCCGTCTTGACGTTAGCGCTGGGAACGGTCCAGCATTGCCACCTTTACAAACCGCATGAGAATCTTTGTAGGACCAAGCGGATCTGAGGTGATTGATAACATTTGGTTAGTTGAATCCGTGAATATGACCATGTCTGTGAATTGATAGCAATATCACCATTCTTAATGCCGATTTGTCTCGTCCTTGGAGAGAAATCAATGAACTATCAGTGGGTATATGCGTGAGGACGAAGATGTCGAGGTCAACAGTCGAATGTCACACGTCACATGTCACACCCCAGTACGCGTGGTGGGCACCGGACCAACTTGAATAGTCAACATCCCCAAGTTAGAAGGATCACCCATCTTCCTTCAAATCATTCTTCTGGAGGCGAAGTCTTGTGTAGGCAATCGACTCATCAACCGTAAATGTTGTTAAGGAAATGTAATCGCTATTTGATACATGCAGACATATTTAATAATACAAAGTTCGTTCAGTGAGTCAAGTTTAATGATAGATTTAAAAAGCAGGTCCGTATAACCATCTCATTTTGAGCCTACCTTGAGTTCATTTATTTTAATTCGTTTTTGATTCCTGCACGCTCCTTCCGCTGACTCTAGTCCCAAATTTGGGATCAGGCTTCCAGAGTCCGGTTGCCTGGAGGGCTCGTGCATTCATGTTGTACACGATAGCCGCAGCGTTGAGACCTAGCCTGAGGAGAGGAGCCAGAGGAGGTATGAGGATGTTTAAGACGTCCTGATGAATAAAATGAGCCGCTAACGAGATTCACGGCATACTGAATGGACATACGTCAGGCTGTAAAAAGTTTTCCTGGCGTGCAATATAGTGCAAACCATTGTCTTCTCGCATAGACAGACGGATCAAAAACCTGCAAGAATTGATTTAATGATTGTATGGATTAGCAGGCTGGCATCAGTGATGTGGGGTTGTACTGACCGGGATTCGGCAGGTTTGAATGGGCTGAAGCGTGCTTTGAAAACCTGGACAATCTCCAGGTCGATCAAGTCCAGCTCCCTGTCATATACTGTGCAAGTACATGTCAGAACGAAATGGGTCAAGACAAGAAAATAAAATTGACAGATGCTCTGGATATTGCTGCGTGTATTGGGCGAGAGGATACGATACCACTGGTATACGCCAAGAATCGTATCACGCGAGTTTGGACTGGATTCGACGACGCAGAGCGGGTCGCGGAGGGAGGCGTTGGTGGTAAAATAATTAAGGACAGCTTTCTGCTGTGCGTCGGACTCAGCAGACGAAGTCAGCAGCTGAGCGATCTGCACAATCTCTCTTTGGGGGTTCTGCATGGTGATATGTCGGGAATGGCGGCCAGAGACTGCGAGTTAACCTACTCATATAGCGCACTCAGGGGGTCTGATGTCATGTCGTCGATCACGTCGTCATCCATGCACACCGCGTCAGTCGTCACAGAAAAGCCAGACATTTCCTCGTGACCAGCTCTGGACCCGCCTCATCGTCGCATACAGTGAGCTCAACGTACCCGCCAACGCCAACAACGATGCAGAACCCTGAAAAAGAAATACCCACCATTTTACACAGTCTTACAACTGCGTCCGCACCAAAGATCCTTCACGAAACCGTGCTCAAATACTACACTCCTACTGCCTCCTTGATTCATCCGCTCAGCTATGTCGTTTCTGCACCTGGCTCGCGCGACAAGATCATCGGCGTTTACGAATGGTACCGCATCCTCTCCCCGCAAACAGATTCCATAATCAAAGAATTAAGTGCGAACCAACCTAGCTTTTTGCATTGATGAAAATACATCGCATTTACCCTGTTTCTTTCGCCCATAGATTACAACAAGGAGGCGAAAGTCATGACAATACTTGTCGAACAGAATTTTGGGCCACGATTTAGCCCCTTCAGGGCACGTCCTTCCAGGTAAGTCCGTCTCCTGTAGCCAATATAAGATGGCAGCGACTTGGAGCTGGATAAATGCACTCACTCAAACTTCTAGTCTCCTCGTCCGTCTTGTACTGCAAGAAAGGGATGGCAAGTTCTACATCAGTGAGCAGCAAGATTACTTTCAGCTTACAGTGCGTATTTTCTAAAAAGCAATAACGTACACCCTTCCCTGACGCGGGAAGCCAATTTAGGAGCTGGCGACATATATTGCCCCTCCTCTGCAACCTATCGTCAAGTTGGTCCTTACCGGGTTTGCAACAACCGCGACCATTTGTGCACGCATGTATATGACCGGGAGAACAGGGTGGAAGAAAGCCACTGGAATACAAGACGCAGAAGTAAATGCGCATAAGGAGATGTATTGAAGTGTAATGAAAAATCGAGTGATCATCAGGCTGATAAGCCGTTTATTTCGTTCCGCTGCGCCCTACATTCCGTCATACAATGATAGGAGTAGTATTTTGAAGGAAAACTAGCGCTATTAAAATTATGATATGAACGACTCTGCAGTTAAGAGAGAGAATGCTCACATCGTGTTGCTCCTACATAGTATACTACGCCTGGACAGCTGTTGATAATGCGTTGATAATGCCATTCTCAACTGATGTACCGTTATCAACAGCTGTCCAGGCATAGTAAACACATATTAGTGCAGTGAAGATATTTTGAACTAGTTTGTCAAAACTGACATGGATCGCCCCAAACCACTATGCATTTATCCACCATCCTGGAGGATTTGGGCTGCTCGATCTCTACCAGCATTTCTTCGGTGGCCTTTGACGTGGGAGTCCATCGCGCGGATCAATGAATACGACAACCATGCACAATGCTTCCTTGTCTTCTTTCACTCCAACACACCCTAGACAATAGTGCATGACCTGGCATGCGAGTCTTCATCCGTTCCCAACCTTTGCTGCCTAAGCCCTCTTCTGAATAACATCAAAAATGTAACCGTGGTAGTATAACGTGGTTGACTTGTGTGCGATTTCTAGGAGTGAGCGTAGATAAAAGGATTATAATATGAAAACATACACGGTTTTGTGATACTTGTTTGTAGCGTCCTACCTGCAAGCAAACCAAAATAAACCCGTGGGAATAGAATTGACCCACTCCCGGCGGCAAGTCTCGCCGCTTGCGAGTCTGTCCTGACTCGGCTAGATCTACTTTCGTCATAAGCAATTTAGCTTCAAGTTCAAGCTTCAAGAACTCTTCCATATTTTGGAAAATGAACACTCAAAAAAACACTAGCAGCGGAGGTGGGGGCAATTTTGGTGATGGAAGGAGAGGGCCTGGTGGTGAGCGTAATCATAATCCCGGTCGATATGGCGCTGGGAAAGGTGGGGGCGGCGCACAACAGGGTGGGGGTCCCAGCACTGCGCGAAGGAGGCCACCAGGACAAGGGGCCAGTAGCGACAATGTCCTTTATAATCCAGGGCCAGCTATTGTCGACAAACGCCTCGAAACAATCGACCAACTTGTCTCTTCATTCAAACAGCTCTCGGTCGTCCCCAAACCAGAGCGTCCGCACAGGCCAGGATATGGGACTCTCGGGAGCGAAACCATCGTCCGTGCCAATTTCTTCCCTGTCAGAGTCCCGATCGGTGTGTTCTACGACTACCGCGTCGAAATTGAGCCTAGCATCAAGAAGGAGGAGGCAAGCGTGAAAGAGAGGATATTTTGGTTGTTGGAGCAGTGTGCGGAATGGCAAGAATTCAAACCATTCGTCGCACATGATAGCAGTGAAAGGATGGTTTCGGCGAAGCTACTGCCCCAGCCACTTGATGTGCGCTTTAAATATTTCAGAGAAGGCGAGAGCGAGCCTCCGCTTGCCTCGAATGCGCAAGAGTGCACAGTCTCGGTCGTCTATGTTCGAGAACTTGACACTAAAGAAGAGTTGTCCGAGTGAGTCGACTTAGTTTTTGTTGTCTGTATGCAACTCAACCCTGACAAATTTATTTTTCGACGTATTTCTCTAGATACCTCGAGTGCAATCCTGCATCTCGTGACTACGACACAGGGCCCCTTATATCTGGCCTTAACTTGATACTTCAGCAACACGCTTCTCGAACTGGTGTTCGTGTGGGGAAGAACCGATATTTCTTCAAGTCCACAGACCCTCGAGACAAGATAACGTTAAGCACTCATATAGAAGCCTGGTTGGGATTCTACGTATCCGTCCGACCCGTTTACAAGCAACTCATGGTCAACGTCAATGTGTGCATGACCGCGTTCTATAAGCCATGCAACTTGGCAACTGCGATGTTGCAGTTTGGTAACAAGTCCAAGGGCGCTATGGCAAAAACGCTGCCACAAAGGCTTAGAGTTACGATGAGGTATAGGGGTTATAAGATGAGGAAGAATGTGTATGAGATAAAGAGTACCTCGGCAAATCAGACTTTCTTTCATCACGAGAAGTATGGCAGGATTTCTGTTAAGAATTATATCGAGAAAGGTTCGTTCTTTTTTGAATCCGAGGCGAGATGCTAATTAGTTTTCTCTATTATTTCCACTACACAGAATACAACATTACGCTCGAGCATCCAGATGATGTGCCTGTTGTTGACATCGGAAATGAAAAGAAGTCGATTTACGTACCTGCAGAACTCTGTGAAATTGAAGATGGAGAACCCTACAGAGGTCAACTTAACACTATGGAGACGCAAAACATGATTCGTTATGCATGCAAACGTCCCGCCGACAATGCCAGAATCATTGTTAACCAAGGCTTACAAACTCTCGCCTTAACGCAAGATAAGATAAACGACCCTATGAGCTCGTTTGGTATTTCTGTCAGCGACCAGATGGCAGTTATTCCTGCACGAGAGCTTCCACCTCCCAAAGTGTACTACAAAAGTGGGAAACCTCCGAATGTGACAGGAGGGAGCTGGAATATACTAGAAGTCACTTTCCAGAAAGGAAGTGTTGTCAAGAGCTGGAGTGTCCTTGTCGTTCGTGATGGGTTCAGTAACTGGAACGAGAACGAGGTACGGCGGATATGGATGGGATTCAGGGACAAGTGCAGGAAAAGTGGGATGACGATGCCGGATCAACCGAAGGTGCTGTTCACAAACCCATTGGTACCCGAATTCAAGGACGCCGCGAGAGCGACGGCTTTGGACCAGGTTCGCCAAACTATCAATGAGAATGTAGAACCTGGGGACCAAAGTTTCATACTCGTCCTCCTTCAAAAGCATGATCACCACATCTACCCAGGAATCAAGCGTATCTGCGACGTCGAGCTTGGCATACACACCATCCATATGCTGCTCACACAGAAGGTCTTCGGTCCGGGGGGACGTCTGGACCAATATTTTTCTAATGTTGCGCTTAAATTGAATACAAAGCTGGGAGGGGCGAACCATCGGCTGGACCCCGATAGCATGAAGTGGCTCACGCAAGAGAAAACAATGGTTGTCGGAATGGATGTCACACATCCAGGACCTGCCAGCAGAAAGGGAACGCCGTCGATTGCAGCTGTGGTAGCGAGTGTCGATGATAGTTTTGTGCAATTCCCGGCTAGCATGCGAATTCAGGAGGGCAGAAAGGAGGCGAGTAACGTACCATAATATTCTATCAGTAATCTTTGCTCATTTCACGCACCTCTAGATGATCACTGATCTCGCAGAGATGATGGAAGAGCGCCTTAAACTCTGGCAGGAGAAAAACCGTATTCTCCCAGCTAGGGTCTATGTCTTCCGCGATGGTGTATCAGAGGTGGGTAGTTATGATCATGCTCGTATCAAATCTTAGGCATCTGACGTGCACTTTAGGGGCAATTCGATTCAGTGCTTACAAAGGAGTTACCTTTAATCCTCGATTCCTTTAGGGGAATGAGCAACAGTTCTAAGAAATATAGACCAAAGCTCACCATTGTCATCTGTGGAAAACGTCACCATGCGCGGTTCTTCCCCATAGAATCAAACTCTGCAGACAAGAATGGTAACACGCGACCTGGAACAGTCGTGGATAAAGGTGTTACCACTGTGTAAGTGCCATTCATGATCATGACTTGTCCACTATGGTTGATGTCTGTGAATATCTAGATTCGACTATGATTTTTACCTACAGGCCCACGCTGGTTTACAAGGCACTGCCAAACCCACGCATTATACCGTCATATACGACGAGAATGCTCTTGACGCCGACAATATACAGCAAGGGACGCATACAACTAGTTACTTATACGCACGCGCGACCAAGGCTGTCAGTCTGGTACCTGCGGCCTATTATGCTGACCTTGCGTGTGAGAGAGGACGGTACTATATCAACGATTTCTTGAATGCAGGACCAAACAAATTGTCTGAGTCTGAGGCAGGGGGAGGAAAGGGAAAGGGAAAGGGAAAGAAAAAAGGGAAAGAAAAAGGAAATGATAACGCAGGCAAGGAGGAGAAAGAACGTGTGTTCAATGCTGCGAAAGAGATGTGGGGCGCAGGTGTTCATGCGAAGTTGAAAGATAGCATGTTTTACATCTAGACGTACCTCGTCGTCTTGGCAGCTGTATCAAATCCCACGGAAATAATCATTATGTATGAATCTTTGTAACGAAGTATGAGATATCAAACTTGATTTATCTGACTGGACTTGCCTTTGAAGCTAATGGATATATATAATGTAGACGAAAATAATATAAGGAACTCACTGGACTTTCACGTGGACTCTCATCGATTCCACAGCGTGTTTCGGTCTTTCTGACTGGATAAATTCAACACCTCGCTATAACGATCAAAGTCCATGTAGCTTGGGAAACTGAGAGGAAACTAGAATATTGGATTGTTGAATATACGCGTTGGTCTTGTGTGTATATTTTGCTCGGGTGATTTTTTGGAAAGGAGGATGCCAGCAATGGAGCTATTCCTCAGAGTTTAAACTCGATGAGTGGGTGTGGTCGACAATCGATGGCATCAGTGAAGGAACAAAGGCGCTGTCTCAGGGACCGATAGAACAGGTGCCATCAAACATTTTCCCGGTTCAACCCGAGTTGTACTCAACCAAACCGAAATTATTAGTATGTGCTATATTGCCTCTTTCAACGATTCATTGCGTTTTCCCCGACTCATCCAAGGTATAAAGCTAAATTACAGCATCAGTCGAGAAAATTTCAATGTGAAGGATGAAGTCTGATATGACTACTGCTTATCCTGGTATCGTTTCAATACGTCGTTTCCATTTGTAACTATTCATCCTACCCCACGCGTCCGTCCTCCGTATGCCCATCTCCCTCTCTGGCTGCACTGCCGTCTATCCCATCTTCGATTTTTCCTTGCAACCCTCCGCCATCACGCGACTCACTCAGCCCAAGGAACTGGAAAATCCGTGCATTGACATTTGAGACGAAGGCCGCCGTGACGAGCCCGAATTTGATCAGTGGAGTCAGTGGGGGTATCACGAGATTGGTGATGTCCTGCCATACATCAGTCAGTCGGGTCGTACGGATTAGGCGGTAGAAGAGGTGCATTACGGTGGGGTGGAAGAAATCCTCTTGGTGAGCTATGTAATACTTTCCTTCCTTTTCTATGAGGCTGAGACGGATCATAAGGCTGTAGACGTGACATGAGTACACTTCGAATGTGCTGGACAGATTGATATATTCACTGAGAGGGAGCAGCTTCGAAGGGCGTGAAGCGGAGGTGGAAGTACTGCACCACCTCTATGATAAGCACGTTCAGGTCAGGATCATAGACTATCGCGAATAATCAGCTGGTACATTGCGATATGCTCGTTCGTTATTTTGTTCAACGTACTGACACTGAGTACCTCACTCTTCGTCTTTGGGCTCATGATGCGGTACCATTCGTATATGCCAAGTATGTCCTCGCGGGAGCCTGGGCGTACCTCGACGCAGCAAAGTGGATGGCGGAAGGAGGCGTCTGGAGTGAAGTTGGTGGTTATGGTGTGGGCGAGGGAGGGAGCGGAGACGGTGGAAGTGAGGGTGCGGATGACTGGCACGATATCTTCTTTGGGGTTTTGCATGGCGGCGATGTTCTTAGGTCGTGGTTCAAGGTGAGCGTTTATGTGGTGGTCTCGGACATATGACATCATATCTGGGTGTAGTGATTCGGTGGCATTTGATGGAGCCTTGGACTCTAGCCTCCAGCTCTATGTAAAGTATCGGTTGCAGTTATAATAATGTAATTCCTCAGTGCTGCTGTGACAGGACAACCATGTTACTAGTACAGTGCTATGCTACGGTTCGTCTACATTGAATATCTAATACCTAACTTGAATAACATACGGGAGGTCTATAGCTACAGGTCTACTCGAATAACAATACAGGAATCCATATGCTCACCGATAATTTAGACACCGATAATTTAGAAAGGAAGGGTTGTCAGCTGCAACTATTTCCTAGTCTTACCGTCCATCTTCTGCGCATCTGCACCGATTGATCATCTCTAGTTGATATTCGTCCATTCTTTAGGTCCAAACCCCAGACCTAAAAAAATGCGCGCGGCGAGGTCAGAGGCAATACCTCCAGCCACCATTGTCACCGTGACTATCGGAGAGATAGGAGGTAAAATGAAATTGGCTATTTGCTGGACGGTCACGTTAGCACGTCAAATCAAAACAGAGCGTTGTCGATGGAACGCCCACGTTTGGGTGGATGTAGTCTTCCTGGTGGTGGATATAATGTTTCCCCCCTTCCCTTTGAAGTAGAAGACGCACAATCAGACTGTGATCATCGGGGTATCAGCGCGAATATGGTCATGTATGCTGTTGTATCTCTTACTCACCGGCCAGGCACTGGTTTAAACGGCACGAAGCGAATGTGGATGGATTGAACGACTTCAACGATAAGGACGTCCAATTTATCGTCATACACTGTTTCGGGGAGGGGTATCTCCTTTCTTTGGGAGCGCTCATGCTGTGGTGAGTGGGTGCTCACCTACGCTCTCTACGCGACTCTTGGTGTGTGGACTGAGAATTCTGTACCACTCGTATGCACCAAGTAGTTTCTGGCGCGAGCCTGCGCTGGACTTGATAATACAGAGTGGGTGGTCGATGGAGGCATCCTCTGTGAAGTTGTTCTTGATCGTATCGCGAAGGAGCTTGCGGTCGACGGTAGAGGTGAGGACACCGACAATGCCTGCTATCTCGTCCTTTGGGTTCTGCATAACGAAGAAGCGATGAGTTGTATGCGGTAAGTCTAGGGAATGTCAGGATACTTCGTTTGTTTCTGCATGGCCTCTTATACTGTGATAATGTCCAACGATTGATGATGGTGAGGTAGCTCCATGACGCGTCTGAAGCAATGACGTCACAGCAAGTGCAGACTCAGCCATTCTCTTAAATGCCCCTCTCGACATGATTCCTATCCCATGATTCCCCACCATCTTACTATGCCTACGAAACAACCACGTTCGTCGTCGACATCAAAAACCACCGTCGAATTCATCAAAACTTGGCTTTTCAACATCTTCACTCCCTTCAGCCTCCTATTACATCTCTTTTATCTCACAATCCAGAGTGTCATCATCCTTCTATTCAAACCTCGTTTTCCTCCAAAAGAGATCAAACATCCTTATGCTCGCATCGCAGTCATAGGTGCAGGCCTGACTGGCGTGTCTTCCGCTGCGTCAGTTCTTGTTTTACCCGTTTCGGTTGGCTGCTAACGAAACCCCCAATGTGCGTTCAGCCATGCTATTGCTCACGGTTTTGATGTTGTCTTGTACGAAGCAAGCGATCGCCCGGGTGGAATATGGTCTCGCGAAAATAAAACATCTGGTCTGCAGCTGAATTCACTGCTTTATCGCTTCCATCCTGGTGTGCAGTGGTCCCGCGCATTCCCTCAGCGAGATGAAATCCTTGATCGTACGTAGTCCATTGATTTAGCTTTGAACATGGCGAGTACCTAAAGCTTTGCATTCATGATAGAGATATCAAAAATATGGAAAGAGTATGGGCTTGAGTCAAGGACGCGTCTGAATGTAAGCACTTTCTCGGTTGAATTAAGTCTTCCTTGACATTTTCCAAAGACTCCGGTGGAAAAAGTTCAACGTATTCGTAGAGTGTGTGAAGACTCGGACTCAACTGGTAAGCTCGTGGATTGTCTTTTTATCTCACACATACTAAAGTCAGCATGATAGAGAGTCCTGAAGGATATGTAGCCTCGCCCTCCCAGTGGATTATCAACGGAGGTGAGGATGGTAAATTCGACGCAATGATTGTGACTATTGGAACTTGCGGTAAGCCGAAGTGGGTTGGCTTCGAAGGCATGCCAGACGGCGTTGGTAAATCTCAAGGTGCGAAGAAGAGTAAGGATCAGGCGGATACGGGAGACGAAGGACTCAAGAGTGAGAAACGTAAAGGGCAACACCTCTCGGACGAGGATAACATGGCAAAAGGCAACGTAGGACTCAAAGGTGCCCGAAAGCAGCCAAAACGAGGCAAGCACGAACTTGTCGAAGAGACTACCAAAGTCGAAAATATTACCGCTGCTAAGCACGATGAAAGTGAAACAGCATCGCCAACTACACCAATCAAGGAGACGGCGCATTATCCATTTATTCAGCCATATCCACAACGTGAATCTCCTCATGTTAAGGGAAAAGAAGCACGCGCGAAGGATCAGGATACATACGAAGGTCCAGTTTTGCATTCCTCACAACTGGATAATGCTACACCAGAAGTATTGAAAGGGAAGACAGTGGTCGTAGTTGGCAGTGGTGCTTCCGGTGTCGAAGCAGTGGAAACAGCTCTAGGGCGAGGAGCTGCGCGATGTGTGATGTTGGCGCGAGAAGACAAGGTATTTAATCGTTTCATTTATACTTCTCTTGTCGCATTCGTTAAATTTTCCCTACAGTGGATTATTCCAAGGTATGATATTGCCAATTCACCATTGCCTTCCCATGAGGCAGGGTTTTCTGGGGATTGATTTTCTCACAAACTTGATTGTCAGAAATATCGTATTTGACACGTTTCTCTCTGCACAGCCCTTTGGGCGGGAAATGCCATTCAGGTGCGTTTACTCCTCTTTTGCACTTATGGTAAACTTAAAAGTAATTTTGCTATCTCGCATATTTTGGGTCAATCTAATGATTTCGGCATGAACCCCACTGAATTACAATGTCTACATGACGATTGGGTCTTTCATTTCATCCGGTCTTTGCTTTTCACAACAATCACGGTCTCATCACATTGCTCATGCGAATAGCTTCTTGTGGGAGAATTTCCTTCGAGTCTGGCAATATCACGGTGTTCAAGATTTGGTACCGGAAAAGGGCATATTTGGAGGTACACCTGTGAGTTTAGTTTGATCGAGTCTTAGAAACTCGAAATTTCACTGACAAATGCGGCATATGCCTTCTTTGCATTTATCAGGTTGTCAACGACGAGTTTCTTGGGCATGTCCGACGTGGTCGATGTGTGTATATACGCGGGGACACATTGCGTTTCACTCGTCACGGTGTACTTGCGAATGTACGCGAGCGTATCGAGCGTGGTGAATCGCTTGGCCTCGGTGGTGGGGTCAGGGAATGCGACGTGAAAGACATCAAGGAACAAACAGGGAGGGTGCACGAACCGAGAGAAAAGAAGAAGGGCACGATAATTGACAAGCCTAGTCAGAAGGACTTACCCAGGGTCGAGGAAATCGCCGCTGATATCATTGTGCTTGCCACTGGGTATGAGAGACCCGACCTAAGCTTTTTGCCTAAGGAGTTGTTCCCCGAGGGATATGATGTGCGTCATTCCGTTTATATCGTGAAAAGCCTAATCGATTATGCTTTGCTTGCTTGACAGAGACCGAACATGTACCTACAAAACTTCTCCACTGAGGATTGGTCTGTTTTGATGACAAATTCAGCGTATCTGAACGCTATAGGCACAGTGTACGTACATGGAAATTGTGATGTTGTGCAGACTTACTTATCAGTTGAACCTCGGGTGTTGCATGTAGTGGACATTTGTGAGTATTTCTTTTCTGCCGCAGTGGATTATAGTCATCTTTTAACACTCTCCCAGCCATATTGGAATATGTACGTCATAGGACTATCTGTTTGTCCTTGAGTGGTCGACTGAATATCATTTCAGACACTCGCATTCTGTTAACGCTTTTACTTGACCCAAATGCGCGCCCTTCACCCAAAGATATGAAGCTTTGGGTTGATGTAGTGCGCTTCGTCAAGAAAGGTGCTAGTGGCGGCGCATTAGGATTCTTCACGTATATGGAATTAAGTAGGCGCACTCAAACTAATTATTTTATGAGCAACAAAGCTGATAATATTGCGATAGCGATTTGGCTGATAACGTTTCACCTTTTCCGACCTGACAGGCTTAGATGGTATGTCAACCTTCTCGCCCAATCTAGGTTTCCTTATCAATATTCTTGGAAGGTTGTTCTTCATTATGCAAGGTTGGGGTGTGAGGCCTGACGATGAGCGGTTAGTCCGGAACATGAAGGATGGAACCAGAAACGTGCAGGAAGGCAAAGTGGAAGTTTAGCCGCAGAAATCGGATGCTGGGGAAGAACACACAGAAGGCAGTGAACTGATTAACTCTAGGTGGAACACACAAGCTATTGTGTTGACCATTTTATTCTAAGATCTATTGTATTTTTACGTATGGGAGAGGGATTCGCATCTCAGATCTTAGTATCAATGTATGACTCCACCTAAACTGCAAGCTATTGCTGTGTCGTTATCATGCTCAGGAAATGGAGACCTCCACGTGAAGTTATAATAGAGCATTCCATTATGGTGACAGCAAATAAAACAGCGTGTATATCCCTTGTAAAATGCGTACACATGGATAATAAATAGTCATCTCGCATCTCGTGGTAATCTCTCGTATGCGCTCATCAGTAGTTCATACTGACTATGCAGGTGAATGTGGGCACTAGGTCATTTAAGAGAGTGGCCAAGCCAGTGCACGAACAGCTTCAATCCACGATGCAGCAGCATCAGGGAATTGCCAGACCATAATACCACCATCTTAGCGCAAAGTGTCAGTGATTGTGATTTTCACATGAATTGATACACCAGCATAACTCACTGTATCCGCTTGTAACAGCCTCTTCAGCACACTGAGCAAGCAGAGTTGTGTTCATATAACCATTGTTGGCATCGGCAGTGGTTGCTGGCTTGCCAATGACGAGTTTGTCCAGGGACACGCCAGATGCGGCGATCTGGAAGAGTGCAGACTCGGGCCAGGTGCTAGAAGAGTTGTTCAAAAGACCGTCACATGTAGTGTATTCATCAGTCCCCTCTAAGACAAATATGAGTGAAGAGTATTGCACAGAATGTATAGGGAGGCTTACGGTTGTAGAACTTGCGACAGGTAAGAAAACACAAGTCAGGTTATGTCAATAAGTAGGCACCTGAGTTACTCACTTGGACGTTGTACTAATTGTGTTATCGTCAGATAAGTGAAACGTGTTGGGAATCATATAATGACATACCCAGTCAATCATAGAGCCAACGGTCTGGTCGACGAGGAGGTATCCTCCACCACCCCAGATGCCAGGAGAGAACCTATGTTCAGACTATTAAATACCCAGATGTGAACAAAAACAGGCCAGACGATTTACCAAGGCGCAACCGCTGTATTCTCAAAGTAAGCAAAGGCATAATAATAACGACCATTTGGATTAAACACTTACGTGCATGAGTCAAGAGATATTGACCCTGGGGAAGTTGTGTGCGGAGCTGGGTAGTAAAGTTTCCAAGCCACTGTTCAGCAGCACCAGTACCAGCGTCGAAGGCGTCAAAGTCCTATGAACACAATCCATATGTCAGATATCACCTATCTACACGAACGAATCGCAACATTACCTCGTAATCAATGTCGAGACCATCGAGATCGTACTCAATGATCCAGGCGGCAACAGTGTTGGCGGTGTCGATGGGGTCGTAGCCAGAGGATGTAGGGGTCTCAGTTGAACCGAACACGGAGGCAATGAGGAGGATGTCTGCGGCTGCGTACTGAGCCTTGATAGTGGTACGCTGATCTGCCGTCAGCTCTTGCCATTCCTGAGCTTGGTCGGCCGACCCGTAGGCTTCCAAGAAGGAGAGGGCACTATGTATTAACGATTAGGACGCTTAACTTGGGATAAGGCTATGCTAAAACCTTACAAGACGTTGTAGCCCTAAGAAGGAATTCATAGTAAGAAAAGCAGCGGGAGCGAGGCACGACAAGATCAGACTCACGGCGATCTCTGTGACGTTCGGAGGTCCAGTCTCGCCAGACACCCACTTATCGCTGTAGATAACAAAGTGAGGCGCTGCAGGTGTAGCACGCTTCAAGATGCTACGAGCGGTATCATCCAAACCAGAGAATTCATCGATGGGAACCGATGTAGCACTGTTGAAGAGTGCAAAAGCTGAGAAAGCGGCGGTCAAGAGACTGTAAACCATAGCTTAATTCGTAAGGCCTGGGCAGCGGCGAAAGGGGAGGTTGGACAGGAACAGTGGAAGCACCTAAGGAAATTCTTGTCTCGGAAATGACTGGCAATTTATACTTTGCATACGACCATTTCTGACCCGCCACCTCGGGCAGAAACAAGTGCATATGGAAAGATCCCAGTTAATTAGTTAGCCCGAGATAATAGAAATAGAGTGCCGTGGGCTTTCAGAAACAGAGAGATGTACGGGACCAGAGAACGCAGTTTATCGGCAGATCCGCATGGTCGGTCTGTCGCGCTTGAGAACTTGTGAAGACGCGCCAGGAAAAGCACACGATGAACTATGAAAGGGTTCAGTTGAGCGTCAGTCCAGTGGCGAGAACAGCACGCTGCATGGATAATTAAGGAGGACGCCATATGACCGAATTGATGTGACCCTCGTTTTCATGACACGAGGTACCTCGAGGAACAACTAGCGCGCAATACATAGATGGGTCCCGCGAAGGTGCTACCGAGCTCATGAGAAGGGGGTGGGAGGCTAGTGTAGGAGGGTATATGTAAAGCTAAAGCGCACAGGCAAGTCGGACCAAAGGACCAAAGCAGGACATACAGATATATCACCGATAAAAAGACTCCCTTTTGGGAGCCTCTACTGCTTTAGAAGCATACGAGACCTCTCATTCTCTCATGATCGAGACTGAAGATGGAGAATCGAGGGTCTTGGGCGATAAGATGCAAATAGCCAAACATTCATAGGTGCACCGTGCGGTCGAATCTGGTCGAATCAAGGCAGCGAAAGGAGCACATCGGACGCAAATTGTTGTATCAGCCAGATAAGCAACGGCCAGGTGGACACGAAATTCTCATCCATGCAAATGAGTTCTGCCGATGGTTTCCGCAGCACCGAGACGATGCGGCGAGCACGCTATTCCATGAGGGTGTGAAAGATTGGGATTATCTGATCATTTCACCATTCGTACCACCACGAATAATCATTTCTATGGCCTTTTGTCAGACTCGAACGCGATCGATCATTCGTACTCGTACCATTTGTGTGCTCCGGTGCCTTGGAGCTGGAGAACGACATATGGACCTTAAAAACACCGCTACCAATAGTCTATGTTAGTAAAGCATAATCTGAGAGAAAAGCGGACAGAGAACCTATATCAATCCGTTCAGCCACCAAACTTTCACAACACGCGAGAAAACATGATCAGGTGCCACAATCCGTTATGATACTTTTGCGGCATTCACGGTATTCACACAAGGACTGCCAGCGTTCAACGTTCAAGTACTACAGCAGTATGAAAACATCTCTCGCGTCCCATCTCGTCCCATTCGCTCGTATTATGTCGTTTCCCATGAAACAAACCCATATATTGACCAGTGAATCACAAGCCTGTACAAGTGGTGAGGTAGGATGTCTAACATGAAAGGATTCGGTCTGGTATGGAGTGATGCAATGCATGAAGAACTGGGGTATACCCTCTTTGATCGTGATGCATCCCTTGGGCCGAGAAACACAGAACCCATGGTATCTATAGCCTTTAAGATGACGCACTGGAGAAGTAACTATGATACAGCATCCTGAGAGAACAAGACTCCTATTTTGTTTTCTCGTTCCACCTAGAGGCATATTAAGTTCGTTAGGGAAGTTAACCAAAATAAGGATACTCACAGATCCAAAAACAATTTCCAGAGAATGGAAAACATTAAGCCTTGTAAACCGTTGGCGAGGATTCTGGTCTTCAGTCCGCGGCCAAAAAGCCCCTTTATACCGTCCACAGCAACAACCGCACGGGCAGCGTCTGCGTAACCAATACGCGTCTCGTTGACTTGGCGATACGTCTTAATGACGCGTAGAGAATTAGAGACTGTATCAGATATAGCAGAGGCGCAAAACCCGATGAATGCTTGACGTGCGAGTTTTTGGAAGATGTTGTCGGGAGATGGGAGGTTCGCATCAAGATAGTTGTAGGTCCCAAACCACTGATATAAAGGTGTAAGTTTGCAACTCGCCTAAATGATCAAGATTGCGCACCGGATAGTGGCCAACGAAAGTGGCAGCAGCAGTAGCTAATGCACCATACCACAGTGAACCAATGCCGTATTTTTTAACCTATCAAATATGAGTCTCACATTCAAATCCATCGACAACTGAGACTTACACGAGCTCGAAGGATAACCATTCCGGCCTTGCCTTGGGTTTGCATCGTCGTCTTGACGGTGTCCACGGGAGTCAATATCATCCTAAAGCAAGCAGCTGCGACTGAGGCGAAAACGGTCTTGAGGAGCGATGGCAGCTTGTTCATGTAAGTATTGGACTGGAGTAGAGCAAGAATGCCAGCGTTAGCGGCAGTGTCGCCAAACCGTGATACGGGGCCTTGTACTAGGGCGGCGATAAGACCTTGGTAGTATCGTGTCCAGCCTCCATCATGGTACAATGTCTTGATGGCCCCAGTGGTGGTGGCACCGAATCGGTATTGATAGTTCATAACTGTCCGTAGAGGCTACAAGGGATGAACAAAGCTATCTGAGGCCCTTGCTAATCGACATACCATGAGTGTCAAAACCTGAAGCACCATGGCTAGTGATCGTAAATGTTAGGCTAGTGAGGCAAGCGCAGAACAGAAGCAAGATACCTGCAGCACCACTAAGTCCTCCTCCAAGTGCACTCTTCAGCGCCTTTCCAAGGTCAAACTAAAGCAATAGATAAGACCAAAACCCAGTTCATGATACACACAGCGACTTACTTCGACATCGTCCGAGTCCAAGATTCCCTTGACCATGACACCTACGAGAACGAGCGCCAATGCGCCGGTCACGACCCAAAACGCGACAATCCGGAAATGCCTCTTCCGCTCCTGTTCCACATCACGCCCGACATCCACGACAATGGTATTTTCTTCGTCAGGACTTTCACTCCTACCGACGTCGATCTCTACGGGAACGTCGCGATAACTAGGTGGCTTTTGTGTAGCCAACAAGGGCTGCTCTTCGTCGGCGCTGGGGCTGGTTAAACCTATGGCCGTACGCTCAGACATGACTATGCGACCAGAAAAGGTTGGAAGAGAAAGGAAAGGGAAATATCTGGGAGGGAATTCGCTTTACATGGTCGTGGCTTAGATTTGGCTTACCAACTTGAAGGCGCTAGGGCTGTTTATAGCAAACGTGCCGGAGAACCGAATTACTGAATTACTAAAATCATGCATCCCAATCGGGTCCGTGCGTGCAGAAAGATTACTTACCATCCCATTGACAATGTTGATCAGAACCAGTACTATTATCTGCAGTATGACGAAAGCCAGCTAGAGTACAAGAATAACAATTTCTATCCCGTTTCTTCGATACTCTGTGAAGCAGGCGAGGTAAAAAAGCTGTGTCTCTGTAGGGATTCATGCAAATATACGTGATCATCCCCATGACATGCACTGACATTGCGCGGAATGGATCTGGTGATGCTAATTTCAAGGAACTAAAGGAAGATGGTCGTTCTTATAAGAGGAAAAAAACCTGGTAAATATAGCAACAACATAGATATGATATTGAATAACTCAACAAATAATGAGACAATTCTGATGACCACAATGAGGCCAATGTCACGACTTGTATGGATACATAGTGCCCATGGCTAGAAAATAGAGATCTCTCTAGGTGGCAGTAGAAAGTAATATTGATACATTTGGATCCTAAATTTGATCAGCGCAGGCAGCGTCAGTCAGACTAAAACACACCATATCTTCTTATATCTATCACAAAGGCACAGTCTTCTCGTTGACGACGTCATCGGTGATGTTAAGCTTATCCAAAGCATCCTCAAACTGATCGAGATCGCTCGAATCGTCGTCATCCTTTTCCTCTTCTTCGTCCTCCAACGATTCTTCATCGTCGTCTGGAGGTTCATCCTCAAAGTCAAGCTATGCGGGAAATCGTCAGAACTGTAAGAAGAACATCGAGAGGCAGACTATACCGGATCATATACGACTCTGATTATAAGACTACAGCTTGGACATGTTGCAACGTCCTCGTAATTTGCGAGTTGTGACCGAGAGATCTCGAAGCGATCACCACAAGGGCAAGGATAGTGGTACACGCCCTTTTCTTCGTCCCAAGCCATATCCTCGATTTCTATCTCGTCGTAGTACGCACCCATCCCTCCCTTCGTGTGAATACAACACTCCTGGTTGATGATAAGGAACAAAAAATGAACAAGTCATCGCTGCAATGCTCCGATCCGTTACAGAAGCCACGTGGATGTGGCAAGATATTCCGACTCCCGATTCCGACAGGCTCGAAACTGACCACTTGAACCGCGAACCCATTTCGCAAATCTATGTTTTTAGTGTCTCGTGCACAGAACGCTTCAAGAGTTTCTCGGTTACTTCAAAGACACTTGAGAAGTAGGGGCATTGGTGATCTGAGCCATGGCAAGCATCATTACGATGGTGCGATTGCTTTCTTGTATACTCTAGCCAGTTCAATTTCACTTATCACACACAATTGGCGTGTTCAATCTATAGTCTGTGTTATAGGAGGAGGTCATGCCGGCTGCGAAGCTGCTACTGGGGCTGCAAGGACAGGAGCAAGGACGCTTTTGCTTACCCAAAGGACTGACACTATAGGAGAGCTCTCATGCAACCCATCTATTGGAGGAGTAGGAAAAGGCACCCTGGTCCGTGAAGTTGATGCCCTAGACGGTGTAATTGGGCGCGTAGCAGGTGTGTAGCCACTAAATTCTTGCACGCATCCTTCATTTTACATACATATATAGACAGGGCGGGAATACAGTTCCGGATGCTAAACTCCTCAAAGGGCGCTGCCGTTTGGGTTTGTCTCTATCACGCTTATTTGAATACTAGCTGAATCACAAGTTGCATTGATAGGGTCCTAGAGCACAGATTGACCGCAAGCTTTACAAAAAGCATATGCAACAGATAATATTTAATTACCCGAACTTGGTCATACAAGCTGCAAGTGTTTTCGATCTTGTATTCAACCATGGAGTATCAGACACATGCAAACAAGAAAAACCACTCCTATGGGGTTCTATCGAAGGAGTCAGGCTCGGTATGACATTCCATCGACTTCGTTATGTTCCCCTAGGTCTGACTTGTATATATCAGAAAACGGGGACGTTATCAAGTGTTCCACGGTCGTAGTTTGTACGGGAACATTTCTTTCGGGGGAGATCCATATTGGTATAAATTTAGTGCTCTCCACCCGAAATCACCATTGAAACATAATCACAGGTATGAAAAGATTCCCAGCTGGTAGGATGCATGAGGCTCCCTCTGTGGGACTTTCGGCGTCGTTACGTACCGCAGGATTTAAGCTTGGTCGACTCCAAACAGGCACTCCTGCTAGGCTCGATAAGAACACGATTGATTTTTCTAACTTGGTTCCGCAAGAAGGCGATCCTTTGCCGTATCCCTTTAGTTATTTGAATCGTACAGTAGATAACGCCGTAAGTGGTTGATTCGCTAATCTTTCGTTGTCCTTATGCCTAATGGGCGCTTTTTCCAGGATAATCAAGTTCAATGCTATCAGACTGCGACTACGCCTGCCACTCATCAACTAATAAAGGATAACATGCACCTCAGTGTCCATATTCAAGAGACAAAGAAGGGTAAAGCCCATTTACTCTTCTTGCAAGCTACTGTCTTTCTGATAATTCAGTAGGCCCACGGTATTGCCCATCGCTTGAAGCAAAGATCACGCGGTTTGGGCACAAGAATAGCCACACTATCTGGTTAGAGCCGGAAGGCTATGATTCAGGTTAGCAGGCATCCTGTATTCACTCCCGTCTGGATATCAACCGGGGATTAGAGGTTATCTATCCAAACGGATTGTCATGCAGTATCCCAGAAGAGATTCAAGAGCCCATGATGCGTACAATTCCTGGCCTCGAGAACGTGAAGATGGTCAAACCCGCATACGGAGTTGAATATGACCATATTGACCCACGAGAATTGGACTGTGAGCTTATTATAATATTCGGTATATTGGTATACTCATGTGTTGAGCCCACTCGCAGCAACTCTTCAAACAAAACGAATACAGGTGATGCTAGAGTAGTTTTTTTCTTTTCTAGTTGCTAACGCTGGTGTCGAGACAGGGCCTCTTCCTTGCTGGTCAAATTAACGGTACACAGCCCATCAGCTAATTTCAAGTTAAGTGTTAATTATATATGCAGGAACTACTGGATACGAGGAAGCTGCGGCGCAAGGGTGTGTGGCAGGCATTAACGCTGGACTCGCAGCCATGAATCGCCCACCGCTCGTCATTACCCGAGCCGACGGCTTCGTAGGAGTAATGATAGATGATCTTGTCGTTAAGGGTGCAGAGGAACCTTGTAAGTGGGCTTTGCACACGTTCTGGATTGTACTCCTGATAGTATGGTAGATCGCATGTTCACTTCACGATCGGAGTATCGAATGAGTATCCGGAGCGACAACGCCGATATGCGACTTACGGAAACTGGTATGTGATAATTTCTGATACTCTACCGTACTGGCACTGATGTCGTTCAGGTCGAAACGCTGGTATCGTGTCAGATGAACGATGGTCATCCTTCGAAAGTGTCCGGAAAGAGATTGAAAGGGGAACTAAGCTCCTCCAGTCGTTATCTATGAGTCCACAGGTACGCACAAACCTTGAAAGTAGTGCGACATATATTAAACATTTAATGGAAGGGATGGGGGACACATGGATTCGAAGTAAGGCGTGATGGAGTAGCACGAAGGTGGGTAGTCGCATCGCCTTTATTTTGCTTCATTAACAAGGTCATTATCAGTGCATATGACATGCTGAGATATCCTCATATAACAATCAACGACCTCACTACGGTGTTGCCAGAGCTGTCTGACTTAGATCCCTACATTCTTGCCAGAATCAGTGTGGACGGTAATTCATCAATATATACCCTATATCTTCCTTTGGGTTTTCTCATTCATAGTCATAGGTACATACTCTGCCCATCTTCGCCGACAAGAAGGCGACCTTAAGGCGTTCATGCAGGACGAGAAATTGGCTCTTGACCCTCATATGGATTACAACGAAGTGAGGGGTCTGAGCTCGGAAGTTCGCGAACGACTCTTTGCAGTGCGTCCTACAACCATTGTGAGGATTTTTGGGCGTCATTTGGTCTATGCAAATTCTCATTTCAACAACAGGGCGCCGCGAAACGTATGGAAGGCATGACGCCTACATCTGCAATATATTTGCTTAAACATGCAAAGAGGGTGTGGAGGCACAGCGTCGAAGCATCTATGCCGGCAACATGATCGCATTCACTTTCTTTTGTTTCTTCCTCTGACCCAACTCAGAAATAAATCTAGCAGGAGCTGCTCTATTTCAAAGCAGCTTCACTTGGCTCTCCTAGGGTAGCAATAATGGATGACAAGTATTGCAAACAACATTCATACAGTACTGTCTAACAAAATGTTGGCTTATTATCTTATTCTACGACCGAAGTATGTATGTCCGGCGATCGTGATGTTAACAAAGACTGTAGTGAGGTGCTTAGCAGAGCAAACGTCGTCTAGTCTTACAAAGTAAACACCTTAATCTTAATATTATGCAGTCCAAACTTTTGAATCGCAAGTTCTCCGCTCAAACAAACAAACCAGCCGGTGTGACCCAGGACACCCCTGAATACTCTAATAATTCCACTGCATACGTCCAACGGTGATGCAACAAGGTTATTATCATACGCCCAAGCAATGCATATACCTCTTTCGAGCAGTAGAACATACCTTCCAATCTCTCAAAGTACTAGGTTTCAAGTAGCTTGCATCATGATGAAGTTTCGCACGGCCGCACTTATGTTATCTGCATATGATTCGCAAAACGCGGTCCACTCAATATCCGAATTCTATCTCTTGACCTCCATCCACCAAGATGTCTGATCCCGTAGCAGACAAATCCACTTTTCTTTCCATGTATATGACCAACCACCCAGACACGCTGGTGGCATATGTCAAACACTTCGGGAAAGTCACTGAACACGTCACCAGCGCCGAAATGAAGGCAATCGACTCCAAGGTCACTTCTTTTCTCGCATCTTCTTATATTCACTGGTATTGACATTCGAGCGCTCCATTCTGTCAGAGTATGACGCTCGCCTACAAGACCAAGGAGGTCAGCGAGAAGAGAACAGTAAAAGTAGAATTCGATCCTCCACTTGCCGGTTATGAAGAGGTCAAGCCGCGTTTGCTGGGCATGAAAGCTGAAGCGCAGGAGGGTCTTGGAATGGTAAGGTGTGTGTTACCAGTCTGCGCTAATCTCACCCCACTTTCCAGATTAAAGCTCCTCAACTTGCGAATTTCCAAATGCCATGGAGAGGCTCATTCATGTCTGGCCTCTACGTGCTGACCTTCTTCTACCTGACACTCCCTCCCAAGGGTCCTCTAGGCGACCACGTCATTTTTACTCCTCCTCGCGCTATCAGCTCTGCAATAGGCTTCGAATTCGCGCCCAAGGTCATTCTAGGAATTTTCGGTGGAATACATCTGCTTGAAGCAGTGTATACGTATTCTTTGTGTAGAAAATATGTCAAGGGATTCTTCCCAACGGTGAGTACTCGTGTCAGGGGATTACCTCGATAGTCAAACTCAGCGCTCTACCTCTTGAACAGGTAGCATACCTGGTCGGCACTTGCATTTTTGGGTTTCCTATGTGGACAGATCTAAGGAAACGTGTTCAAGATGCGCGCATTGAATCTGTAATGAAAGTGGAATAAATGCTATACATAGTTGTAGCACATTTATTGGAATCGTCATACATTTCCTCAGTATCTTCGTAGTGTTTTAAGTCGCTGTTCCCACATGGTTCCAGGGGTCCTTCGAATGGCCTGTGGAATCAGTGCAGCGTACGCAGTGAGCGGCGTCTATCTCAGCCTTTCCATTCATAATGTCGTACTTTCTTCCGCATCTACCATCTGGCTGGCATGTTGACGAGGCCATCAAATCGGAAGAAGATAGAGTTGTAGTCATCCGCTTTGGACATGACTGGGATAGCCAGTGCATGACAATGGACGAGACCCTCTACTCTGTCGCTGAGAAAGTCCAGAACTTTGCAGTCATTTACCTTGTCGACATCACTGAGGTTCCTGATTTCAATAAGGTGGGTGCTTATGTGACTGGTGCATCTTTCGCTCGGAACTGCTTTTACTGATATATGGACTCGCGCTCGTTCGTCTTGCAGATGTATGAGTTGTACGATCCTTGCACGGTTATGTTCTTCTATCGGTATGCAACCTTCAGTCATCATGCTCACCCACAGCTTATCCATTACACTGGTTTGACAGGAATAAGCATATCATGATTGATCTTGGTACGGGTAATAACAATAAGATGTTCGTACTGTCTTTTGTGCTTCTAGGACCCAGTTCTGATCATCATCCATGTCGGTGCCGTTACTCCCCTCTCTTAGAAACTGGGCCATGGATAATAAACAAGAGGTTCGTAAGCTACCCCTTCCAGTCTAATTTCTTAGCTGAATATCCCACCAGCTCATTGATATCATCGAGACCGTCTACCGTGGAGCCTCTAAAGGGCGCGGTCTTGTGGTTTCCCCCAAAGGTCTGTGTCCCGCATCTAGTCCCATATCGTCGTCAATTTGACCTTTGTATCTTCAGATTATTCCACTCGTTACAGATACTAATTGTCAGAGGCAATAACATGATAAACGGCGAAATAGTTAAGTAGCATCGATGTGCATTTTTTGACTTGTTCAGTAAATTCGAGGTTTATTTTCATTTTTCAATCGATAACTTGCTCTATGAGAGATGAGAAGGACCACCGTGGGTCGATAGAAGTTATGAATATGGAAAACATGTGCAATTCAGGTATACATGAGTGAAGGGCAATAAGCTCAGATAAAGATAAACCACAAAGAGAGTAAATTAAACATGGATGCAAAAATAAAGAACGAGCGTATTAATTTTGAGAGTAATCTACGAGAATTTCCACCTGTAAGGAGGGTTAGTCCATGTAATGAAATTAGAGGATGTACTAGGACGAACCTGTTGCCGCAGTTGACGCATCTAAGAACATTGTGATGAGTTAAAGTTAGCTACAATCCAAAACCCGGAATGGTCATGGTACACTTACGTGACAAAGGTCTGAAAGAGAGGTAGGCAGATTTGTTGCGTATCAACAAGCTTTCATTCCTTAAGTAACATAAATAACATACCGTCATAGGCTCATCAGCACTGCGTGTTTGTGCTTGACGATAGCGGCATTTTCGCTTGAAAATTTTCAGCTAAAGGTGTATGCACTAACCATGCATGGTTGATCCTTACCTGTTTACATCTACCACACTGGAAGGCATCGGTTTCAGCTTCCTGTTCTGCAGCACCCAGTGATTTAAAGAAGTTGTCCTCCTTAATTTTGTTATCAGCTGCCTTTCTTTCCTCTGATGCCATTTCCTAGATAAAAAAGACCAGACATGATCAATCAAGGATCAGTGAAACCAGCGATAAATATACGTACTGCGCTGGACATTTTGCCAAACTTTTCTACTGAGAGATCACCGCTGACAATACTTTCCCGCAAACCAGGGTTGTTCTTGTCCTTCAGATTGACGAATAAGCTTCGGATTTTGCTCTTGTATTCTACACTGGGCCCGCTGAATTGCGCTACCACAGCACTTTCGATAGCGCGTGCTCGACCTAATATTTGTTCGCTGGCTGTGGGAGGTGAAAATCAGCTAAGATGGCAGTCATGACAGATATTTGGGTAAGAAGAACTCACGAGCGCCCGAGTCACAAGCCAAAGCATCGTATATCAGCTCCATGCATTTGTCGCGCGTCTTATCGCCTGTTGATGGGACTTTGATGCTATCGCCTTTGGCTGTGCGCACTTCACCCTTTGCACTGACTGGCGTGGGAGTGACGGATGTCGTTGAAGGGGTAACAGATACAGATGAAGCTTTTCGCGCTTTTGCTGCGAGAAATGATTGTGAGTATTGAGGGCGCTTGTTAGAGGCATAGATGTACCGGAATCGCCGTTGGGCGCCTTGCTGGAAGTGCCACCGTTCTTTGCTCGCTCGACCTCATTTTTCCATTTCTTGACGACCTCCTTCGCTAGGTCTGAAACCTCCTTCGCTGCATGCGAACGCAGTTTGCCCACAGCCAACCCCGCCTTGCTCTCCTGCGGTGATTTAACCGGCTTTAGCCCGGCGGGCACAGCAAAAAAACGACGTGAACTGCTTACCCTTAAGATGGCTTCATTTACTTGATACTCTTTCTTGAGAATACGTAGAATAGAGCTAATTTCCTAATGATAAGAAAGAGCAGAGATATAAAGTCAGTGAAATTGACGGGAATGACAAGGGAAACCGTTATCGTACCTCATTTGTGGATGAATTTTGCAGTTGTTTTACGAGCTTCTTGAGCTCTGCTGTTTCTGACATGGCTAGTCCTACTAACTACGTGTACAGGATGTATAAACTGCGAACCGTCTTTTCTGCGTACTTCTCTCCTAAAGATGAGTCTCTAAACCAGCAATGGGACTCTGCTGAGCCGTGCAACATGTACGGATGGGACACGATTCGAGCGTGGCACGCTTATCGTCTGCCCTCCCTTTGGTGTAAACAAGCGCAAGCAGCGCGCCCCGCCCATCCTCTTGCTCGACGACCACAACAGCGACCTTTGCTTGGACCTTGCTCTTGCCACCTTTCTTTCTAACCATTGGCATCTCCAACAATGGCATCTGTATCAGCACTACCACCCTTGGAGCCTCTTTTGAAAATGAGTGCAAAAAGGACGCGAGCCGTTTTTGCTTCCTGCCCAGACGAAGGTCTCAACAAAGAGGATGAGAAAAGGCAATTTTAATGTTCTTTACGCAGGAGACCTTTATCTGACCTTTCTTCCTTTGTAGTGCTCGCATACGTTTGTCGGTAAAGATCAACGACGAATACAAACATTGCAAGGAGCTCCCACCCGCTTTACTCGCACAACAAGGACCTGTAGGTCCTGCACGACGCTCAGAGAAAAGATTGGCCATAACCGCCGGACGTGAGCCCTGGTTTACCACGTCTCCATTTGACAACTCTAACATGGAATTACCTCAGCTTCGAATAGCACTTCACAGATGATCGCTGCAATAGACAACTCGCCGAGAACTCAGCCTTCAACATTCAGTACATCAAGTAAACTCTCCGAGGCACTCACGCTGCATAAAACTACGCGTGTCATAAAACCCACTTATCACGCACCTTGGAAACTTGTTCGGGTCATATCTGGTCATCTTGGCTGGGTTCGTAGCGTCGCAGTTGAGCCGGGCAATAAGTGGTTTGCGACCGGTGCAGGAGACCGTGTCATTAAAATATGGGACTTAGCATCCGGAGAACTAAAACTATCGCTAACGGGTCACATCTCTACGGTGAGAGGGCTAGCGGTATCGTCAAGGCACCCTTATATATTTTCCTGCGGAGAGGACAAGGTACGTCTTTTAAAACACGATGGGCTTTTACTTTCACCCTTAAGCTGTGATCCATAGATGGTGAAATGTTGGGATCTAGAAGCTAACAAAGTTATTCGCCATTACCATGGGCATCTTTCTGGTGTCTACTCTCTCAGTCTCCATCCAACCCTTGATGTATTGGTCACGGCAGGAAGAGATGCCTCTGCTCGTGTATGGGATATGCGAACAAAGGCTCAGATCCACGTCCTTGCCGGTCATTCTGCCACAGTCGCCGATGTTAAATGTCAGGAATCTGATCCTCAAGTTATCACTGGTAGCATGGATTCTACAGTGCGGTGCGTAATCTCCCTGTATATCGTTCACGTTCCTTTTACTAGAGTTCTTTTTTGTGACATGTAGATTATGGGACCTTGCAGCAGGAAAGACTATGGTTACTCTGACCCACCACAAGAAGTCTGTGAGAGCCCTCGCCATACATCCAACCGAATATTCGTTCGCTTCTGGCTCGGCTGGTGGGAATAACATAAAAAAGTGGAAATGTCCAGAAGGGACTTTTGTATTCAACTTCCCCGGACATAACGCCATCATCAATACGATGTCTGTAAACGCTGAAGGAGTTTTCTTCTCGGGCGGTAAATTTCGTTTCCATACGCTCAAATACAATCTTCTGATCTGTGTCTATCGACTTAGGTGATAATGGCACCCTGACTTTCTGGGATTATGACACAGGCACCCCATTCCAACACCTCGAGGATGTTCCTCAACCTGGGTCACTCGAAGCAGAAGCGGGTGTCTTTTGCTCAACTTTCGACATGACAGGTACACGTCTTATCACTGGTGGAGCCGATAAAACAATAAAGGTATGGGGGGTCGTCGTTGAGATATCTATCATTACTTATGATTTTTCTTGGCAGGTGTATGCTGAGCAATCGCAATAGTGTACTTGTCCTGTATCCCTAACCATTCTCCTGATCCTACTGGTATTGATGTATTCACACATTATTGAACCCTTCATCTACGGTATGTTGTTTCATATTCAATTTAATGGATGCAGCATATATTGGGGCAGGATCGAATTTACAACTGAAGCGCCAACCTGAGTCAATTTATGTATTTATCTGAGACAGGTATATCAGATATATCAGAACAAGCCTCTTGCAATCCAATAATCTACCCAAAGTTTAGCATCTGCCTGTCCGATTTGTGATAGTCCACTCAATGTTGCGCTAATACTCTGAGCTTTTTCAGTTACCATTTTCACGATGCCTCCTACTTCTACATCTGTTCGCCCAGTACGCTGCAAGTCTTCATCAACACCAGCTAATGCACGAAACCAGTCCAAAAGCTTGATAGCGGGCTGTATCTCAAACACAATCAGAATCCGAGGTACGAGGAAAGAGTGAAACTAACGATGGCATTGATGTCCGATTCTGTCGCTTCTTCTGCTCGCATTTCCAACAGGGCAACCCATTCGCTCATCCTGACAAAAGGTAATGATTCTTTTGGAAGTCGCTTCTTCGCTACCACAGCATCGCGCACGGGCTTCAGAACATCTGGCCATGAGACTGGGTGAGGGTGCACTATGTTCAATGCTGGTGGGGGAGCATGTTTTGCTAATGCTACATCCAGAATCGCTGCAGAAACTTTCTCTGCGGGCATCCACGAAACATACTACAGATGAAACTCGTCACATTAAAAATCTTGATCAAAGCAAGGCAAATATTACTACTGACAGCTTGTATATTGGGGAATTTCCCCAGGGCCAAACTCGACTTAACAAGAATCGGAAACCAGTCACTCAACGTCCACGCACCATTTGGGCCTCCAGCGATCTGACCCAGCCTAAGAGATGTCGCATTGAGCCCACTGCTAGTAACGAGCTAAGAGTACAATCAAGTCTAACTATGACACTGATGCAGGCCCAGAAGAAAGCGTTACGCACCCGTTCTGCGATGTACTTACTGGCGCCATAGCCAGATCCGACTGCCACACTGGCATCAAGTTGTACATCCTCTGGAAAAGCACCTCTGCTACGATCCCAGCCTTGAGCGGATCCTACTGATGATATAAACAGGAATCGAGGAGTGCTGTGAAGAGTGGATGATAATGCAAGATCGACGAGTTGGAATGTTCCACGGACGTTGGGTTCAAATGAAGACAAGGGAAGGTTGAAATCTACCCGCCATGCACTATGTATAATGACAGTCACCGATTGCCGAAGCTGCGTTCATCATCAGTAGCATTTCAAAATGGATAGCCCCTTCAAGGTAAGGATATAATGGGCTGACCTGATCATAGGTTTGTTCATTGAGTCCGCACCGCTCAGCTGTGGCGTCAGCTTCGATGAATATGAGTTTATCCAACTTCAGCAAAGCCACATCTAATTCCCGATCTTCAAATACTGCGGTCTGTCTTTGCTGAACTCTGCTTGCTTTAGAATGTCGATTCAATGCATATACTTTTGCGACCTCTTCGTTCTTCAACAATGAAGCCAGTAAGTACGAACCCAATCCACCTGTCGATCCGGTCAAGAGCACCACAGTCCTTCCCGCTTTTGTGCTAGCACTAGACTCAACATGAGAGCCGTTAGTCTTCTTGGTCCTACGTAGCTCAGCGCTATATTTCCCGAGCATGGTCTCGATCTCCATTTTTGCGTCATGTAGAGCACTCCCTTTTACTTGCTCATTTACCTGGCTTTGTGGTTGCCCAGCGATTTTAGCGACTCTATCCGCTAGGAGCTTGATGTTTGGGCATTCGAAAACGAGGTTGTGTGGGATGCGCCTTGCGGCCGCTCGTAATTGAAGGTCAGGAAATGATCGCATGGCTCCGATGATGCGATTACGAAGGAATGTCGCGCTCAGACTGTGATTTGATGCGCGTGTATGGTATGTGCAGAGACATGCGTATAACGTGTTTCGTTAGTGTATGGGATAATGAACGAAGGTAGCAAAAACGCACCTATCGAAACCCTGCGCGAAAAGATCAATATTAGGCACAACGATAGTACCCAATGCCAATTCCGTAGCTTGTTCATTCAGCCAGTGCTCGAGGGTAGATACTGTCCATTCTGATGGCGGCGCCGTACTATTGCCTATTTTCGTGCTAGCTTCTACCGTCCTATACCTTTTTGATAATTATCAGCACTATGATTACTCCTTCGAGAGAATAATAGAAAGCAAGGCTCACAGAGCATCAATTTCCTCTTCATATGCTTTGAGAGTGGCGTTTTTAGAAGTCGTCCCTTTTCCAACACGAAACATTGGTTTGTCGGGAGACGTGATGAGAATCATCTCCTTAAAGATTCGGCTAAACGTAGGAGCGTTTTTGTTTGCTTCATCAACTTCATACCTTTTCAATTCCGTTATTCGAGTCAAAGAAAATTGAAGCGATTATTACTCACCATATTCGATTCCTGAACTCTTCTATCGCTTTATTATCTGCTAGATCCACGTGAGCACTTCTCGGCTCAACCAAGACCCCAACCTGATTGCGTCCTCGCCCAAACATAATCACTCCATTTACATGTGCGCTGGAGCTTATGATACCTTCCATCATAGCAGGGACGGTTTTCTCACCAGACGCCAAAGTGAGTACATCATCTGTGCGGCCAATTCTAAAGATACAAGTTGAGTTTGTTAAGTTGGCCGCGGCTTTTGTGTCCATTTTGAACAAAATGACTGGTTGACTTACATCTTCCAGAGACCCTCGTGCGTAGGATGCTTGACAAAGAGATCAGATGTTGCGTAGCCTTTCACATCCGACATATTCTCGACGGCCATTTGATATTTCTCAGTGGTCTAAACAGTGACTTGTCTGTGAGTGGACGATATCAAAAATTTATGTAGATGAGAGGAACACACCAGTAGCTGGCATTCGTATGTTTCATCGCCCTGATGCACCCATCTGATCAATACTGACAGGCCGAAGCGCATCCATTCCCATAAACCATTCTCAAGTTGCACTTTGTCCGGTAACTGAGTAGGAGCACCGAATTCTGTAGTTCCATACTGAACAGCCAAAGACACGCCAGCTGCGCATAGAGCGTCACCAACTTTGGAAGATAGAGGCCCGCCACCATAGAGCTATGATCGCAAGCAATTATGTTACGTCGAAGTGACAATCAGTTGGACTGCCGGAAGACGCACCACGAGGGACATGTTCTTCAGTGTTTCCACGGCTTTTTCGTCCCAAGCCCATTGTTCAAGAAATGATGGCACGACTATGATACAATTTGCCCCCGTTTTCCTCAAATTATCTAATATATTTTCTGATGTCGGGATGACTGGAGGAGCAGTTGGATCGTGGAACGAAGTCGGAGCGTAAAGCGCAACGGTGATAACAGATATAAGGGGCGTGTACAACTGCATACAATTACCTAAACTGTGAAAAGGAGGAAGAGCTGCAAAACCTAGGCATAAATCAGGAAGATAGTGACGATACCCCAGTATACCGGCTAGATACAAACAAATGGGTTTCAAATGGTTATATAGACTAGGATCCAAATTCAAATACTTACGCTGTTGAAGCCAGTGTAGCTGGCAGCGGTTTGTTAGTGGTATTGGTTTGGGGTAACCGGTGCTCCCTGAGGAGTGGAGATACAAAAAGACAGCATCTAACGCAGGGGTTATTGCAGCTTCGGGGTAAGGTTCGAAAGGATAATGTGATTTCTCCTTCCCAAGGTTGGGAAATACCTGAGCAAGGGTAGGTATAGTCTGGAATTGGAGAGCTGGGCCTCCAAGGCCGTCGAGGCCAGAAATGAGAGATTCATGAACAGAGGGAATGGTAAATATACGGTTACATGCAGTTTTTTGAAGCATGCTGGCCACTGCTGGGGTTGAGTTACGAGGGGACATGTAAAAAGGCTGAATATACGAATTGGGGAGATTTAGCACAGTAAGGAAGTGATGTAAGGACCTACCACTATATCTGCCAAAATCATACCTGCTCCTATGGCATGATAAAGCAGCGTGTCCGTATTTGCGATGAGTGCAACGATCTCGCCATCTTGGCCTGAGCGATTTGGTCGAACAATGTGAGCGACGCGGTGGACAGCGCGAGTGAACTCGAGGAAAGAAATTTCTGTGAGAGTATCGTCATCGTTTGGGAAGATGTAGATCGGAAAATATGGGTTATGAACAAGATGAAAGTGTAGAAGGTCAAGCAAAGCAATAGGCTTGTCCGATGGAGGATACACACGTCCCGGTGCCATACTAAGGAATATCAGCTTTCCTCCACTATCTGCAAGTGTTAGCGCGGAAAAGGCGTGGTGAGAATAATAGAGGTTGTGTGTCTATATAGTAAGTTGTCCCTGCCTTGCAGTACTTTGAGATGTCTTCACGTGCCCATGACACGGTGGCGACGACTAACTGACGTCTAATAGGTAGTCATATTACTGTATCCTTTAGGCAGGTTAAACAATAACGTAAACATTCGCCACGTTGGAAAGTATCTTTTGATCAAGGCATAGCTGAAAGTGCAAACCAGTTCTCCGCTTCCTACTTTCTCTATAGTATAGTAATTCCCGGAATAACCCTACAGCGTGGCTTGAGCAGATCCTGCAGCACTAAGGCGTTTTGATACACCCAACTCCTCAGCTATCAAAGCCAATGCAAACTCGTCAGTGATGTCGTCAATCAGAAGATATCCAGGATACCCACCGGATATCTGCTTTATGGGTCCCGTGAACCACTTCCTTGCGCTTAGCAGCCAAAATCCAACACTGTACGCAATAACAATCCCGACTGCGACCACAGCATAGTTCAATGTCTGTGAATCTACAGGCTAGCATAATTTCATCATATTAGCAGAGTGTCAAAAAATAAAGGGGTATAGATCCAGATACTTACATTCGTTTGTGGAAGAATGAACACAATCGCAATGCACCCAATCCATGCGACGGCTGTTATAGCCACGGGGAGGGATGCTGGCCCAAGATGAAAGGGCCCACGTACAAAACGATCACGATAAACAACACGGAGTGCGATGGGAATCGCTATGACGTAGATGCAAAATCGGAAAAAGAAATACACTTGTGTAAGCAGGTGGAGATGGATCAACGCAAAAGGATGAATACCATAAGAGATATATAATCCGATGGTAGCAATACTTGTCGCAGCTGAAAAGGCGACAGAACTGCCGAGGCTAGGCAAACCAAGAATGAAGCTCAGAGTGCACGCCAACCAAACTGTAGTTTTGGAGTTACGTTTCATGCGAAATTTTTGGAAAATGATACACCAACATAAAACGAATCAGGTAAGACGTTAGCTAATACTATGACAATTTTAAAGATATAATCAATGACTCCTCACCAGTACGCACAGGCGACTTTCGTTTGGAATCAACTTTTTGAAAAAATGTGTGTCCAGGAATGCCACCATCACGCGCAAAGGCATACATCATTCTTGAATTGGAAGTCACAGAGAAAGTACTACATATCGCGAAATATTAGCCTGTTCTTTAGGTTGGATGAAATAAAAATATGCATTACCCACAAAAGTACATTGCCCCTATCACAATAACCTATATTCCATAGGGTAAGGCTCAATTAGCATCATGTCACGTTGAAGTGGAAATACAAACCATGAGTACTATTGCGCCGCGCTCACCAACGGTGTCAAGAAATATTTGTGCGACTGGCTCTCCTGTCGGGGAATTGATAGTACTATCGAGGTCCTGTATGGAGAACAGCAGGCCGAGGATAAGAAACCATCCAAGAACTGCTGAGACTCCGATAGCCATCACAATCCCAATGGAACCTGCCATTGCTGCATTGCGTGTTTCCTCAGTCATCTGAGAAAGATGGATGATGTGTATAATGAACAAAACAATGAGTAGCTTGACTTACGTGAGCACTAGCATCAAAACCTAGTTTTATCAAAATATAACGACGCGCGGATGAGAAGGCAATCTACTTGCCTGTCAGGGTATACTGGGCCATGAGTATCCCAATAACCATCACGTATGCATGGCTAGCACGTGTACCCCACCCATCGCTCCCAGAAACTCCTGTACCATCGATAAATGTTTTGAATACAAATGAAGCTGATTGATGCGTTGGTGCCCGAGCAAGAATTGCTATGACGAGGGAGGTCGTTCCAACAGCGTGCCACCACACTGAAACATTATTGAGATACTTGAGGAGATGAACGCCAAATGTGTTGATTAAGCCTGCAAAGGCCCCCAGTTAACCATGCTTACATCACTAGATTCTGCGGGACGAACCTTGACTGGCCAGTATTGCGGCATATATACCAATGGTTGTCTTCGGTGTAGGCTCGAAACTGTTGTCGAATGTACACACAGTTGAGAGAAAATTAGCACACCCAAAGCTAATTTATATTTGACGGTAATATCAAGCGGATTTTAAGGAGAACGTGGGCCATGAGAGGAGTTTTGTTAGACACTTGGAAAAAAGGCATTGAAGCGATGAAGGTGGTCACCTGATTCCTGTGGTGACGGCAACCTGTCCCAGAAGGTTAAACCAACCGGTGATCCACGAAGCCAATGGTGCATGTTTGGGCTCAGAAAGCATGGCTGCCCAGAAGTATGGCCCACCACTGGTGGGGTGGGCACTGCAGACCTCTTTTTTTATATTGAGGACAGCAACGAAATTGAACCCATCCCCGAGGAACGCACCTGCCATGGCCAACCCAACCAAAATTGTGAAAAAGGCTAACGAGAGCTATGAGATAGTATCAACTATAATATATTAAGAATCCCACCAACTATTATCCAGCCCCACACCATCACAGCTGGACCTCCAGTGTTCTAGAGTGAAAGGTCGTTATATCCTTCCTCGCAATTCTGAAAGAAAAGAAAACCGGGCTTACTAAACCATACAAGAACAAGGATGGAATCCCTGTAATGACACTGATGACGGAGAATGAAACCCCAAAGTTCTACGTCCAAGGTTCAATTGTCAAAATCTCCAAATACATGGATGAAGGATTTGTGCACCTGCAATAGGCCTAGTTCTCGCCTTCAGAATTCAGTGTAGGCTAAACACTGAGTTGCTAACACGGTTTTCATCTCTGCCGAGTAACATACCTGAGTTCTTGTTTATACCCCATTCTCGCAAGTTCCACTTCGTCTTCTTCTGTGGCTTTGGAGCCCAGATGGTCTGCGCCATATTGACTTTGTAGAGGTTTCTCGGTCTCCAGTTCCAAATGTTGAGACATGAAGAATAAAGGGAATATACCAGCTTGTGAATTTGAATGCGTGGCACTTATAATCTAGAGAATTCGGGTATGGTCAGTGTCGGAGTGATACGCTGGACTTTGATGGTGGGTGCGATTATAAGACTTAATACATGCCAAGACAGCGACAACCGACTCAGAGCCGATAAGCCTTATCTCGATACATGTTATCGTTAGCACAGAACACAGCCACTATTTGATGCACTTGCCTTCACGTCTGCCGTATGTCAGGAAATAACACCGAGAAGCCCATATTTATCTTGAGATAACAAAGTACAGTGCCGCGCCTCAACGGAACGAAGGTATGACGAAACATCACGGTAGGAATTGATTCCGGCGATTCTCCAAGCATGGAATGTGCCTGGAAGAGATTTCGGACTGTAAAAATGTCTACACCACAACATGACAGAGATCATTAACCTAATGTCAGGTAAAAATCCTTATACACCTGGTTTACACTCCAAACATCAAGGCTTAAACAAGTTCCCGTGCTAAAAATATCTTCAAGACTAGAACTTCTCATACATACTCATTGTCCGAAATAGCTCTCAAATACACTGACAAGATCACCTATTGGTATGTATCTGCATTGTTCAGTATGTTACAACCGTGCTCCTCGAATGAATCATCAATAACGATTGTAAAATAAAATCATATGACCCACTATAGCACGATAAATTCTTGATGCTTCAAAAGGTGAAAACATGTATATCTTTCATGTCACCTTCCGAGAATGCCGGGTACTGTAATCCGCAGTGTTATCAACGCCACGGACTTCATGTGTGAAATCGTACCTTCAGTCCTATCAGCCGTTCGTCATCAATCATCACCCCGTTGTATTCCTCCAGTTCCCCTCGGCTCAGAACGCGATATGGCATCAAGGTAATCACGGGTGCTTGAAAGATATTTCCCATACCAACGTGAGTTCCATCAGTATTTATACAGCTATCTGCAGAACTTGCGGTATGCTCCTCGAATATTTGGCGCTTCGTGCGACAGACGTTAAAATCAAGGACTTGTACTGTACTCCCTGCAACGTGATATGAAATGGGTAGGACAACGCGACACCCCTGAACATATCTACAATTCTCATCAGAAGCAAATATAATTAATTAAATGGTTGAGCCACTGACCTCAGCCATTGAAATTGCTCACGCTGATGCATGAACTGCGTCTGCAAAGGGCCCCACTTATTCCATGGTACCGTGACAGCAGATCCACCGCGTTCCTTGCGTTGATGTATATAGGACATTAACGTGCGATTGTGAACAAAGAGACAGAAACGAGGACTATCAATCAACCTAAGACAGCCAGTGCGAGCGTACTGAATTGACACAACATGGATGCGGGCATGATTTGCTGTAGCAAACGGTTTACCAACCGGACATCTAGCGGCGAAGGGACCGGTATGTGTGTGCATGTTCATCAGATGTACACCCGGTAAGACAGGAGGCAACAATAAGCTTGCAACGTGTACAGGTAGTGCGCCGATCGAGGCTGTTGTTGAATCATTTCTGGTTTCATCAGCGAATGTAAATATTTCAATGGAACCTTGCCCTGCGGTGCATGTTAACATGTATGCGCGAGAAGAAAGGAACGAAAAGTCCCAAGTGCCGCTTGGAAGCTGGAGACTACTACGATCCTGTGACACAATATAATGTAATGATATTTGACATGACATGCTTAATAGGCTTACAATGAGGAACTTGCCACTCTTCCAATCCCAGAGTGTGATACGAGGGCCTTGGGGTTCCGCCCAGAACATCATGCCAATAACATCATCCACGATCTGGATGAAGGCATTTGTTATAGGGAACATAACAGCACAGCGTAATACTACAGATCCCGCCTGAGGATGCGGTTCATTGGTGGATAGCGTGCGAAGATGGACTTGCAATAAACCAGGAAGCAGAAAGTGAAAACTTGGAGAGGAAGTTTCAGTTTTTCTATGCACATAAAAATGCATATTACTGGAAACCTTACTCATCATCATCATCCGCTTGAACGAGTGCAATTAGGTCCTGAGAGGGATCGATGGCGAAATCCCGTGTGGGCAAACCAATATCTTTCCTTACGACTACCCGTTCGCTATTGATTGTCGATGGAAGCCATGATGTAATTAGATGGCGGGAACCATTTCCTCCGATTCCAGTACTCATAGTTTTGGCGAAAACGCCACCAACGAGCTCGTACGCCTGACAGGAGCCAGGCATTGGTACGACGAGGTGCTGATCCCAGTCGAGGCTATACCATGCACGTCTCCTATTCCGTAGGATCTGTAACCGTTCAGAGACGGAAAGGTTTCCTGGAAAACCATCCACCATGCCATCAAGGGTGAGTTCAATGTTGTACTGAAGTTCTGCATAGCTCTCTATGACCAAGTCGAAATGATGGCATACCTACCACAGGATATACATAAGTACCGATAGAGAATTGATAAGAGTATCAATATGGAACGTACGGAACAGCACCTAAGTAATGATCGGCTATCCAAGAAGCCTAAGATGGAAACTAGAAGCTCCGCAGGTATGGTGAGTATAGGAGATGGATAGCAGTCGCGTTTGACGATAGTGGTCGTGCTTGGGGCAATCATGATGGATAGACAGGGGACCAAAAGCCAAGTACGGGGTTTAGATGTAATTAGGCCTTTCCCAGATTGCAACGAAATTGATAAGGCGGGCTAAATGTTAAAAGGCGAACAAGCGCATGGGTGTGCAGCAAGAATACCGCCTATACAGAAGCACTACGGGGTAGGTTGTCCTCGTGGACAACGTTCAAAACGCAATCTGGTCTGTGGGTTTCGAGTGGATGGGGGGTCTGGTGCAGTACTAGTACTGCGGCAACTAGTTCCTATGATAGCGAGTTTGAGTTCGGTAGCAATGCCCCACAAGCGTGGCCGCGGAGACCGTAATTTGAGCCCAGCTCAGTCCGTCAGCCACTTGCTGTAGTACACTGAGATGTTCTAAAGTACCATACCAGATTATATTAGAGCGGCCACAGATGGTTCGAAAACTCACGATACGCAATTTTGAACATTACACATGCAGTCTCGCTACTGAACTCGACCCAGATCAGTCATTTCGTTGTATCGCCGCTGACGATGATACTGCCCCTTTTACTAATTAAGAGGCACTAGTACGGTCTGTGATTGACTTAAAGGATGAGGTAAGTGAATTGGACAGAATATCTGTAGCATCGTGGCTACATCGCTACCTGGTGTTGGAATGTTCGAGTTCATTCGAAGCAACAAGCTCAGACGATCTGAGCCCAACGAGCCAGCCTAGTGTTGATGTGATGCTATCCTACGTCAGCGCAGAAGATCTGAACATGATTATGTGAGTCCACTCTACTACCTCATGGCATCCACTCACCCCCACAAACCAGTGCAGAAAGCATGGTGTACGCCAGTGCTGCAATTTGTCGGCGTGTGAGCTGCATGTAAGGCTCTCCTTCGTGTTAAGGGCAAGCTACTTTTCAAACTCTCGTCTCGTTTACTGAATTTCACTTTGTCTCCCATCATGACTGAAACACTGGAAGTTGCTCTTACAGGTAAAATCCATGCTCTCTTTTTGCTGTGTTCAAACTATCAACTGTTGCAATTTAGTCGTTTCCGCTAGTGATGTCGCCCGCATTTCGCCCGCTTCACACCAAGTACATTCTTTCTATGTCGTAGTCAAAGCGGATGGGGATGAGCCTAGAAAAACCATCGTCTCTACTGGTGCTGGTAGTATGGTGTGGGATCACACCTTCCATTTGTAGGTGACGTGTATCTCAAAAAATCCCTTCTGCGGGAGTTGACCCGTCTCGTGAAGTGCCGCTCATAGAGCGGCCAAAGTCTGCTTTCGTTTATACAGGCTGCTCCAGGCGAGGCACGAAAATTCAATGATCGGTGGAGTCTCGATCACTCTTCAAGAACTACTCGAGAAAAGCACAAATGTGGACAATACCAGTATGTCAGCATTACCTTGGTGGTGGCTCACATTGATATTGAGCTTCAGACATCTCCATTCCGATGGAGTCTTGCGAGCATACAGGTACTATTGGACGTCTCATTGTTAGAGTTATCCAGAAACCTCAAAACATCAGTGACTTGGCTTTCTCGCATGACAAATCTGCAATGTTAGCTTCTATATTTGTTCGTGTACAGTATTCAACAGCTGAACCCCACTTTTATGTGCAGCACTACGCCAGAGGCTCAAGCAAGCTCATCGTCTACTACCGCTGAGGATGTTCGCGTAGTAAGGAACGATCTCATTGATTGAAACAAATTTCAGGCTAAAGCACGACCGACCACAGGCTCCTCCGGCTGATAATTTCAACGTGGTCTTTGCTAATAGTTTATTCGGTAAACCTCTCCGTTGTGTCAGAAGTCCTGGCTCATATGGTCTGCGCATACCTTTGGATCACCTTATCAAAGCTATATTCGCTCGATTCAAGAGGAGAAAGCATCCGTCACTGCCTTGGGAGTCCGACAGTTGCCCGGTAAATCCCTTTCAGGATAAACTATCTGAAGACAAACAGAGACAGCCGAGCTATATTGGTGACGCACCAGATGTACCCATCGAGGACTGCCCTCCATATTATCCTCCAAAGCAAACCGCTCGTCTATCCCGAGACATCAAGCTAACACTAGATTGCAGCATTAGTACATCGGACTCGGGCTCCAGTTGTGGGCCCAGTACTCCTCCGGAGCCAAATGACACTGGGGAGTGCCAATTGGTGACGTCTCTTAACAGCAGCAGAGATTACATCTCTGTCACTAGTCAACCTGACTTGCACGATTCGCCCTCAATCCCTCGCAGGGGAGAAATTTCGGAGGAGTACGATTCGCTTCTCGATCTTGGTAATAGTAACCACGATCGCTACAGTACAAAGGGAGACTTGGAGGATTTGGACCAAACAATCCACTACTATGAACGGGCGTTGAGCCTGAGCCTACCAGGACTCCCAGATCATTCGGCATCCCTAAATCGCCTTTCTGGTCTCTTCTGGGAGCGTTTTCAAAAACGTGGACACTTTCTGGATCTACAGCGGGCTTTAGAAATCTATTCCGACGCCTTGGAACTATGCCTGATGGAACATGCTGACAGCGCACAGCAGCTAATGATGAGCCAAGCTGTTGACCTGGTGAAGCGTTTTCAAAGCGAGGGCAACTTTTCGGACCTTCAGCGTGCCATGGAGCTTCATGATAATGCCCGACGCCAGTGTCCTGATAATGATGCTCCAGATCACCAGTCAGGGCGTCTCTAGGGCTTGTATCCCCTAATAATCTGCGGATTTCTTTTGCTGTTCAATCATGATGTTAACCGAGCACTTCTGTTCTTAAGACTCATCATACTAGATTTTCTTTTAGCATACCCTAATACTGTCATAACCCGAGCAAATCGTGCTTACCAGGTTTTAAACCATATGTCGAGATGTACTATACCATTGTGTTTTTTGTTTTCATTACCTTCGTCCTGCTTCCTGCTTCCCATGTACTAGTAGCTTACAGAATGTATAAGAGCTTAATTTATAAAGACTTCAGTATGATGTGGGTGGGGCTCAGAAAGACGACGGGCCCGGGTGTGGTATCAGATCTTTTCCTGCATTGAAATTTGTCGAAGCAGCCCATTACAAAGAGACACCTGCAGTAAGACAGAATATGCTCGCTGCCGGACAAAGTATAGGAATATGATGGCCGCGGTGACTGATCATGATGTTTCTGTCTCCGTTACGGTCTTTATTCCGCCTAGCTTGTGCCAATGACCTGAAGTTAAGTAGTGTGACAGTGGCATCTGAGACATGGTGTTAGCATATCTGTAGCGACTAGACGTTATTTAAATTGCGCACTTTGATAGTAAGGTGGTATTCGAGGCCTTATGAATGTTGCGTGATCGGACGCCAGGCGATTCCAGACTTGGAGAAGTTGCAGGTAGTCTCCCTTGCTTACCTAATTCAATATATGATAAGTCGATATCTTGTAAATAAGTTGCAGGTGAGTTGCATTGCTAAGATAAATAAACGTGGGAAATCGACTCGTTTCTAATAAAACAATTTCTGCTTCATCTCATGCATTATAGGGGCCTAGTATTCTCTGATATCGACTTTCATATCAATATTTGGTCTGACTAAGGGAGACTAACAGTCTGGAATAAGAATAACTTCAAGCTTGCGGCTTTGTGCAGGATTTCTCAACCGTATTCCCTGCGTCGTCTGAAGCTTCCTCGATATCAAGAAAGTAATAGTCGCCTACAGCCTGAAGTGAGCTCGGATAAATTCTCAATCCTCAAGACTTACATTGAAGAGCTGAAAATCCAACCCTCCTCTCATAGTCCCTGGTCGTTATAGACTGATTGATTTGGGCTTCTTTAACCACTGCGTAAGTAACAATGCTGAAGACATCGGAGACCGCACCGCTGGTCCCAACTGGAGAGCAACAGGAAAAAGCAGCAAGAAGGATGGAGATCATGACGATAAATAAAACATTTGCATGCATGTTAGGTAAGGAAAATCTTAGCGAGTTCAAGAAGCCCTCTATTGATACGTTGAATGCAGAAACGCTCCACATCGTATGCGCGTGCAGCATTTATACGCCGAAATGTCTGTGCCAGCGTGGTAAGGACGTCAGATCATGATGCACAGGCTTTCCTTGGTAGCATATATCAGCATTTGGATGAGGACAAAGCAGCGGAATGGGACGGGCGGTAGCTAACATCGCACTCGTGATCTCCCTCGACACAAGGGCCTGAAGTATCGACCCACATCGCCACGCGCTGTCGACATAGTGTGTAAACCTTCAATACTTTTTATCAAACTGGGTTGACAGTTGGCTCAGCAGAGATTACTTCTCACCTCACGTTAATCTGAGTCTGTGGTCGGGTGTTATTGACGACTTTTGAAAATTCTCATGGATATAGGGTTGATTTGGTGAAATTCCAAAATGCGATTAGTAGAACTTCACCGTTCTGTATAATAGCCATAATGGTCGACCTGTGGCTTGCATCACTGGGTCCACTATAACACACTAACATGTATTCACTGCATATGTTACCAAGACTGTTATATAGTTTCTCGTCGAGATGGCACAGACTATATTAATATAGGTCGAGGCGTGATTGACGTAAAGTCAAGCGCTAGCCCTCGACGTTTCAGTTGTCGACAAATACCTCTATTAATAAAATACGACCCAAGGCTGTTTGGCAGATCGATTGCAATCTATGAAACACAGGAAATCAAGCTGAATATGATGGGGATTTGTAGGAATTGCTACAAGTAGTAAGGTACATGGGATACTTTCACCTGATCAGATGTTGTTGGCATCTTTCAGTACTGTTCAATGTCTTCTCCCATAAGCGTAGCCAATGCATCGTTGCCTTGTTCCGCAGGAGCATCATACACTGCGAACGCAGCCCTCTTCCCAGTCTTGCCCTGCGATTCACCCTTAATATCGTCCGTATTCCCACCACTCGTCCACCCCTTGCCTCTGTCCGCAAACACAGCATCGCTTCTGTCTAATAGCATTTCCAGGTCTTCGTCACTCAAGACACTAGCTTTGCCTGCCTCGGTATTGGGCACCACTTGAATTTGTTCCCCTTCGATCCGGAGGAGCGATGCGGCCATCTCAGCCATGGTCGCAGGTCTGCTACGTCCAGCAGCTAAGCCAGGCATCTTGAACTTGCCTACCAAAGGCAAGGCTGTCAATCTAATATCCGATATCCATGGGATAATGACAAACCTTTAGCAATAACCAGTGCCTCGAGCTTCCGTTTTTCAGTAGCCCGCTGCATTATCTTCGTTTCAATTGTATGCGCGCTAACAAGTCTGAATATCAAAACGGGCTTCTTCTGGCCAATGCGATGAGCTCGATCTTGAGCCTGCACATCCATCTGAGGATTCTACAAACCACAAGTAACAATACTGGTGTCAGTAGTCTGTATGATGACCGTCGAATGGCAATCATGGCGCACCCAGTCCTGGTCATAGAAGATAACGGTATCGGCAGCAGTTAGGTTAATCCCAAGACCACCTGCACGCGTACTGAGCAAGAAAAGCATAGGCGCATCAGGCGCATCGCCAGATTGTTGAAATCTATTCATCTGCGCCCGTCGTTCCAACGGCGGCGTAGACCCATCAATACGGCAGATTGACCATTCCTTAAGCTCAGTAGCCCAGTCCTTAAATACGAATTAAAACAAGCTGTAAGTGCGGAAGGCAACAAAACACTGACTTCGATGATATCCAACATCGTTGTGAACTGGCTGAAAAGTAACACTTTATGCTTTCTTCTAAACAATTCGCCCAAAAGGCGCTCAAGGACCATCATCTTCCCGCTCAGGTTGATTAACTCTTCGTTCATGATTGGTTGTTGAGTCACTGGGTCGAGCGGCCAGTCGAACAAGAATGGATGGGAACAGACTTTACGCAGTTGCATGACAGCATTCTGTAGCTTCATATTATTCACCTGCTTTACTGTAAGGGGTATCAGGTTTCAGATCAAAAAACTGCAAAAGCATCGTTGAGCTCGCGACTTACAGGTAGCCTTATATCTATGATCCCTCCCAATTTCTTCTGCGTCTTCATTTCGAGTTTTTACTCCTTCCCTGTTCTCTAACATCTCGAAGTATTCATCGTCGTCCCCATCAACATCGTATCTTTTTCTCTTGCCTCTGAGCTTTCTAGGCGCGTTCATATCCACATTCGCTTTTTCCTTATTATTTGCAATTTCGTTATTTTTTCCGTTGATGAGATAGTTTCGTAAACCGCCAGCGACAATTGTGTCATACAACTCGCGTTGCCTGATACTCAAAGGGGCGTACAGGACATATTCCTTTTTCGGAGGGAGGAGTCCCTCGACATCGGCTTTGAGACGGCGCAAAAGGAAGGGTTTGAGGATGCCGTGCAAGGTATGAATGAGCACCGAAGAACGTTCAGAAGACAAATGCATCTGCATTTTACCCAGGCTAAACCTGATTCACCGATGAGCATTATGTGGCTGGTGTACTGGCATATACGAACACACGTACCATTCCTGGAAAGAATCCAGATCGTCAAATATATCAGGTAAGATAAAGTTTAGCAAAGACCACAGCTCTGCCAGATTATTCTTTGTATGGAATTATCAGCAACCAATAGGATATGCAACGACAGAAGGCAAAAATACAAACATGCAAAGGCGTTCCCGTCAGGATCATTCGTCCAGCACTCGAGTACTTTTTGATCTCCTTCATGAGTTTGCAGTCTAGATTCTTCAATCGATGTCCTTCATCTACAACGATATATCCCCATTTATAGTTTCCTAGATGTATGCGGTCTCTTATGATCATCTCATAAGTGGTGATCACGACCGGAAAAGTTACTTCAGTCTGGCGAGTGGTTGAGCCGACATCTTCATCTTCTACGAGTACAATTTCATTTGCATGTGCACCATCATCTTCTGTATCAGATATATTTTTGTTTCCCCCGACCTTGACACGTTTTCTGGAGCGCGCGCTGCCATTTTTTTCAGTAACCTCTGAATTTGATCTCCTCGTTGAATACCTGAGCTTCGCCGTTAATTTTCCATCCAGCTTGTCCTTCTTTATGGTACGATCCTGAACCTCTGGTTCTGGCTCTCGCATGACCGTCCGTCTTAGCTCCTCACGTTCGGTAGGAGTGCCGTGATACATACATACTGGAATCTAAGATGATAAACAAAGACATTGAGTCATTGACAATCGAAATCAGTAATCCTGCCACTTACGTCAGGGGCGAATTTTTGAAACTCTTCAATCCAATTATGAAGAACACTTAGTGGACAAACGATAAGAAATGGCTTGTAGTTTCGTAATTCTCTGAGATAAGCATTGAAAGCGATAGTTTGTAGAGTCTGAAAGCAAACAAACTGTCAGTTTGAAAAGCATGCGTGACTCGGATTTCAAACAAACTTTTCCCAAGCCCATTTCATCCGCTAATTGAGTGACTTGGGATTAGAAACCTCGACTTGACTTGATACCATAAGTTCGCACCTAAAATGCCAGAAACTCCGTTTTTATCCAAGCTGACCATCCACTCAACGCCCTCCAGTTGATAGTCCTTCAATTGAGCGCCAGTAATCAATTCTGGCTGTCGGAACTTGGGAATTGAAGAATTTGTCTGTTCGTCCTTGGTTTCAGTTTTCTGATGAGATACAGAGCTGCCTTCATTCTTGAGACCCTTGTCGCTGACACGTTTTCTCTTTCCCCCACGGTTCGCAGGGCGCGATTTTTTCGGTTCTTCAACTGAAACACGAGCTTGTAAAGCGGTACGTAGAGCAGAACTCTCCTTTTCCCTGTCCATCTGTATCTGCAACACGTTGGCATACGCGGACGATTTTTCAAGTAGACGAGTCAATCGCGCGAATCGTTGCTCAAAGTCCTGTAACGTATTAACGACAAATGCATTTAATGAGAAAAACGCGTAATTACTTCATCTTCTACAAAGTAAGGGCGCTCAGACGGCTGCATTAAAATACCTGTGAGCTCAGGATAAAAACGCACTATGTCTCGTACGACGCTCACCTCTCGAGAGTCTTCTTCGACGTCTGCATTCGATACTGCCTCGCTAGGAGGTGGCGATGAAGCTGCAGTGCTCTCGGGGAATGAAGACGCTTCAAAAAGTGACGGCGAGCTGGATGACATCGTCCTTGAGGCTGATAACCAAAATGCGGGCGGAAAGGGAAGGATGAGATTAATAGGGACAACAAGTTTCAGTATGTCAAAGTGGAACCAAGCCTCCTTACCGTGACATCAACAGGTCTGGCGATCGCGTTCAAGCCAGCCCTAAGGGAAAATGTGTCACGTGATCGCGCTATAACAATAGTAAACTTTGTGCCAGTGCAGCGCTTTAAGAAAAGGTCTAGATGTCGATCGATTGAGCATTATCCAAACAGAAACAATGATTTCATCGGAGCGAAAACTAAGAGATAAATATGCAGTCTACTTGTATGTAAAGCAAACACAGCAGTCGATAGATGAGTGCGAAAGATTGAAAGTGAGATTTACTAAGTAGATAGGATGGCATATAGGATATCAAAGCAGAAAAAGATCGTCCTACTCGAGAAATACCCAGCCATATGACCTCACCTGCTCTCCTTTATCCCCAAAATATCTCTCGGTTTCATAGAACCAGTTGATAGAGCCAGCGATACAATCCCGCAGACCTTGCACATACAATCGGATATCCTCGCGAGTGGCCTGCTTGTCCCAGCACGGCACAATGCGTTCGGTTTCTAGAAAAGCATCGATGCTTTGTTGCACGAGTGTCCCTGAGTACTCGAGTGCGGCCTGAACTGACATACTCTTCTCAACCATCAAAACGGTGATCAAGTTGTTCATATTTTTTTTGGTGTTATCACGTGAATATGAGACAATATCCTGACGGTTTGGAACATAGAATTAGAGACCGGTAAGTCATAAAAGCAGGGCAGCCTACCTCCGACCAAGCGATGACGTTGCATGCATTTTCCACCATCTTTCTGAAAGTTGGGTCGTCCACAACGTCCTCAGGCAAGATAAAACCATGCGTGTATTCTATCATGTCGAAAACTACCTTGAGCCCTGACGAATCTCTCCTCAGCTCAATATATGTTTCTAAATCCGGAACCACGCCACGATTTCTGGCGAGATCAACCTGTGCTGTGCGAAATGCATACAGAGAACGATCGAAACGATCATACCAGATTGGGGATTTAGAAGAAAGTCGCAATAGCCTATCTGATAGACTTGTATTTCGTTTAGCTTCATTGATACGCTTAGTATGATAACACTGGCAACTTACTGTAGAAACACGTTGCTTTGCACTACAGCATCGAATTTTTCCATGTTCGCTTCATTCGAAGCAACCAAGCGCTCAGCAGTCCACAACATTAGACTGAGCACATCCATGGATAGCCTGAGCTGAGTTGCGTCGGCTCTGGGGTAGCAAAGGGCCGCCAACAAACCAACCTTCATTGCACCCCACGATAATGCCTCACAATTTGCATTGCCTTCAGCTGGACAACCCAGACCAACCTGCTTCAACCACTTCTGGGAAGCCTGGGTAACAGGTCTGCAATGGCTATTGGCTCGCAACTCGATTGCATTGCAGAACGAGGGTAGATCAGGGAGTTGTATGCTGGCGACACTAGGTTTGGCACTGGAGTTCATGGTATGAGTATATGGAGTATGAGGAATTTCATACTGGGCGTTGGCGGAACGTAAAATCCGGTGCTCTATTGTCCAAAGCCGCCCTGCAAAAATAAAAATGTGATAGCTGTCAGGACGGGCGCAGCCGGTGATATTTTCACGCGCCCATTAAAGCAGGATGACACAGTCATCCTAATTAGGAAAGTGACTAGGAACGGCCTTCCAAGCAAGCAGGGCCAATGCAAGAAATAGTACCAATACACCGATGCTATCGGTGCGTAACAAGGTAAAGGAGTCAAGCGCAGTAATCAATGTGGCTACATAAACACGTATTGTGTACACCAGGGTTGATTGGAGTATTATGATCAAAGTAGTGAACATCGGAGGAAAGCGGACTTAACAATTGCATGAAAGCCACACATCAGGAAAGGTGCATTTTTCTTTGAGTGACTTTGAAGACTTAGACCGTCTTAGAACGAGGACTAAGACATATCAAGACATATAAGAGAGTTAAGCTTGCTAAGAATTGCATGCTCAAATTACTCTAACTGCTCCAATGCAATGCAGATCAAGACCATCAAGACCATCAAAAGTTAAAATATGTAAAATAGCGGACATCAATGACGAATTGATTAGCTTGAGTACTGATCAATCAGAGTCAAAAATGCCTATCTGGAAATGGTGGTATTACTCAATGGTGCGTTACTGGACGCGTTACTGGATGTGTTACTCTAGCGTTACTCTAGTGTTACTGATGAGGGGCATTACTCAGGCATTACTCACAGTTTTGATAGAATAACAGGAAGTGAAATTGTTATCGAAAGTGTGGTGTAAGACTTTTTGAGCATGTTTCTAAGACTAAAAACACAAGTAAGGTCAAGTCAGAACACAAGTCTCGATACAGAAAGAGTTGGTAATTCTAAGATGCTAATCCAAAAGCGTGATGATCAATAAATTTGTTGACATAGAATGATGCAAAAGCATCAAGTGAGTTATGAAACAATATCTGCCGGGGAATCCTGTCGTCACCAAAAACAGGAAGGAGATGCGTGGCTTGTAGGATACAGTCAAGGTGAATCACTTCAGTTGTTGGTGATAGGTCCTCATTGAAGTCTGGACGGACCATCCACATACTGGTGAGGTTGTCGGGCTCTTCTTGGACTTTTGAGAACCAGTGCACTAATGCACATGGGTAGAGTACATCCTGAAAGATGAAAGAAAAAAACAGTAGGATGCGGACAACATCCAATCCCTGCATCCCAGTCAACATGGGGTCCCTCTCAACAAAGACACAGTCATGCTGAGAAGGTCCTCTCCGCTGTCATGCACCAAAGTTGATTGGTAGCATGGACAGGTGTCAATAACGAAGCGAATATTCAAAAAGACTCGCCTTTGCGCCACACAGGCACAGTGCCATGTGGAATAGTAATTAATATTGCCCTTTTTGAACTTGTGGCTGATCAGCACCACCTCTATTAGGCAATCCAGTCACGCTCACCTTTGCTTTTCCATTCGGTACTTTCCGTGTTTCGGCATTTCGGCAAATTTTTGCGTCGCCACTGGCTACACATTGCATTGCGCCCTCGCTTTTGTCGTTTCCCTTACTCCCCTTCCTTTGGCTAGCCCCACCATGGGCCCCTTCCTCTCCTTTTTATTCTCACCTGACGGTCGTTTCTGGATCCCCATTCTAATCCACTTTTCCGTCACCTCCACCCTCCTCCTCCTCATTTTATTTGCACCCCCACCATTTCTGATGTCACCACTTCCTATCCGCTTCCGTCGCCGATCCGTTGACTACCACGTGCCACTGCTGATATCAGCAAAGCCCCGGTGGCTGGTTCAAATAGGGCAACAGGTCCATCTTCATGACGTCGATCTACCATCATATACTATCAAAACATCGGTCGCTCGTCTTGCCTGGTTGGAGCATGGGTGGGTAATTTTTGAGCTGGAGAAGGTTCATCCCCTTGCGTCGCCCATGTTCATTGCTGTCCCATTCACTTGGGTACACTTATATTTTGTCCATCGTCTTCGCTACAGCTACACCTACCACACGCTGCCTGGGACTCACTTGTTCCAAATTGGAACTACTCCTCTCCCTCCCTCGTTTGATCAGGTGGTCCAACACAACCAGTCCATTGGTAAGGCCATGGAACTGTCGGATTTGGACTAGGTGGTGGACCGGTGGCTCCAGTTTCTTTTTCTTCAGCAGAACATTCATTTACAGTGCGATTATTTTTGATTTTTGAATCATTTTTATGGACACATATTTTTTTAGAATGCCTGACTGACAATAAAGGAACTGTGTTGATACTGATAGTGTTTTGCCTTGCCCTTTTTTTACTGCATCTTCCCATGACATCATGATTTTCCTGCTCTCTTTTTGCTATTGGACTTTACTTTATGGCTGTACAAACCTGTGACATTACTCACAGCATTCATTGTTCTATCTCTTTCTTTTCCTTTTTTTGACAATCTTATCCTGTACTACCTACGCAGGATTCGTCAGCATACATTCCTTCCTTCATGTTCTTTCTCATTCTTTTTGCACAGCTATACTGTGCATAGCCTACTTTTCTTTTACTATATAAACCCCTGTATTTTACATTGTAAAAAGAACAAGAAATCCAATCCAGACTTCTTCTCTACTCTCAAGTTCAATACTCTGCTACTTGTGATCCAGTCTGGTCACAACACTTCCCACTTCTACCACTGTCAACTGCTGTCATCGTCACTTCCCATTTTTGAAGTCATTGTCATCCCTTTCGATTAGAGTCCTTCTGAGCACTACAGTTTGTGCGTCAGGAGCCTGCTATCACTGGGAACCTTGTCACCTCGTCATCCTTGTTGTTCTCAAACCTACCTTGTGCTACAATTAGCAAGGTAGTGCTCGTCTATACTCATCACAAACCCCCTATCCTTCTATAAATTCAACTATCCCTCCTCCTCAAAACCCACACTCATACACCTCTGGGTTTTACTTTGAAGGATCCTCATACATACCACCCCACGAACAACCAGAGCACCCACTGTTCTAGGAGGCAAAGCCCATAAACAAGTTCCGTGGAATCTGGGAGGATTGTGTGTTAGTTTGTTTTTGTGTGTGGTTTTCTAACTGCAGTTCTCATCATCGACAGCGAGAAATCCTAGAAGGGCAACAGCATTTTGGTGTGCACGCTGTACATTGTTGTGCACATTCCCCACTGAGACATAAAGAGGGTAATACTCATTGTGGCCTGTAGCAACTGAAACTGTGGTTTTGTCGCTGCCAAGGATAATTGGTACGACCATTGCCCCATGAGTAATTGGGTCTTCAGCAATCTTATCAGCTTGAGTCCTTGCCCAGTCGCCAGACATGAAGTCCTTGAATTGATGTTTTCCGTCTGCGTCAAACTCGTGAAGAGGTGCATAATCTATCTCATCTTTGAAGTCTGGATTTGAAAGCATCTTGCGTACAATAGTGTTTGGGCTACGGAACCAGACACCATGGGAACCAGCCACCCATGACGGGTTAGATGCTTCTGGGACATCTCCATTGTACGACAATGAAAATGATTCCCATGGTATCCCACCCAGTGGTATTGCATCAATGGTTTGGTACAAGTCCTGGCTATCTGTGAAGGGAACTTCTCCATTGGTGAGTCCATTCTTGAGAAGTGATGCCTTCCACAGGTTGGAGAGTGTGTCAATATCACCGGCTGACATCTGTGTTTTCTTATATAGAAACTCGGAGGTTTTGAATTCAATGTGGTCACAATATGGGGTCCAGTTGGTTGGGGATGGGTGTTGAGGAGAGATGGGTGCAGCTCCAGGAGCTATATCATGACCAAATTTGTTGCATGGCCTGTAGTAGATATCAGTTATGTGATCCTTACTACGCAATAAATCAGAATACACACCATTCAACAAAGGGTGGTATTCAACTTCATGTGGCCAATTTTCACCAGCTTGAAGCTCTGGCCCATCCTCATCTTGTGCTTGTGGTAAGTTGTCTTGGCCTTGGTCTGCAACAATGGGCTCAGATCCGGTGAAATGTGGATGGAAAGCATGTAGGTGCTGTGTGAGACCTGAAGAGTTTCAAAACCAACATTTACATCCGAGAGCTTTGCAGGACAGAGGCCGGGAGTGTTGATATTGCCGACTGGGCTGAGTTCTTGGTACTATAGCAGGAGCCATTTCTTGTGTCCGAATAGTAAGTTTTGAGGGAAAATTAGTGATAAAATAATATTGTGTGACTATAGCATAGCATTTAGCCTAACAGTGAAAAAAAAACACCCTGTTTACTACTAGTACTCACCTCAATTCAGCAGCCCCAAGCTACATCTTCACTCTTGTCAACATCCCCATCACAATAATGCAATGAGTCACCCAGTAAGTAACCCGTGCTAAAAACACAAACCAGCGCCCTGGTCTAATTCTGCTTGACACACAAACAAAAAAGCGAACTCAGACTCAGATGGCTGAAGCATTGGCAAAAAAAAACTTACTGCTGAGGAGACAGAGCGGGCCCTCAGGCTTGGCCTTGAGGCTATTGCAGCAATCAAAGATTCACAAGCGGCGGAGGATGTTGACAACTCAATGTTGATCCTCCCTCCCTCCAAGCGCATCTCAGTGCATCCCAGCAGTACACACTCAAAGACTCCTCCCCCATCTCAACCAAAATGTTGCCTAATCCGCCGAGAAAGCACACAGCACGTACCCAATAGTGAGGAAGAAAGTTTGTCCAGCGATTATAGCATGGAGGTGGATGAAACTGGATCCCAGCCTACTATTGAAGATATAGGATCCCATGACAAATTATGACATTTGTTTATAGTATGAGAAAACATGCATTGGCCAGGGCTTGAACCTGGGACTCCAGCTTTCATGGTCTGGAGCTTTTACCAACTAAGCTACCAAGGCGTACTTGGAAAGCATACTGATTGGTTGCATGCCCAGAAGGTCCAGAATCACTGTACACGGGTGCGGATCCCATTGTGTTGTGATATCTATCACAGCATCTCATCCACCACTGCTACCATCAGAGACTCGGAGGCCCCAAAACTCAAGGGTCTAGTCAACAACTGGGCTTCAAAGGTTGCTATCAGTGCAAGAACAATCAATGGAGCAAGTTTAAACTCTACTGGCGGAGGATCATCTCAGGCTGCCAGCCGTGCTTCCATCTTATCAAAAATCTCAAGCACTCAAATCATGCAAACATCGGTCACATCTGAGTCACTAGGTTCAAAACAGCCACAACTGGAAGAAGAATACACTATATAACATGATGGCGGTTTTGAGGATGAGGATGAAAGTGAAGAACATGCAGCAATGACTGGGAAGCAAAGGATAGATAATTTGGTATGTCTCCACTCACATATCCATGGTTAACTTGACCATCACATATAATTCTCGCAGAAGATGATCAAAATTGAAGAAAATACCCTTATCACTGAGCCCACCAAGGCAAAAAACAGCAATCTGCCCCAAGGATGTCTTCAAGGAAATAGGTGGCGCTCTGTCTTCATACCAACATACGAGAAATTATTGGGAACAACTGAGAATCCCTGGATGGCAAGTGATCACAAGTCCTTGGAAGCTATCCAGGCTACCTGGAATACCGTCTATCCAGATATCAAGTACAGGGCCACTCTGAATGACGCTGTCTGCCACGTAGTAAGCTCTTTATCTTTTATTATAGCACTTACATTCTCTCAATGAAAATACAGCTTGGCCAACGTGTATACGAATGGCGTGCAATGGTGCCACAGCATATGCAATGGTGGACCAGCTCTTTGAGTCTGAGCCAGATTTCAGCACCTACGAAGCACGTCAAGAATTCTCAAAATCAATGGTTAGCGATCTTGCATTTTTATATGCAAATCTTGGTGACAAAATATCTGTGAGTTTTACCGGTGTAATAATTGTCTATTCACGGCGCGCTAATCTAAACTAATTTACAAGGATTATCGGGGCGTATTTCGATCACCATTTATCTTACAGACATTCGCATCCCACCTCAACTCAATCAATGGCGCTATCAATGTTGAGGCCCTTCGCGCACCTGGTACACATGAACAATCCTCAGACACAGATAAATTCCCACCTCTAGGCGCCCTAGCAATGTCGGCCGCAGCTGTACGTTCCTTGCTGCTGTTAAAATTCAAATTTTCTAACTGTTGTTCTAGATTGAGCGAATTCTGACTTTGTGGGCAAATCACAAAGTTCATTGGGAGCCCAAGATTCAACGCTCGGGCCAGGCAAAACCAATCAAATCTTATCTTAAGCCCATCCCCAAACTCAACAAGGCGACGGGCAAAGAAACCGGCAGCCATGGGAATTTCTCAGAAACTAACTGGGGTACAGTGACACGGAACTATCATACCTCTATGAAGAAGCTCCAGCTGGGCACGCTTGAAGACATTGTTGAACAAGCCCAGGTATATGTGAAAGGGAGTTCTCGGTGTGGTTCTGAGGGGGACAGCGATGAGGTTGATCCTCGCGCCTGCCTTATGGATATTTAATCACAGTATGTTCAGACTCTCACCCCGCTCATTCTGTTTATTGCAGCTAATCAGTATACCAATCCACTAGTCATTTTGTCCGAGTCTGTACATGAATGTTTGCTTTCTTGCTATCAATGTTATAATAAGATATGCTTTTGGTACATTTTAAGATCTCTCAAGATACTTCTAAGGAATATTTTTTAAGCTGCTATAAGCATCAATAGAATTTTGAAGGTGTTTTTGTAACATTTTCAAGATGAATTAAAGATGGTTCTAAGCTGGTTCTAAGAATAAAGTAAGCATGAAATAAGGAAGTTTCAGAAATTGCACCTGCTTATTTTGTCTTATCCGGTCTTTGCGGGAGTGAATCTCAGCATCAGTTTAAGCCAAAAAAGAGACTTTAAGACGCATCAAAGGCACTCAAAGAAAAATGCACCTTTCCTGATGCACGCCCACCGTACACCGTTTCGTCCAGGTGAGTCGGACTGATGTGATGAAACACCTGTCGGTCCAAAAAGCTCTGTCAGCGAATCGGCTACCAGCAGACACTACGCCTGGTTACCGCCGCTATGCAACTTCATTTTGCTCTTAGGGGGTACATGGACGAGATATAGCTGCCTTCCATGTCTGTTAATTCATTGATTCGTCCAAATCACTTCATTCAAATACAGTCACATACTGTCTTTCGAAAGAAACGTATTAGAGCGTCTCCGAGCTTAAAGGGACCGGCTTTCGAACATTCGAAGCCTTCTTACAACGGACTCGGAAGACCTGGATCCCAATCCATAGCTCCACCGATGACCATTACCGCGGACTGAGGGCTTCAACGTAATCCGAGATGTCATGTCTTGGAAGCGCCACTGGCTTTCCCTCACCACGAGGTACCGTACGACGGTGAACTCCATAAAGAGTAATCACAATGATAAACTTGGCTACCTCTACTTCTGCGATTCAAATCAGTTTGTTGAAATCGTATCCACTGCACCACAGTGTCAGTTCGGTCGGTCACGTTGAGCATAAACACATACAGAAACCCAACCACACTTAGCGATTCCCACTAGACAACTCAAAGCTACAAATACTAGTTTGATGAAGACGTGATTATTGGCCTCGATAAATAATTTTGCTAAAATATGAACTGCCAGTCTATTGATTGCGGGATATTATCCGCAAACATACGATGACACACACACTCTACACTCATGCAATGGCCTGAAATATTTTAGTTATCCGTTCTCGGATCCTATCCACTCCGATGACCACGCCAATCAAGGCACCAAGGTCGATGGCTATTAGCGAAACCGCAGCGAACATGTACCTGGGCGCGAATATCTTCCATACCATTAGGTGCCTCCGTAGCGCAGCAGCACTTCCTGCACTCCCCAACAGAAGTGTAGAATAGTACAATGATATACCTAGGGCTGCTCGCAGAGAAGGTATTGATAACGATGGAGGTGGTAAGGGGGGAAGGTTCCATAGGACAAGCAGAGGAGATGCGAGTGCGAGGAGGAAGTGTGGGCCAAGAGTATTCAGTATTACGGTAGCCTGCGAAAAAGGGAATACTACGTTTTTTGCAAGCACAAACGCAGTTTTCCATTGCATAGAAGGGATCGTAGGTTGGTGCCCGGTCCCATGGAATGCGTGAATACCCAGAAGGGCAAGCGGCACAATTTTAGAGAACGTGAGTGGAACCCTGATGTGTGACAAATCCAAATCTGAGATACTGGAAGGATTTCCGGATGTAAAGGCAGCATTCAAACCAACCACATCTCGAACGCCGTCGGCAACCTCTAGGTAAGCCAACAGCGCGATGGTTGTCAATCCGAGTATTATCTGGCCTGTCAATTGTGTCGTAGCCCAAACGAGAGCTAAAAAGATAGACCAAAATATGAGGTAAGGTGAACCAAATGCATTTGCAAAACCCAGGACAGTGACTTGTTTCTTTTCATCCTGATCGTGGGTTGTCCCTTTAGTCTCAGTGTCCACTTGTTGGTCCCGTTGTATTTCGAGGCACACCGGGACGACTCTCCAGACTGCCAGGCCAACGACCGCCATGCCCACGATTACACCTCTAGCCATGATAGTCCTGATGACCCTCAGATTATCACCAGCGAGTTCATCAAAAAGATCTGCTGATTGGGCCCATTCAAGCATCCAGAATAAGCTTCCAGCTACAAGTGCTGGAGTTAGGAAATACGGCAAGAAAAAGGCGGCGAGACACCCATCTGACTTCGAAGTGCTCAATATTTTCTTCATTATTCTAGGCAAGGCAAAGGACGTAGGGAGGGCTAGGAAAAGGGGGAGCAAATGGGGAGCTGAGGACGAGGATGAGGAATAGAAAGAGACAAGACAGTGTATTTGTTGTTCTTCTCTGCACACAGTGCTCATAGCCATAAGCCGGACGCAAATCGCGAAAACAGCAGAGTAACCCAGGATGCGATAACGAAGGCGAGGAGTCGGAGCGGTGAATCCGGTCAAAACACTGGGAACCATGGACGTTAACAGGAGATAGAGAACAAGTCTATCCTCCCAGATTGTGAATGAGTTTGAGGCAAAGCATAGTGCGTGCAAGACGAGAGGAAGAGATATCGATTTCAGCGCATTGAAAGAAAATGATGCGTAGGAAGAGATGATGATCACGAGAGACGATATAAATGCGCTGCTGAAAATTATCGAGTGACTTGCACCAATTCCTTCGACTCGGCTCTTAAGGAGGAAATACACAGCCGTTCCTGCGACTGCACCACCTACTATGCCAAACAAGCATCTTGATAACTGATCACTAAGCCACTGTTCGGGTTTATCAGAGTAGTTGAGACCTAGATAAAGGACAAGGCCAGCTAGCACGCCGGCGATAATCACAGCTAGTCCGCAACCGATTAAAATACTGTTGAATTGCGCCCAAAGCACACGGCATGAAGACAGTACAAGACGGTTATAGTCGAACAAAGAAGCCACCCGCTCCTCGGACGAAGTTGATTGAGATGCAGCCCACGCGCTCTGAAAGTCGAGCCAAGCGGCGTCTAACTCCTTACCAGAGGACGTTGCACGGTAGGTTTCGGTATATTTTTGGATCTGTACAGCATTGGCATCCAAAGCTTGTTCTAGTATGTAGTGTTCGGTGTCTCGATCAAATAATTCAGGAATGATACTCCCAAGGTTGTTGAATGGTATTGGCAGCCCGAGAAGCAAAGATAATGATGGCACTATATCAACTTGTTGAATAAGGCGGTGAGGAACTGAAGCTCCTGGGAAAACGATGTTGGGCAAGATGGTTTGTGGTATCGAAGAGGTGCGCCCTGAAAGTATTGGTCCTTTGCTATAGATCCAAACCGCAGACATTGTCTCTAAGACGCTGTCTCCGCCGTGATTTCCTGTCCTGTCCATTCCATGATCTCCTATGACAACAAGGAGTGTATCGTCTTCCAGAAGATCAACAACGCGAATCAACAAGTCGTTCATCTGTGCCAATTTAGCTCTCATAGTAGGGTGGTCAGGTCCAACGCGGTGGCCAGCATGATCAACACCTAGGCCATGAGCAATCGCAAAATCCCAAGACAAGGTGCGATCACTTAGTAAGGGAAGTAAGTGCATGACGACACCCTCATCTACCGTATGAAGATCTTCAACATTGAAAGAGTCGTATGGAAAAGACATGTTGGATTCAAAAATATCCGGGAAAACAGTAGTCCACGTGTCGTCGCCCATGAAAGCAATCTTCCTCAAAATTTTAAGAGAACGTGCAAAGAGACATGCATGAATTGTTCTCACCTTTCTACCTGCAACTTGCAACTGATGTATGAGCGAATCTTCCTCGATAGCAGATCCGCCAAAGCTGGAGCCAATATCCACGAAGGTGGGCAGAGAGCCGGTAGTGAGGCCCTTGATCCGCTGTAAAGTTGTCGTCGGGGGATCTGCGTAAGCATTGAATATAAAAGATCGTTCTGGATGTTGTTCTGTGAGCTCGCGTGGAAGCGTTAAGATATTGTGGTGGTATGGAGAAGCTGGGTGTGGAGGATCATTGGAGATGAAATCGAACCGAAGGGCGTCTATAACGAGCAATATAGCTTTTTTATGGGTAGCGAGAGATGTGCAGACATCGTGCGAGCAGATGCTCGAGTCTGAAAGCGATAGACGATTGAGGAGAAAGCCTTTTGTAAAGAGATAAATCCCCGCCAGGTGTACAAAAAGCACCCACAGAAGGAGGTAAATCTGCTTGGACAACATCAAGTCTCATACGTCTTTCCGGAACACCTTCAACTCCAACCCAGGGATAGCCAAACCCCCCAAGCCAGGCGTAGCACGTGATCCATGATCACCACCAAGGTATGGCGGAGTTGCCACACACACGCGCACCGTCTTTCATCTTTTCATTCAGTCCAGCCAAGTGCCACAACATGGAAAAGCTCAACTGTTGGGTCTACGGTGAAGATGTTGAAAGGATCTCGACTGTCGACATCTCAAGTTCAGAGACTGTCTACGACCTCAAAGAAGCCATCAAGAACAAGAACTCCTCACAGTTCCGTGATGTGGAAGCAAAGTATCTCGATCTCTACTCCATTTGCCTTCCTGACGATGAGCAACTGGAAGGCAAACTTAGTCGGTGGGATCATTCAAAGGAAATGAAGCTCACCAGACGATCCAAATTATCAACCCTTTTCCCCAAGTCTAAGGAAGGGGTGTGGTTCATCATCGTCCGTGCACCCAGTTCTTGTACGCATTTATCACTGTATCCTATTACCCTTCTGACGGCAAACTTTATGACTCAGTTTCACGCAAAATTGAAGTCCCAGATTTGACTATTAACTGCTGGGTGCGCGGTGACAAAATCAGCGCCATCTTTACTGTCAAGGTCTCAAGTTCAGAGACTGTCTACGACCTCAAAGAAATCATCAAGGACAAGAGGTTTGTCACGTTCCGCGATGTGGAGGCGACCAATCTCGAACTCTACAAAGTTTCCTTTCCATATGAAGGAGGTGATTCACTTGAAGGTGTGCTCAGCAATCTCACCAGTCCCAGTCTGGAAAATCCTCTGGAGGCGGGGCAGCAGTTGTCAGATGTTTTTACGCAACCGCCTGCCAGAAACCAACTTCACCTTATCATTGGTATGTGGCACTTGCAATTCCAACTCAACCTCAATCATGATGATCATTCTCTTCACATTACCAGACGTGCTTTCCATCAAATCTTGGATTCGAGGGGCAGATCTTGCGGGTTGCTTTCAAGTCACAATACCAGCGAAGGCCGGTATTCGCGATCTCAACACTTCGATCAAGGCGGCATACAGTGGTATTATACCCTTTGCTGACTTCAGAGTTTACAAGGTTACAGCAAACAACGATGACGAGCTCCACGAGATTCTTGGTGCTACAGGATCGGGTCAAATGCTGCAAGGGACTGTGATTCTGAAGGAGGTCTTCGATGACGTCCCTTTTCTTCAGATGCCACGTGTTGTCGTCGAGCTACTCGATGAAAGTAAGCAAAAAGCATGACGGTATTGGCTCGTACTCACCCAAGCTCACAGAGATAACGGGACATCCTCCATCGGCATATCGTCACGTAGGAAATGGCGATCCGATCGCGACTGCACGCAATAAATTCCTAATATCCACTCCAAAGGAGAAGCCTTCAGCCACTGGCACCCCGTCTGAATTTCGGAGACGACAGAATAATTCACAACACCTTAAATCTATACCCTGTGGTCGTCCTCGCGAATATGAGGAAACTATCCCCGTAACCCTCTTACATCCTGTCTTTGGCCAGTTTCTTGATGACTGTCAGACTATTGATGTAACAGCTGACGACAACAGTTTCGTCGAGCACCTCGCGATAGCCATGTCGGCCTTGTATGAAAACGAGAATGGACGGCTTGAAGCTGTTGACAAGGTATTTCAAAAGTACCGCTTCCACTTCACCATCACCAAAACGAAAACTACTGCATATATTACGGATGCAGACATGCAATCCCAAGGACATCGTTATGTGATCGCCGAATACAAGAACGAAACCGGGAATGCATCAGCCGAGCCGTATTTCCAAGCCATAGGATACTACCTGGAGGGGACGAGAGATAAGGCTGTCAAATTCAGCAGATCCCCTTTGCCCTGCCTCCTTCTCGCCATTTTCGGTTGGTCCCTGCATACTGTACTGGTTCTATGGGGAGCTAATTGGTTCTTTCTGCAGGGCCACATATAGTGTTTGCCGGTGCCGCATGGAATTTGCGTCCGACGGTACAGATCTTGTCAACACCTATTGCGTTTCACTTTCATTCCACCGATATCCACAATCGACTTACTGTGACACGTCACATGGCCGCTTTTCGCAAAGCTGCCGAAAGGCTGAATGAGTATTACGAAAACCTGACAGAAACCCCTCTTCTTACTTCCGCACCAGTCCCCCCTCATATGTTCGCGTACCCAACGAGTTACAGATCGCTTCACAGCAATACACTGAAACATTTCCGGTACGTGATAGAACTGGACTCTGACAAGCTCGTCTTTTCCGGAACTGAGGACGAAGGCGATCATATCTGTATCAAATTCGTTCGAACTTATTCGTGTGATGCCCATAAACACTTTGCATCTTTGGGATGTGCCCCAGCCTTGCGAGGGTTCGAAAAGATCGCCGGTGGCTGGTTCATGGTGGTCATGGACATGCTCCCTGCCGACTTTGAGATGCTGAGTGCCCGCACGGGACGGCTCCCCCTTTCTGTCTTCACCGATATATCCGCAAAACTGGAAAGTCTTCACGAAGCTGGTTACGTCCATGGCGATATTCGCGACACGAATATTATGGTGTCCAAGACCAACAAAACACAGTTCATGATCGTCGACTTTGACTGGGCAGGAAGCATTGAGGAGGCACGCTACCCAGCTGGTGTCAATCACATAGACATATCCAGGCCACTGGAAGCTCGCGACGGGAAAAAGATCTTGAAGGATCACGACATTTTTATGCTCCAAGACATGAAAAATTCCAAATTCATGGATTAGGTGTATTCTATTTGTATCATGATGTAGCAAAATTGTCATGCTGAGTGATATGTATTCTATATGGTTTTTGTAACTGAGTAAAGGTTCAGGCTAGGAATGACAGTGATTTCAATAAAATATGACGCTGGATTTGCACAAAAATCCACACAGTTGCCTTGAGAAAGAGCTGGATCGTAAAGCAAAGCCTTGTTACAATGGCCCTTATGAAATTGTGTGATGTACTAAAGGAGGATTGTATGTTCTGAAAGAAATGGATGGATCAGTATCACAAAGAGCAATTGCAGCATTTCGACTACTTTCCTATTTCAACCAACAGTCTATGCCCCTCCTGGATGAACTGGATGACCATGATGACAACCTAGATGAGCCTGAAGATGAACCTGACTATGAGCATAACAACTCAGATGATGAAGATGACAATTAATGACTTACCAGAATAAATTTTATGACCACATGACCCCTTAATGTGTTGCCATGTTTCATTCCCTATGACCCTACCTTTATGGAAGCAACTGGGGACAGTTGCAATTTCAAGTTGTCCGTGGATGTCATGAACCAAAGTTGATTGGTAGCATGGACAGGTGTCAATAATGAAGCGAATATTCAAAAGACTCGCCTTTGCGCCACACAGGCACAGTGCCACGTGGAATAGTAATTAATATTGCCTTTTTCGAACTTGTGGCTGATCAGCACCACCTCTATTAGGCAATCCAGTCACGCTCACCTTTGCTTTCCATTCGGTACTTTTGGCAATTTTTTGCATTGCCACTGGCTACACATTGCATTTTGCCCTCGCTTTTGCTGCTGTTACAAACTGTATTCGCTAGTACTTTATTTTCTTTTCCTAAGTAGCTACATACCGCTACTTACCAACCTATTCCCACATACCATTACCTATTATGGTACCACCTGTCTCTGTTTGTTCAACACAAACACCTACCCTAAACTAGGGACTATATATATATGCCTGTATTGTAGTTACCATCTCCAATACAATTGTACACTTCAACAGTGTAATTTGGTATTCATCAGTTGAAAACCTCATCATCAGAATACATCTCAAACCCGTTCACAAATGGGCTTATCAGAAACCACTTGTACATCCAGAACTCAGTGTTACCAGGCTTGCACATTCCAAGTGTAACAAAATAATCACATTCCATATCCATATCCCATACTTTATAGCAAAGGGATGAAAAAGATGATAAAACATTGCAAAGAAGGAGACCCACCACCAGGGCACAAACCAAAGCAGAACCAACACAGACAGCAACACCCCCAGTATTGTCTAGACAAGGAAGGATAGCAGCACCACCTCTCTTTCCTGACGTCACTTGGTTCCACACCAGAGAACAAGCAGACGCCTTCTACGAGGCCAGAGCACATTGGCTACAGCTTTACGCAGACAGCCACCCACAGCTAATACCCAGAACCCAACACGATCCCCCAGTAACCACAGAAAACATCTACAACAAAAACACCTTTGAAGAATACGCAGCAGAAGGCCAACCAATACCACCTCCCACACCACAGATACTTCCCACAGTACCCAACCCACCAAGTTTGGACAAATAGACAACTTTGATGGAATGGCGGACAGAGTAAATGTATGGATGCTATCAGCAAAAGCATACTTTGATGTGAATGATAACATCTATGACTCAGACAAGAAAAAGGTCTTCAAAGTCCTTTCTCACATGAAAGAAGGAGCAGCCTTAGCATGGAAGGAGACCAAATTGACAGAGTACACGGGACCTTTATTACCGCAGATGTAAAAGCAACGGCCAGCGTGGTATTCATGATGATGAAAATGGAAACAGGAGAAACAGCTGTAAAATTCAACTCCTATTTCATGGTAGAAGCTGGGAAGAGCGGCTTGAACAATGAAGGACTAATCATGGTGTATAAAAGTTCTATATGTCTATACCTCCTTTAGAATATACTTAACTCCACACAACCCAAAAATATTGCAGGATGGATCAGCACCGTTGCAGGCCTAGATGCCAATTGGATGAACTCAAATAGCATCAGCAAAGGAAAATGGGGAAAGAAAGGAGAAAAGAAGAAAGAAGAGAAGGGAGGAAGAAGTCAATTGTCTTTGGCAAAACAATTAACCAAGGATGAAGAAGACTCACTCAAAAGAGAAGGGCAATGCTTTATATGCAAAGAACAAGGACACATGTCACAATTCTGTCCAGAAAAGAAGAAAAGAAAACAGCTGGACCAAAGAATCAGAATGGCAGAGGCTGTAGAAAAAGATGAGATAGAAACAGTGGTGGAAGACAGAAAAGGAATTTTAATTTCTCATATCCTCAAAATGTGGAGAGAACTCAACAAAGCAGATCGAGCCAGCACCATTGATGAATTAGAAAAAGAGGGTTTTTATAAGGATGACCCACACCAATGTTGGTACTGTCCAAAAGAGCTGTTATAACAATAGCCACAATCAGTTTGAAACTTGTTGTGAATTCATACCACATGACAACAAAAAACCATTGGAACAAAAGCATTAATAGACTCAGGGGCAACAGATGACTTCATGGACATAAAATTTGCAATCACGCACTGCCTACCACTCAACAAACTTGAAATGCCCATCATGTGCAAAAACGTAGATGTAACCATCAGTAGCGGAGGAAAAATCACCCACTACACCTATCAATGAATAGAAGCAGGAGGAAGGAATGCCACATGCATATTCCTCATCACCAGATTAGGAGGAGAAGACATTCTCCTCGGATACCTGTGGCTCAACAAAGTTAACCCCACAATAGACTGGACATCAAAAAGTGTAGACACCCAACATGCTATCTACACCATCCAATCACATGCTGACCGATCCATGACTCGCACTATCACAATCAATCAACTGGAACTATTGATCAACTATGTACACAAAAAATGGATCTTTGCAAAAACTAACACTGTGATGAAACTAGCCATCCAGAACAACATTGGGAAAAAGATAATGGAACTACCCGAGATGTACAAACAGTTCTCACAGGTTTTTGACAAGAAAGCATTGGAAAGACTACCCAAAAGAAGGGTTTACAATCACGCGATAAACCTTAAATTTGAACCTAGGGGCTACAAATTCTATCCTCTATAGCCTAAGGAAAGCACGGCACTTAAAGGATTCCTAAACGACAACCTCAGAAAGGGGTACATCAGACCAAGCAAATCTATAATGGTGTCCCCCTTCTTCTACATAGACAAAAAGGATGGATCATTAAGACCCTGCCAAGACTACCATCAGCTCAACAAACAAACAATCAGAGGTTCTTACCCACTTCCCATGATAAAGACTCGCCTTTGCGCCACACAGGCACAGTGCCACGTGGAATAGTCATTAATATTGCCTTTTTCGAACTTGTGGCTGATCAGCATCACCTCTATTAGGCAATCCAGTCACGCTCACCTTTGCTTTTCCATTTGGTACTTTCGGCATTTCGGCATTTCGGCAAATTTTTGTGTCGCCACTGGCTACACATTGCATTGCGCCCTTGCTTTTGTCGTTTCCCTTACTCCCCTTCCTTTGCCTAGCCCCACCATGGGCCCCTTCCTCTCCTTTTTATTCTCACCTGACGGTCGTTTCTGGATCCCCATTCTAATCCACTTTTTTGTCACCTCCACCCTCCTCCTCCTCATCTTATTTGCACCCCCACTATTTCTGATGTCACCACTTCCTATCCGCTTCCGTCGCCGATCCGTTGACTACCTCGTGCCACTGCTGATATCAGCAAAGCCCCGGCGGCCGGTTCAAATAGGGCAACAGGTCCATCTTCATGACGTCGATCTACCATCATATACTATCAAAACATCGGTCGCTCGTCTTGCCTGGTTGGAGCATGGGTGGGTAATTTTTGAGCTGGAGAAGGTTCATCCCCTTGCATCGCCTATGTTCATCGCTGTCCCATTCACTTGGGTACACTTATCTTTTGTCCATTGTCTTCGCTACAGCTACACCTACCACACGCTGCCTGGGACTCACTTGTTCCAAATTGGAACTACTCCTCTCCCTCCCTCGTTTGATCAGGTGGTCCAACACAACCAGTCCATTGGTAAGGCCATGGAACTGTTGGATTTGGACTAGGTGGTGGACCGGTGGCTCCAGTTTCTTTTTCTTCAGCAAAACATTCATTTACAGTGCGATTACTTTTGATTTTTGAATCATTTTTATGGACACATATTTTCTTAGAATGCCTGACTGACAATAAAGGAACTGTGTTGATACTGATAGTGTTTTGCCTTGCCCTTTTTTTACTGCATCTTCCCATGACATCATGATTTTCCTGCTCTCTTTTTGCTATTGGACTTTACTTTATGGCTGTACAAACCTGTGACATTACTCACAGCATTCATTGTTCTATCCCTTTCTTTTCCTTTTTTTGACAATCTTATCCTGTACTACCTACACAGGATTCGTCAGCGTACATTCCTTCCTTCATGTTCTTTCTCATTCTTTTTGCACAGCTATACTGTGCATAGCCTACTTTTCTTTTACTATATAAACCCCTGTATTTTACCTTGTAAAAAAAAAGGAACTCCAATCCAGACTTCTTCTCTACTCTCAAGTTCACTACTCTGCTACTTGTGATCCAGTGTGGTCACAACACTTCCCACTGCTACCACTGTCAACTGCTGTCATCGTCACTTGTCGCTTTTGAAAGTGATTGTCATCCCTTTCGATTAGAGTCCTTCTGAGCACTACAGTCTGTGCGTCAGGAGCCTGCTATCACTGGGAACCTTGTCACCTCGTCATCCTCGTTGTTCTCAAACCTACCTTGTGCTACAATTAGCAAGGTAGTGCTCATGTATACTTGTCACTAAGCCCCTATCTTCTATAAATTCAACTATCCCTCCTCCTCAAAACCCACACTCATACATCTCTGGGTTTTACTTTGAAGGATTGTTATACGTACCACCCCACAAACAACCAGACCACTCCACTGTTCTAGGAGGCAAAGCCCATAAACAAGTTCCCTGGAATCTGGGAGGATTGTGTGTTAGTTTGTTTTTGTGTGTGGTTTTCTAACAGCAGTTCTCATCATCAACACTGACCTCATAGACAAATTATGAGGAGCATCACATTTCACAAAACTGGACCTACATTGGGGGTACAACAACATAAGGATAAATTCAGAAGACGAATGGAAGGCAGCTTTCAAAACACAAAAGGGACTCTTCAAACCAACAGTCATATTCTTCGGCATGTGCAACTCTTCAGCTACCTTCCAACACATGATGAACAACTTGTTCACAGATATGATAGACAAAGGATGGCTTATCATATATATGGATAACATGCTTATATTCAGCAAAGGAGCAGAAGAACACATAATACAGACAAAACAGGTATTGCAACGCCTACTAGAAAACAACCTATATCTTAAACTGGAGAAATGCACCTTCAATGTAGCCGAAATAGAGTATCTTGGCATGATTGTCCGTCAGAACCAAGTGCAAATGGACCCAGTAAAATAAGCAGGGATTCAAAATTGGCCTACACCATCCGACATCCACGAGGTTCAAAAGTTCCTCAGATTTGGCAACTTCTACCACAAATTCATCGGTCACTACTTGGAACTCACAAAACCACTCAATGCCTTACTAGAGAAAGGGAAACTTTGGAACTGGACAAAGGCTGAAAAAGATGCATTTGCACAACTGAAGCACCGTTTCAGTAAATTGCCGGTTACCCAGATACCGGATCCAAAGACACCATTGCAGATTGCAGCAGACGCATCCAAACATGCAACTGGAGCGGTGTTAAACCAACCCGATGACAATGGAGTATGGCATTCATGTGCCTTCTTCCTCAAAACTCTATCCCCAGCCAAAAAAAACTACCAACTATATGACAAGGAACTACTTGCCATAATCAGAGGACTCAAAGAATGGAAACATTACATCTTAGGCAGTGCCCACATGGTAGAGATACTAACTGATCACAAAAATCTCACGTACTGGCAAGAAGCCAGAAAATTGACACCACAGCAAATGCGCTGGCAACTTCTACTCTCACAGTACAATTACACGCTGGAACACGCACCTGGAACACAAATGACAATTCCGGACAATCTGTCCAGAAGACCGGATTTATACACGGAAGACAAAGAACAAGACACACTGCTACTCCCAAAAATGGTCTTCGCTGCAGTAGCAAACACCAACCTATTTTTCACACATATACAAAACGGTTTATGTGAAGGGATTAAACTACCAATGCATTTGGATCCCAAGGATTGGACCATCAAAAACAATGACGTGTTTTACAAAGGTCGCTGTTACATTTACATTCCCACAGTAACCAAGAGAAAAGCATGTATTCAATGACAACACAATTTGGTAACAGCTGGACACCCGGGACAGCTAAAAACAACCCAATTAGTAACAAGACATTACTATTGGCCAGGTATGACACAGATGATCAAAGATTATGTCACTGTTACGATAACACATTTTTGGACCTTTGATTTTCATTCTCCTCGTTAACCTTTTTTATAGTTTTCACACATGGTGCCATGCGGCACTTTCCTTTTTGTTCAAACTCCTTTTTCTTGCGCCGCATTGCC